CGCTGTCTCGGGGACGCTGCGCAGCCCTTCTGCCACATCATTGTTTGTTGTCCACCGCGCATGGTTTGATCTCTGCCAGTCCTCTCTTCTTCAGCAATTCTTTTTCGTTTTTCAAACATTCTCCCTTCTCTTCTTCTTCCTCCTCCTCCTTCTCATCTTCTTCTTCGTCTCCTCCTCTTTCCCATCATACCGACCTCTCCGCCTTCGCTGACACTGCTGCGCTGCAGCGTCTTTCAGCTTCACCCTTTTTTCACTCTCTCATTCCCTTGCTCCCCTGACGTCCCGTGTCACTGGTTGTTGTCGCTTACTTTTGTCGGGCCTTGTCAATTCTTATCTCTTCCGTCTTCCATCATCGGCACGTCTACTTTGACGACCTTTTTGACCTCTATTCTCAGCGTTGGACGTCGCTGTACGGCGGTCCTTTTCCTCGTGTCGTTCGTGTCTGTTGTCCCTATTTTTCACGCTTTTAAGCTCGCCACCCACTTTTTTGGCTCCGCTCTCCTTGTCCACCCTTCTTTCATACCAGGAGTATTACACCTCTTCTCATATACATCGTACACAACACGGTCTATTCACCCAACTCACTGTATCGCACACCCACATGGCATCATGAGCGAGCCACCACCAGCCCATACACCCTCCTTTCGCGGCCGAGGCCGTGGCCGTGGCCGCTCACAAGCCGTTCGCGCACACGTGGCTCGTCTTGCCCAGGCAAGAAAGGCTGCCAACGGCCGTCGTGGTCGTCAAAAACTCTATGATCACCCCAAGCCGCAGGCCGCCTCCGAGCGCCTCAAGGAGCTCAAGGCCGCTTTTTCCGCCGTTGCCAATGCCATGCGCCCGGCCCTTGAGGACCTTGCCGACCGCAGCCTCGACCAGCTGAAAAGCCGTCCGGACGCCTATCGCGCCTTCGACCAGTTCCAGGAGGTCAAGGATTTCCTCGACCGCCGCATTCACGACGTCCAGACCATGCACAGAAACAAGCTGCTGCTGGACACGCGCCTCAATGACTACATCTTTGCCGAATCGCGTACCATTACTGAAGAAGCTTTTATTGTATGGCACATCTCCGCCGGAGCTGAGAGAAGAAAGTACACAAAAAAAAAAAAAAAATCGAATAACACTAACACTCTTGAAACAGCGGGACGTCGAAGACGCCAAAGATCGCTTCTACGATGCCCAGCTTCAACGCCTCGAGATTCTGGACAAGCTCCATGACAACGAGCTTCCAATAGATGTGAGTTTTGCACTTTGCCTCGATTTCTCATGCCCTTCATCCTTCATCTTCCTCGTGTCCAATTTCGACACTTTTGTCACGCTGGTCACTCAATGTCCCGGTCATGTGATCGCCCGTGTTAATGCCCCGTTCCCTTGCTGCCCAGATCATCGACGACTCGTGGAACTTCCATGAAATCAGCGATGAGCGCTTCCGTGATGTCAAGGCCCATGTGGAGTACCGCACCACGCCGTATGGCGCCAAGGTCGAAGTGCCCTGCGCCAAGACGGTGACTGGCCGGCGACTCGCTGGCACCCCGACCACGTCCGGCCCTGGTGCCGGCGCTGGCGACGACAATAGTCTCAAGCCCTCGCCCAAGCGCAAGGCTGAAGACGAAGCGGATATATTGCCGCCACCGAAGCGGCTGGGTGCCGCGCCACGCCACATTGGTGGCCTGCTCTCTGCGGTCGTCGCGCCCACCGATGAGGACGAGGATGACGACGCCGAAGCCGATACGCGTGCTGGCTCCAAGATGCCGTCGCCGAGCCCTGCTCTCGCCGAAGAGGACGACGAGATGCTGGACGAAGACGAAAACGGCACTCCCCTGGATGATGATGATGAGTCAAATACGCACTTGCGCCCGTCCGAGCGGTTACCGCCGCTTCCCAACGGTGCCTCGGAGCCCGACGCCTTTGGCGTACGGCTCATTACCAAGCGCCGAACCGCCAACTTTGACGTCTACAACCGCATCCTGGTGCCCTCCTTATTTGACTTTGAGCCCCACGAGATCGGCTTCCGAGACTCTACCAACGACAAATCACGCGGTGCCACCAAGATCAAGCGCGGCCGCTTCCTTGACACACCCAACTCCAACACGATGCACTTCGATCGTTCACTCTGGCAGTATGACGCCACTACGTACGATGACGGCGAGCTGGACGAAGAGCTGATCAAGAAGCACAACCTGCACCAAAAGTATGGTCTGGTCTTGCGCACATCCGTCAACGACGAAGAGCCGCCCAAGGCACGCGTGTCCGGCATGAACCCTGTCGTCTTTTACACGCCCCGCGGCCGAACCCTGAACAGCTCGCGCTCCATAAGAATTGCGCGACTGGAAGACGGCGCCGAGATTGCGTCTAAGAGGCCTGCCGTGGCGGCTGCCGTCGACCAGTTTGCCGAGAAGGAAGGTGTCACGCCCGCCGACATCCACCCGGCCGACGATGTTCTCGAGACCTTCCGCCAGGAGAAGCTCAAGTTGTGGCTGGGCCCTCGCCGTGTTACACGTGATGAGACCGAAGAGCTGGAAGAGCGTATCGAAGAAATGGCTGAAGGTGACTACGCCATGGACGAGGACGAAGACCGCAAGGAGATTGTCGTGCCCCCGCGGACGCCGGATCGGACAGGCCAGCTTGCTGCTGAGGATATGGCAGCTGGTACCACTGTCGCCTCCGTGGAAGACGAGGAGCAATCTGCCGCCAATGCCCTGGCGGCCAAGGCCATGTTCGGCACTCTCCTCGATGCTGCCGCTGCTGTGGACACAGATGCTGCCGAAGACACTGCGCGGCCTCATTCCAGCGACGATGTCGTCTCCCACGTCTCCCAAGCCTCCCAAGCCTCGCCCCTTGCGGCCCGGCGCGCTACCTCGCGGCCCTTTGACCCCGTCCGTGATGTGTTTATGGATACACCTGCCACAGCGCCAGCCGACGACTCTGCCTCCGATCGCCGTCAGGGCAGCACCGACTACATCCTGCCGCCTTCCAGCGCACGGTCCAGCCAAGCCTTTGTCGACGCTTCCAACTTGCTCTACATGGCAACCGTGGCTTTGGACCAAGAGTTCGCGTCACCTTACCATCAGCAGCAGCAGCCACCACCACCCGCGTCGTCGTCATCCATGCGGTACCCGCCAGCACGGGGCTCCGCGCCATACGACTATCCTCCTACGGACTCGGGCCCGAACAACGGATATCGGAGAATGTCCATGGACCCTCCACAAACCTATCACTCCCACCATCAGCCACCACGTCCGCCTCCCCAACACGCTACACCTCCTCAACAACCGCAGAATCTCCTTGATCCTCGCCTCTTTGGTGAAGCACCCCAGCCCCAGCAGCAGCTGCCGCCTCCTATCTCGAACCGGGATGCCAACAATGGCTACTCAAGTGGACCTTACTACCAACCCCCGCCTCCGCCGCCGGCTGGATATATGCATTCTAGTCACCACCATGGCGGCTCCTCCTATCCTCTCCCTGGGCCACCGACGGATCCCTACGGTCCGCCACCGCCGCCGAGTGCTGCTTATGGGCAGCCTCCCTCACGCGGCAATACCCAATACTACATGTCACCTCCCCCACCCCAGCACCAGCAGCTGCCACTGCAGCAGCCGTCTTCGCAGTCGCAGTCGCTGCCCATGATGCGGCCCTATGACACTCGCTACGGGCCCCCTCGCGGGGAAAGTGAAGGCGCTTTGCCGCCGCCTTCGGCAAGCAGCTATGGTTCGCAGGGCCTCCCGCCTCTGATGGCGCAACAGCCCCCTGCGCCCTCTCACGCCAACTCTCCCTCGCCGCAAATGTACGCAGGACAACTCTCTTCCACGTCTTACTCACGAGGTGGTAGTCGCGAGTACCAGCCCCATCACCAACACGAATATGGTAGCAGCATGGAGAATGGCCCCAGCAATGGGGACTATCCACCGGGACCCGAGTCAAACGGCAGCAACGGCAACAATAAGTACCGCAAGTTGGAGCCGGCACCCATGATCGTGTCCAAAAGCAATGAGTGGTCTGCCGGCGGCGACCGTGATCGTGACGGCAATCGTGACGGCAACCGGGACAGCGTCACCTCGAGCAACGGCCATACCAGCGACGGGCGGCCACTGGCGAGAGGCTCTGAGGAGCCTACAAACGCCTTCGCGACGTCGTCTATCGGCAAAGAGTTCCGCACGGTGCCATATGACTACGAGAAGATCAAGGACTACGCCGCCATTGAACCGCCACCAAGTCAGGGCCCCAAGTCCATCCGAGGGTGGGCACACAACAGCTTGAAACGTGGCGGTAGTGGCACAACCACGACTGTGTCCAAGGCCATGTCTAGCACAGTGTCGGCCATGCCACCGATTAAGGCGGAAGCGGCACCAACGCCAGTGGAATGGGACGCTGACGAAAAGCAGCAACAGCAGCAATAGATTCGCCGCTATTGTCGGGCTTAACAAAAAGTAGTCCATGCAGTTGCTCTCTGATCAGGCAAGAAAGAGACGACCCGGTGTGAGAAGGACGAGAAAAGCAGCGAGGGAAACTGAGGAAATGATAGAACCTATGCACAGGTCCTTCCCAGTCGAATGGATATCTCCCTTTGACGTTTTTCTATTTTCTCCATTTTTTGCTTTGGAGCCTTTGATTTTGAGCCGTAGTATAACCCAAATTTTAATTTAATTGTACAGCATTGGCACCCATACTTTGTATGGTGTTGAGTCTACTCTTTAGTACCTAAACCAATGTCAAACTCGCCGTCGTTAGTGTAAGTGTGTATATAACTGGGGAGGTAATATGTATCATTTGGCTGAGAAATAGTGCCTTTTGTAGTTCGGCCTCCGCTGCCGCACTAAGATACTCAAATTTACTGCCCGTATTGTTGTTAAGTTGGTGGTATCACAGCCTTGCCCTAAAAGAGCCCCTCATTACGTCGACGACAATTCTGCACAGCCTTTTCTACTTCCTTTCTTCGACAACAACCATTTTTTGTTGTACAATTCAACTCGGAAACTTTCCACTCGAAAATTTCCACCGCCGTGATGTCTTGGTACCAAAAGAACTTTTCGCTGCCCGCAAAATCGCGCGGGTCCTACCTCATCACGGACACCGTCGTGCGCGAACTGCCCGCGATCAAAGACTACAAGGTCGGCCTGCTGCACCTCTTTATCCAGCACACCAGCTGTGCTCTCAGCCTCAACGAGAACTGGGATTCGGACGTGCGGGCCGACATGAGTGACGCGCTCGACCGCATTGCGCCTGAGAAAGGGCCCAAGGGCGAGGCGCTGTACCGGCACGACGCCGAGGGCCCTGACGACATGCCGGCGCACGTCAAGAGTGCGCTGGTGGGCGCAAGCGTGACGATTCCGATTTCCAACGGCCAGCTGGTAGGTCTCGTTTCCGTGCCGTCATTTCGTTTTATAAGGGTTCGTGGGATTGGGCTGCACGTAAACTAACGAATAAACACAAAAATAAACAGGCCACCGGTACATGGCAGGGCATCTGGTATCTGGAGTTCCGGGCGCACAAGCAAACGCGACACATTGTGGCGACGATCCAAGGCGAGAAGGCATGAAGGTCGGCGCTGTGAAGTTGTTTATTTTTTTTTTTTTTTTTTTTTTTTTTTTTTTTTTTTTTTTTTTTTTTTTTTTTTTTTTTTTGTCATTACACACGGACTTGTTTTCCACGCACCACGAACGTGGCTTGACAGGGCAACGCAAAAGAGATCAAAATATAATATTGCCGATTCATGACAGACAATATGAGCTTAAAACACGCAAAACTGAAGTACGGAAAGTCGACCACACATCCAGCACCCTCTGTTCGCCATTCTCCAGATCCCGTTATTTCGCTTCCACTAAGTGCCGGCTGGGACATACCTTCTCCGCTTGCTTTGTATCTTGTGTCCCATCACCTAGTTCCCCCCATTCTCCTCCTTCATATCCGTGTCGCCGTCGTCGTTGCCCGCCAATACGCGCGTCTTTGGAGGAACACCGGCGCTGTTCACACCGCCGGGCGTCGCCGCAACGACGTTACCGTCTTCGTCGTAAAATTCAAAGTTATAGCGACTCAGCAGGTGCGGGATGGCCGAGAGCTGCGGGCCGTAGCGGGCGGTGTTGTCGTAGAGCTCGAACAGGGGGACTGCCAGCAGTTTCATGTTCTTTGGGACACTGAGTACTTCTAGTATGTGTCAGTCTCTCGTTTCTATTTTTTTGTTTCTCTCGTGACGCCTCGTTTCCCTCACCACGGACCCGCTCACACTTACTCGACTTGGGCAGCTGAATAAAGTACAGTTTCTTGCACTCCTTGGGCCGCGTCACATGCGCTGGGATAAATGGGTACATGAACGTCTCAAAGTTGGGCCGCCACCACTGCGCCAGACACTCGCCCACCTCCCAGTCGCCAGCCTCCTCGCCCTCTCCCAGGCGGCCCACCGGCGCCAGCCGCTCGTCCAGCCGCGTCTTGAACCCGCTCAGCTCGTCGTCCTCCGGCCGTAGGTAGTCGCCCGGCAGTTTAAAGAAGGCATTGGCAATCTGCAGCATCAGAATGTGCGGGTGGTTGTGCTCGTGGCACACCAGGATGCCCTCGCACGTGCGCCGCATACCGTGTTCTGCGTAGTGCTCCTCGAGACGGCGCAGGCGCGCCACAACCGACGGGTCTTCTTCTGGCTGCGTCTCCTTGACGCCAAAGGTGTAGTTGGAGAGCGGGTACAGGCGGATCGTCTCGGGCTGGTTGGCGTCAAACGGCAGCGGCCGGATCGGCGGGTTGCCCGACTGAATGGCGTTCTTGGTAATCGTCGACATGATGAGGCCCCTGCGCTGATCGATGCCGTTCGCTTGTTGATTTTGCGTATCGGCCTTTTTTTTCCACTTTTAATCCTCTCCCTCGTCTACGTCGTCGTGCCGGGGACAATGCCGCTCCCCTTGTACGTAGTCGTCCGTCTGTGAACGTGCGGTCTGAGTCGGTGTCTGGAAAACCGCAATCGCAAATGGGAGTGGTGTAAACTTGGTGGTCGATACGTCGGATGCGTTCAACGAGTGCAGCAGGGTTCGTCTCTTTTGCGCGTAAAGTGCCAGGTCTCAATGGGTGTCGGTCGTACTCTCCTGGATCCGTACACATTCGCTGTGGGTTTGTCTCGTCGCTCCTTCCCCCACAGCAACCCCAAGCCTAAACACAACTGCCCTGGCAGAATAAGCTGTCCGCAACAGAAGGCGGTGAGAGCTCCCTGGCAGAGGTTGCCATATCAGCCAATCAGCATCCAGGAGGCTGACCATTTCAACAACATCATCATCAACATCCTCTTCATCGACGTTCGACCTCGCCAATTACCAGTCAAAAGCCTTATGACCTGTCTTGTGTCTTGCATTTTGGATTCACGAAGCTCAGTGTGTTATCTAAACTGCTTCCAACCGTCTCGTCTCCCTGGTAGTCTTCAATGATCAATGGTCGCAAATCCAACTCGGCGCGAACTATGACAGCTTTCTATTTCGAACCCCTTTGTTGGCGGGAATCTAATAATTCTCTTACTATGCCGTACTTTTGTCCCGTCAGTCGGAGCTGAGACTGTTCCATCTCACCTCGCCGTCTTTTTCTTTGCAAGGTTCAGGTTCTGATGCGTATTCTGCTGGCCAGCGCCGCAGTATCGATGTTACAACTCTCTCTCACTTACCCCTCAGATTTTTTAAATTTTTGATATGAAAAGTTTCCTTCTAGTGAGTCCAATTGTCTTACGACCGGTTATTGGACACTGCTCCTGGACCCCAAACTTACTTCAGACTGGCCTATTGGCCAACATATGAAGAAACCCTCTTTTTGTATCAGTCGTCGATTCGTTTGCATTCATGCGAGTTTGCTCATTCTCATGTCCTTCCTACAACTACGGTACTGCGGTCTGGAAGGCTTTTCACAGTCGTTTTTTTTTTTGTTCTCTCCGAAAGATTTCCACCCCAACTCAATTTTGCACGTTGCAAGTCTAGATTCGCAATAAAATGTCACAAGTCGGCGTACGGTCTGTGACAGACAACCACAACAATTACGACGATGCGGGGCTGCTGGTCGGCCAGTCCACTGTTGAGGCCATACTCGCTGACTCCGAGGTCAAGCGAGAGCTGGCGGAAGATGAGCAATGCCCCATGTATCAAACCGATGTGTCCGTCCTCAGTCTAGACAGATCGGGAGAAGTTGGTTCGCATCCGATGATCCAGCCAGAACAATTCACATTCGGCGAGGTGGCAGCCACAGCAAGTGCACACGACAACGACAGTGCCGGCCTGTTCGTGGAGAGATACGAGTGGGACAACTAGGACTTGTCCTCCGCATCCATAAACAAGCCGGCCGTGGTACCTGTAACCCCATCAAACAACGACACCCCCCCTTCACAATATACCAGCCCAGCCGCACCATATCCTGAGCTCAACTGGACAAACCTCAAGCTAGTCATCACGTCCGGATCGCCTTCTACCGTAACCGCGGCAGTCAACATCTCCAGAGATCTGCTCACACGCTTGGCCCGGAGTCTCCAAGATGTGGCCGACCAGAAGCAAGCGGAAGGGGCATCCTATTGGGCCCGATTTGTCCGCGAGCTCTTTTTGGACAATAGCCGCAATTGGTGCCACACAGCGCCGTGCCCCGAGGCAGATGCCTTTGTCACATATAATGGATATGGATGGTCTCAAGCTATTGATGCTCAAGTCATCAAAATCGAATTAGTGCTGCACAACATAACGATGCACGGCCACAAGCTTGAAAATGAATGCGCAGAGCACGAGCGACGCCATGAAGTCTTGCTCCAGCAATACAACGAGGTCCAGGGGAAGCTGCTGAGAGCAAAGACCGAGCTGGATGCGGTCGCAGCCAAGTGCTGGGATTTTATGCGCGGTGTATCAGACGCTGCGTCAAAGGAACAAGCAAAGCTGCAGCAAAAACATGAGGCACGAGAGGCGAAGAGCGAGGCGCTCCAGCACGAAGACGATTCTGCCCAGCTAGGAGCACATTTATGGCGGCACTTGGACCGCTACGACATCCTGTCCCAGGAAATCGCTGCGCTGCACGCTGCTCTGCAAAGCTGCGCAGACCGAGTCACGCTCCTCAAGCAGCAGAGGGACGATACCATACCACGCAAAGCTGCTACACGCAAGCAGATGGCTACAGCAGTTTCTCTTCAGCGCGGCCGCAAACGTCTGCTGGGAGTACTGCTTGTCTTGATTTCCGTGTCCGCATGGGCGACCACTCTTGCGGCCGACGGACGCACGACTGAAGAGTGTCCTGTAAAATCGGCACTTCTGGATCTCCTCAGGACGGCTGACGAAGCTTGGCTGCCATTGAGATGGTGGCCACATGTGACATTGGGGCATTGTTAGGAATTTTCCTTCTTGCTGAAAATGCGGGCTCGTACGCTGCGATGTCGATGTAGATATTGATTCGCCATTAACAGATATAATTTGTTTCTTATTTTCATTTTTTTCCCTCGAAAAAGTGCACTGATGATATGTGGATCGTTGACATAATCGACGTAAATGCGGCATTTTATCTATGCCATGAGACAAATATGAAGTACATTTTACCTATGGATGAACCTTTTTGGATGATGACAACCAGTTGACGTAGTTCTCCACGGTAAACTCTGGATCTGTGGGGATCGCCCAGCATGGCATCCGCCGATCACTTGCCTGGATCAGCGTCAGGTCCCCAGCTACTGGTACGCACCGAGTTCGATAATTTGGTCTGGATTGGGAGGTGTTTCCCGTGGATCGAATGAGATGGTATTTTGGAAAATGTCGAGCGTTTTTGATAATTTGTCCAAGTAAGTTGTGTGTTTCTTGATCCTTTTTTAAAAAATAAAATAATAAATAAATAAAAGATAAAACAAAAACTAACAATATACGAAGTACTTCCAATGTTCTTCATACTGTTTGCCAAACCATCAAGCTTAGGTTCGCACGGCACCCGAACAACTAGATGCATCATCATATCGATGTTACCATGTGAATTATCATCAAAAGTCGCCTCCCCCTCGTCTTTCCCCCGCCGACAGCGGTAGTCGTGCGGCCCCCGAGGGTGCTTTCCTTCGTCGCCCCAGCACTGTCATTACTCTCCCATCTTTACCCAGGTCCGCCTTGGGTTCAACCTGTGCTTCCGTGCAAAACAAAGAAAGTGAATATCCGGGCGCGGCCGATTTGCATAGCCTCGGGGTCTTTGTATCAGCAACGGAAGTTGTGTCCGGGCATGCTGAACTTTAGCAAGGGGCTTTGCTACCAGTCAAGCGCCTTGTCGTTCCCAGCCTCGACTGGCTTCAGGCTGTTCCATTCGCTTTGCATTTAGTTGTGATTTATACTCTGTATTTCGCAAATACAACATTGCTGCCAGCATGGACGGCTCCTTCCCCAACCGCAAATGACTGGCGCACCTGCCGGCACACCTGTGACCGGCCATTACAGCGTAGTCACTGCCTGCATCCCGCCATTGTGGTCCAAGACAAGGGCCCCCTGTGGATCCCTTGGCTTCAAAGGAAGGAACGACTGGCGTGGGCAGATGCAACAATGAAAGAGCGACTGGAGGCCACTCTATGAACGTGGGCCTGGCCTGTCTTAAACTGGTGTATTACGACAAACGACCTACGGCATAATTACGCTCTGCTTTTTGGGGCGGCAGGAGCCACCGGCGCGCCTCTGTCATGCGGTCATCTGACTAACAAAACTAGCTCCACAACGGCTCGCTGGCCCTTTCCTCTTTCCAGCCGACTGGATACACCGCCGCAGGGCCTGGACCTCTTTTTCAAAAAGACTTCTTTCGACGCTTTTCCCTCTGTATTTTTCTCGCCATCGATTTTCGTATCACCACATTCACCCCCCACCCGGTTTCGTTCTCGTGCCCCAATTCGTGCCCGGCGTGCCAGCCTCTGGGGACACACACAGAAGCGTCACACATCACACAGTCGTTTCTGTTGCATATACCCTGGACCCTGTAGGACGGTGTATTGCCTCGTCATCCCGGCTGACCAGAGCCAAGACAAAACCAGCGCCAACGACAACCCCAATCGTGGGACCCCAGAAACAAACGCCCAGGCGCACTACGTCCGTTCGGTCGCTGTCTCTTTTCGTCCCTCCCGGCTCCCCAAACTACCCAACGGTTTCCATTCACCGCCGCTGTCGTCTCGTGCCGTTCTATTGCGCCGGGCTTTGGCCTTTTTGCAACCTCGGACTCGACCTGATTCGGCTTCGATATTTTCCTTGCTCTCTTTTGTTTTGGCCTTCTCTTTGCTCTTCTTTTTCTTCTTGCATCCTGCATCCTCTCCCACGCGCTGTGATACCGCCGACCGCTCCAGCTTCCTTCCCGGCTCAATGACGCTTTTCTCGTCTACCACGACCTCCTCTTCTTCTTCCACGGCGCCTTCACGACGGCCATGGACCACAAACGAGAACGAGACCGCCTTGTCGCGGCGCTGCGGCTTAAACTAACTCAGCTTGATGCCCGTGTCGTGGCCTACCGCCGCGAACGTGCCGACGAATTCCGCCGCTACGCCGTCGACCTGCTAACGCCTGTTGCTGACGAGGCTGTTGTCGCGGCCGTCGCTGAAGCCATTGAAGGCAGCCCCGGTGGCGACCTCAAAAGCGCGACCGATGGCAAGGTGGCACAGTCCTACCCGGCGCTCTATGCTGGATTTCTTGACAATGCCGGCGACGATGCCGGCGACCACAACCGCTCCATTCTGGCGCCTCCACCCCACGCCCGCTCTCTGCCGCGCCGCTCCGCCTCACCACCCCCCGTCCTCTACCACACATCCGGCGTGCCCAAGGAGGGCCCGAGACGACCACCGACAGGCCCCGCCGAGGCTTCGCCTTCGCTGCGTGCGCATGACGACGACTTCCGAGGCGTCTTCACGCCACCCTTCCTTCCCTTGTTGGATAGCTGGTCCTACGACCGTCGGTCTAGCGATGCGAACACGCAACGTGATCAGACCGAGACTGCCCACGGCAGTGCTGCTGTGGCCGATGATTCCGCGACTCCCGAGGCTGCGACTGCCAAGGTGGAAGCAGACGACGGGGCTACTGAGGCGACAGCAGCCGGCACCGTTGCGGCGGGCGCTGCTGCTGCTGCAACACCACCCCAGCCGTCTACGCCAGCCTCGGAGCCGAAATTAAGGAGTGCGCTGCGCAGAACCTCGAGCTATTCGTCGTCGCGCTCTTCCACGCGCTCAAACACACCCACTTTTAATACGCCCGCAAACGCCGACAGCCCGTCGGACACCCGCCACGTGCGATTTTCGTTCAACGGCGAAGAGGTGCTCCCGACGTCGTCGCCACCAAGGGACCACGAGCAGGATCTGTCGTGGTTGATGCACGACGACCGGAGTGGCCATGACGCGGGGCATTCCATGAATGTATATGACTACAGTCGCCATTACCAAAATGCAGCGGCCGGTTCAAGCGCGTTTTCAAGTGGACTGGGCTCTGCGCACGGGAGTTTGGGGTTGGGCGCGACAGCCCTGTCAACGCCCCTGTCTCATTCGTCGCTGCCTGGAAACGAGGCTGAGACAGGAGCCGCTGGACCACCATTTGAATCGACATCCTCTTCAGCGGTGTCAGCAGGTGACCAAACAACGCCACCTTTCCAAGGATTTGGCGCGCAATCAAAAAACGAGTCACATCCAGGTGATAACGCTTCTTCTTATTCTTCTGTTTCGTCCCCATTTTCCTCTTCTTCCACTTCCCACCAACCACCGACTTCGCCACCACAACCACGTCGCCGCCACAGCCAGATCCTTGACGACGACGAAGAAGAGTTTGTGCCGCTGTCGCGCAAGGTGTCTTCCTCTGACCGCCTGCGCGCTCTCTCCAAAATGTCCCTCGAAGACCCGGCCAACTGGACCGTCGTTGATCCACAGGCGGATGCCGCTGCGGCTGAGGCTGCCGCGGCTGCGGCTGCAGCCGGCAGCAACTCGGCGGGCAGCAGTGCGCGCGCATCCGACGCCGAATTCTCTGCGGCCACCGAAGCCAACCGTAATCTAGCGTACCAACCGGCGGGAGTACAGCGCGAACAAGCGTCGTCACCGCCGACAGTGGAACAACGCGAGTACGCCCCGAGCCCCAGCTATGGAAATAGCGCTGGTGCCGACAACAGCTACAACAGTTACAATAGCTACAACAGCGAGTCCAGCAGCGACGGTGACGATGGATTTATTGCTATGCGCGCGTCGCGCGGAAAGACGACGCGGCCGCTCGCTCCAGCCGCGTCGACAGCACCAGCATCGACTACGACTGCCAATGGCAGGACACCGGAGAGCAGTAGCGACAACAGTACTCGTCCGAAGCATAGCACATCGCGGAACGAGGCCATTCAAGTCACGTACGCTGCTCCCAACGGTGCTAGTCGTAAAAACGCGGTTGCTGCAGAAGACGACGACTTTTTTGGCTTCGAACCGGACGACGTGAACGGCGAAGACGACGACGGTACTGTGGGCTATCCACTGGCTCGCGTGACAGACGTCAACACCCACTTTGGCGAGGAGGAGGAAGACGAGGATGCGGAAGACGAGGAGGCCAACGATGATGGCACCGTGGAGCACCAAGGTGACGATGCGCCCGTTGTTAACGACAAGGATCTCGTCCAAGCAGAAAAAACTGCGCTGGGCATCGGCACCGACGGCCTCGACTCCAACCATCTCGCCTTCAACCGGTCCAAGCCGATTGCCAACCGCGACGGTGGGGATGGAGAGTCAGCACTCGCGTCGTCCCTGTCGGCAGCCCGGCGGAATGGCCAGCTGGACGGCGAATCGGGACCAGAGCCGCCGTCATCCCCAGGTCCTGCGTCCATCTCCGTTGGATCGTATCGTGGCAAGCCCATCGACCTTTTCAATGTTGTCAAGGATCCCCGCGTCCTGCAGCAGGCTGCCCAAATGGGTGCCCTCAACTCCATTTACGGCAGTATCCACGACCACGAGCCTCATGCACCCGCTAACATGGCCGAGTTCTCGAGCCTGAGCGGCCGCGAGCAGCTCAACCTCTTGTCCGGCACGCCGCGCAGCCTGACGGAGCGCATGATTATGGATGACACGCGTGCCATTTTCTCGCCGCCCAAGCGTTGAGCTTCAGCCTCTGCACTCTCCTAATACCACCGTTCATGTCGTTTCACCCTGTATCCATTTCCTGTTTTATTCTTGGGCGCCTTGCTTTTTTTTGTGTCATATATATCTATATATATAATATGGTCTGGGAGTGATTATCGCTGGGTATTCGAGGTCAATATAAAGTGGTCATTGGTCATTGGTATTGGTTACCGGTCATCAAGGCAGTTTTAATTTCATTTCTAGATATCATGTCTATTGCATTTTTATCTTGTTTTATCATTGATCTTTTGCTGTGTTTCGCATCTTTCTGCTTTATGTCCATCCGCGCCTTCCTTTTTTTTTTTTTTTTTTTTTTTTTTGTCCATGTTCTTTCCTTGTTACGATCGTTTAGCATAGAGGAGAGAACAAGCAGGAGCAGAAATAGAGGCCAACAAGAATACAACACCCAGAGGGAGAGTAAGCTCTGATGGTGTTTTCAAGTACGATTAAACCCCGTACCGCGTTGGTAGTGATCAGGCCGCTGAGGTTTTTTGTATTTTGAACGTCTTATGTGTAAGATGCTGTTTGACACTATGACTAGCAGCCTTTCAGATGCCGCCTTTGCTCCTTCCCTGCGGCCTGTATTTGTAGTGTATTTTGATGGTGGCGGTGTGTGGGCCCAGACGCAAGTCTGAGTCAAACGACAACCGAATAGGGAAGTCGCGATCCGACGCCTTGTCTCGCCCTGCATTCCAGGCTGAGTATTTTAACTGACTCCCACCCCACTAGGCAACACCAGTTAAGTGGAGATTTCCGCCTGCCGCCCTGTCTCTTTCCCTTGTCTCCATGCGCAAGCACCTGTATCACAGCAAGGGCTGCGATTCGCCCAAGCGATAGTCCGCGCTAAAGCACTGGCAGAGGCCAGACGAGGCAAGAAGCCCTCGATGGCCCTTGTCCCTTCCTTCACCTGCGTGCATACCAATCAGATTTATCCCTCCCTTGGCCGGTCGTGCCTTCCCTGCCTCAACTGACTATTACTGTTGCCAGTTTAACCGCCACCAATATACAACGCCTTCCTCCACAGCTCCAAAGCACATCGTCTTCTTTCCTTTCCACTTGATTATTAGCTCGCTTTTCCTGCCTTTTCGCCTTTATTGCAGAGTATTGCACCGCCTCGACTCTTTCTTCTCCTTTCTCTTTCCCCCCTCCTCTCTTCTCCTTTCCATACCGCACCCACCAACATCACTTACTTTGCAACCATTCGTTCTGGTCTAGGCCTCTCGTATCGTCGATATCGGCCAACGCCCGTCTCTCGGTAGTCTCAACGTCGCTCTTTACGCTGGCGACGCCAACCCGACCAACGCCGGACGCCGACGTATCCCACCTCGCCGCCCTCGTCGAGAGTGTTTCGCCTGGTGACGTTCTTTTTGATCCGAGCCGCACAACGACCACCATTGTAACATCCATCCCCTCAACGACAACCACATCTCCTGCTGGGGGCGCTGCCACGTTCGGATCCGACCGGTACCGTGACGAAGACGACGACGACGACATCTCGGACGACGACGACACTGTAGGCTCAACTAGCAGCTACCTTGCAAACGTATACCGCAAACCCGCCGGCCCTCAGACCAGCACCTTTGGCCTTCCCAGCCAACCCCCTGCAGTGCCTCATTTTCGCACATACCCGACCGCCACCGGGGTGGAAGAATACACAGCCGAAGCAAAAGACGTCAAGATGGACGGCAAACGCCAACTGAACTCGTTCCAGCAGCTGGAGAAGCTGGGCGAAGGTACCTATGCTACTGTATGTTCTCTCTTGGCTGTGTTTTTCATTGCTATATCGAACTTGCCTACTAACCCGTCGCCTTCCAGGTCTTTAAAGGTCGAAACCGCCATACCGGCGAGTTTGTCGCGCTCAAGGAAATACATCTCGACTCCGAGGAGGGAACGCCGTCGACTGCTATCCGCGAGATTTCGCTCATGAAGGAGCTGAAGCACGAGAACATTGTTGCGCTGCACGATGTCATTCACACCGAGAGCAAGCTGATGCTTGTGTTCGAGTACATGGACGGTGACTTGAAGAAGTACATGGACACCAACGGCGAGCGCGGTGCCCTGAAGCCGATGCTTATCAAGTCCTTCATGTACCAGCTACTCAAGGGCATCGACTTCTGCCACCAGAACCGTGTCCTCCACCGCGACCTGAAACCCCAGAACTTGCTCATCAACGGCAAGGGCCAGCTGAAGCTTGGCGACTTCGGTCTCGCCCGCGCCTTTGGCATCCCTGTCAACACCTTCTCGAACGAGGTCGTCACCCTCTGGTACCGCGCGCCCGATGTCCTGCTCGGCAGCCGCACGTACAACACGAGCATTGACATTTGGTCCGTGGGCTGCATCATGGCCGAGATGTATACCGGCCGCCCACTGTTCCCGGGTACCACCAACGAGGACCAGATGCTGCGCATCTTCCGCATCATGGGAACGCCCACCGAGCACAACTGGCCCGGCATCAGCCAGTTCCCCGAGTACAAGGCCACTGCGCCGCGCTATGCCACGCAGGACTTGCGCCAGATCCTCCCGCAGATTGATGCTACGGGCATCGATCTGCTACAGCGTCTGCTGCAGCTGCGTCCCGAGCTCCGCATCAGCGCACATGACGCTCTCCAGCACCCTTGGTTCCACGATATCCTGCAGCACCAGCACAGCCAGCAAGCCGCCGTACAGCATCAGCAGCAGCAGCAGCAGCAGGTCGCTGCCACCGCTCAACAGGCTGCCGCGTTGCAGGGCCAAGGGCGCAGCGCGTTCCAGCCTGCGGCTGTTGCGGCGCAAGGCGGGTACGAGGGATATTAGAGTGACCTCTCAAATTATAAAAGGGCGATGATTGGCATCCCATCGGCGTTGCCTCATCTGACAGCAGCACTCGACCCCAAAACCCTGGACTACAAGGTGCCTAATGCCAGGTTGTTTCCAAAGATACGACAACAACAAGCCGGCGAATTAGAACTTAGCCAGGACACTCTGACAACGTTATTGCGCCTTGGCCGCCCACAGCTTCCCAACCCATCTTACTGCTACGACAACCGACACGCCTCTGTTCCACCTACATCATATTACAATAATAGCTTTGCGGAAGGCGCTACTTTTCCCAGAATGCAACAGCCGGCGCGTCCCACCCATGTAGATCATCAAGCAACATTTTTACATCCAGGAGGCTCCATGCCTCAGCAAGCTGCCCACCATTTCCAACCATCGGCTTAGTCAGCCTTTCAGCAACCCAGACGTCAACATCATCATCATGGTCAAGAAAAGAACGATCGACACGTGAAGCGCCAACGAAACAGATATCATTACAGCAACTGGCCAAACAACATTGGGAGTGAATCGCTCCAGGCGAATTCACGAAGCCGTCCAAGAAACATGCCAGTGAACCTCCAGGTCTCACAACCATCTGCGAATCAACAGGAAGCCCGACCATTGGGCCAATCTAGCTCCACGAGTGCGGTAGCCTCTTACCACCGTTCACAAAGGCAAGGCACAGCATCCGAAGCACAAGTGGCCGTCTATCCCACTTACACCCTGGGAGTACCAACTGAAGTTTTACTGGCCTGGCCTTTCGACACACCTCCGCATCCCCAGCAACACCCTGCCTCGGCCTTGAGGTCGGGATCGTTTCCTCCGACAAATGCTAGCAACTCTGGCTTCGCAACTCTCCCGCTTCGCCCGAAACACTCTTCCTCAAAGCTTAATCCTAAAGCAAAACCGTTCACGTTCAAGAGAAAGCCATGACACCTGGTCGTTTGCCCCCGCCTGCAGAGTTCGCCGGTATTTCTCGGAAGATGACACCGATTTTCTCGTCGTTTGTCGTTGCTTTTAAAGTTTTGTCGTTCGTGCTTGTGCGTACGGAGTCCTTTTTTCTACTGTGCCAGCATTCATTTGTTTATATTTTCTGTTTTGTTTATGAAGAGGTGTGGGATACAATCGAGGTGGCATGTTTAATAGACGGATACCATGCATGGCTAGTTCTTGTCTTCTCTTTTTTGTTTTGTTTTCTGTTTTCTACTATAATTGTACCTCGATAGATACATCAACTAAAAGCGTACCATCGGCAACAAAACGTCTATTCAACGGACTGACTGAAATGTACAAGCTGTATTGGGCAAGCGTTTGTTTTTTTTTTTTTTTTTGCAAATTGATGTATTCCTTACTTTTGTTGGTAATTCTTATGTCGTTTTGGTCTAAAATATTGATATCAAACTCCGTTTTGCACATTGGTACGACTTGTGCCAAGTCCTCCGTGGCCATGACCTGCTCAGCCATACTATCTTCCTTATACCGGGCCCTCGCCACCGGGAACCAGCTATATTCATAGTTAGATTGGATGCCATCTCCATGTCTTGTAAAACATGAGCCTTCAACGGCTGCCAAGGTCGACGTACCATGCATATATTGTTGCCGTTTAGCAGGATCTTGGCCAGCTTCGTCTGCTCGCCCGAGTAGTCACTAAATAAGGTGTGTCAGCAGCGATTAATGATTGAAGCAAATCAGCGCGTTCTTCCGTCAAAGACGTACAATTCTGTTACGTCCTCGAGGACCATGTCTAGAGTGAAGTGGTTAGCTTGACGGGCCAGCCTTCGACACAAACACACCTGGCGAGAACAGCACAGTATACTTACTGACGTAGTCGTCGAAACCGACAAGCGTGCCGCTGAATTCTGTAGGAAAGAGTCAGTCTGCTACAGCTTCGTGTCGCATCTGTATGAGAACCGAACCTACCGCGCTCGCCCTTCATAACGACCCATATCCGCGAGCCGACGCACTTGTCGATGAGTTCTGTGATATGTTAGCTGCCAGTCTATACGAACCAGTGTGCGCCGCACACCCGCGCTCGCTTTGTTGCTGTCCTGAGCAAAGGGAGGGAGATGAGATGAGATGACGGACCGAGAGGGAGGAGTTGCGACGCCATGGTTGCGGCAGTCTGTGTTTGTAAAGGAGAGCGTGCGATGCTGCGAGTATATGTATCTCAAAAAGAAGAAGCAGGATACGTATTATTGCGCGGGCGTGTACGAATCGTCGTCGGCGTCCGTTTTGCGCTGTGGTTTGATGAAGCTCTGGTTCCAAGGATCGATGTCGCTGTCGCGCCTGCCAAAACTGCCCCTCTGTCCAATCGCGCGCCGCTCACTCAACCGCAAAAAAGTGGGCCTCAAACTGGCTCGTGGGCTTGCCTCACAAAGCGCCAGCAACGAAGGGATTTACAAGAACATTAAAACGAGACAGAATGCACGAAACTACCAAATTGTCGTTCTTGGAGTGACAAAAAAATTGAGGATACCATAACCAACAAAATCTTAGACCGTTGCCGGCCATTTCCGACCGTTGGCAAGATTGTAAAAACGCGCAAAAAAAATAAAATATTCAGAGGACCTGAGGGTGATCGAAACCCTGACCTAGGGATCTGCAATCCCTCGCTCTACCACTGAGCTACACGTCCATGAACAAATGATTTTTGTTGGAGGTCATGACTACTATCGGACTTTATAACGGCAGGCGCTACGGCATTGCCACCAACAGCCGATCTAGGGGCTTTCGAGAATAGAATAGGCAGGAGCTGCTTGCAGCGCCAACCTCACACGCTTGTCACTTGTGTCTGGTGTATGTCTGCGTATTGTTTTGAATACACTTCTTTTGTATTTGCTTTCGTCTTTACAAACATGTGCAGTTTTCCATTTTGTTGCTATATACCTTCTGGTGTTATTTGCCCATTATCCGTGGCTGCCTTCACAACGGATCGCTCCTGCCCTGTCAAGTCGGCTGCGTGAGCTTTCCCCACACACACTTATTGCCAACCAGCCTCCTGGCAACAACACATCTCCCCCCATGCAACTCTTCCACTGAAAGGCACAACACTCCGAGACTCCTTCACACCATTTCGGCACCTCGACTGCCTAGACCTGCGCTGTCCTTCCTGGTTGCTGGAAAACTGTGGTACTCTCGAGCATGCAGCAGCTAGTCACTTGCTGTCCGTACTTCAATCCCACCGCCATCTGTGGAGCCGCCCCCGGCGGGATATGAGATCTACTCTCGCACTCCCTCTGGACTCTCGTCGATTCACTTCCCATCGGCCCAGTCTCGTTTCTCTCCCCATATCTCCCTCTCACTCCCCATGGGCAGGCATGGCACCGTGATCTTGCGACGCGTCGACAAGCCGGTTCCCAAGACGGTTGCGCCAACTTCGAGCCGCGTTCTGTCTCTCTCTACGCGACAGTTGTCCCCGGCCCTGACGATGGGCTCGCCAAGTACGCCCAATAATGGCGCAGCGCCGATGCCGCCCAATTGGAGCTTATGGCGGCCCGACAACGGCATCGTTTTCGGCGCTTCGAACGGCGTATCGACCGTGGTGACGGCCTCGGGGACGGCTACAACTGCAGCTGCAACGGCAACAGTGACTGCGACCGCTCCTGTGTCGGAAACAACTCAGACACAGACCAAGTCGTCCGCCGCAGCCACAGCTTCGGTTTCGACAACACCTCGTAAGCTTGTACCTCGAGTGGCCGCATCGCCGCTTGCGCAGCAGTCACCACGGCGAGCGGTTGCTTTTGCGCAGCAGGCCACAACCCATTTTGTACATACGACCATGCCGATACGGTTTAGCCCCAAGCAGGCGATACACAGCATGGCGCAAAGGGCAGACGTGTTTGAGGATAAGCTTAGTAGGGAGACCTTCGGCGACACAAAAAACGGGACCAGGACAAAAGAACAAACGGGGGCAAGGGAGACAGTAACGACCGAGACTGAAAAGGCAGCAGAGGCAGCAGAAGCAACAGAAGCAGCTGCAGCACCAGAAACGTCACCGGAAACAAATTTAGACTACAAGGTCCCCGACGACCTGTTTCGCGCTGCCCGCGTTGCACCAGAAGGCAGTCCAGAGTCCTACTGGTCGTACGCGCTGTATCGAAATATTCAGACCGATAAGAAGGGCGACGACAAAGCCGACAACAGTGACGATGCTGCCACCAACGCAGCTAAAAAAAGTCCCACAACCGTGAAGGTGCATTATTGCAAGAGCAAGCTCACAACAGAGCGTGTGTGTCAAGAGTACTTTTTAGACGAGCCCCTTCTGGGCTTCGATCTCGAGTGGATGCCAAACGCTACGCGGTGGGATAGCGCCCGCCGTAACGTGTGCCTCGTGCAGCTCGCCAGTCCCAGTCGCATCGGTCTCTTTCACCTGTCGCTGTACCCAGCCAAGGACGACCTAATGGCGCCTAAGCTGCGCCGCATCCTCGAGGACGCAAGCTCCATCAAGGCCGGCGTCTGTATCCGGGGCGACGCGACACGCATGCGCAAGTTTTTGAATGTTGACATGCGCGGCGTCGTGGAGCTCAGCCACCTGCACAAGCTTGTTACGTACTCGAAATCGGGGGAGACCAGTCTCATCAACAAGAAACTGGTCTCGCTGTCATCACAAGTGCAACAGCATCTGCGCCTGCCCATGTTTAAGGGCCAGGACGTGCGGGCCAGCGACTGGTCTAAACCGCTGCAGATGGACCAGATTATCTGTAAGTCGACGAAAACACACACATTTCTTATATTCCGTTGTTTCCTATCCTAACAATTTAGACTCCGCTTCCGATGCATATGCAGCAGTTCAAATTTTCTCCGTCTTGGAAATGCAGAGAGAGAGTCTCGACCCGAAGCCACCACGGCCGGCCTTTGCTGAACTGAACCTGCCTATCAAGCTCGCTGGTGGCGTTGTGGCCTCACCGGCTGCGGCTGAAGAGACAAGCGAAGAAGCGGCTGACGACCTGGCCGAAGAGCCGGCCGTAGATGGCGACGTTGGCGTATCGCCGGCACAGTTATCAGCCGAATATTTGGATAAGGCCAAAACGACGATTGAGTTCGAGGCCGAGGAAGACAAGCCGGCAACTCCTGCCACACCAGGCAAGACCCGGACCGCAAGTGCACCTTCGTTGTCGGATACACCAAAGACCTCCAAGACCCCCAAGTCTCCAAGGTTGCCCAAAAGCCCGGCCACGCCATCCAAGACCAAGGACGCGCGCATCGTCGCAGCTGAAGAGTGGATCGCTCGCTATCGTGCGACGGCCAGCAGCAACGGGCGAACTGTGCGAGCGCGGCCGGCATCGTTGCGTGCCTACCATCTGTGGCACGGCAACGACGAACTGGATCCCGTGACGCTGGCTGCCCTGCTGCGCGACCCGCCGTTGCAGACCAATACCGTCGTCTCCTATATCCTCGACGCCGTGCAGCTCGAGGCGCTGCCGTACGTCAAGACTCGATTACGGGATGAGCTGCTGGAACACATGCCGCGCGACTTTCTGATGAAGAAGTATTCGGGCCTTGCACGCTCCAGCGGTTACACAGTCGGTCCCGCCAGCGCCTCAGCTTCGACCGGCTTCCGAAAAACGTGATACATATACCCAATGTATGGCAAACGTCGCATAAGAAATAGAGGCATATTTAATTTCAGAAAATCTATGATCAAAACTCCTAAACAGCAATGAATATGAAAACTCCCAAATTTGCAGATGAAGAAACAATGCACAAATACAAAACAAATAACTTTTCCCACATTATCATCTTACTACGCCACAACGTCGCGTCCCCGGTTGACTTGCACCCGCTTGTCTTCGCCACCGCTGACAATGCCCCAGGTCTTATCCCAGGCAACGTCAAAGACCTTGACACCCTCGCCGGCCAGCGGCCGCCGTTTGCCCTCGCGGCCCTCACGATCGATGACGTAGACAGCCTCGCTGACGGACGTAAGATTGGATGTGCCGGCGCTCTCGCCATTGCTCGGCGCTGCGGCCGCGTCGTCGTCGACAGCCTTGCGGCTGCTCCGCAGATCCCAGACGCGGCACGTGCCGTCGTGCGACGCAGACACCAGTGAGTACTCGTTGTCCGGTGCCGCTGCCAGTGCCACCACCTTGTTCACGTGCCCTCGCAGCGTCATTACAGCCGTCGTGGCCACGGATGCGCGCGGGTCCACGAGCACAACATTGCGCGCCGCATTACCAGCAGCCAGGAGGCGGCCGCTGCCGCTGCCGCCGCCGCCCGACGAGGACTTGGAGCCCACGGCACACAGAGACAGCAGCGCGTGCGACGTGGCCACAGTGCTGACCACCTGGCCCGTCGTTAAGTCGAGCGTGCACAGTGCATGGTCCTGGCCGGCCGAGTAGGCGACAGTGCGGTCACGCGGGTCAAAGATGGCGGCCGTGGCAGCGGCGTTCTTATGCGCCTGGATCAGCGCCAGGGCGCCGCGGCGGGGGACGTCCGAGGTCGCACCCGACGCCAACGAGATCTTGCGCTTCTTGTTGGTGGCAGCCGCCGCGCTGCCGGCACCGGGCAGCAGCGACTCAGGGGCTGCAGGGGCCGACGACTTGGAAATGGACCACAGACCGACGCCGCCGTCCACGGACGCAGAAAGCACGCGCTTGGACGTGGCGTCGACGGCGAGCGAATCGACGCTGCCCTTGTGACCGTACAGCTCGAGAAGCGGCTTGAGCAGCGCAGGGGCTGCAGAAGACGAGACACCGCCATCGTCCGCCATCACGGCATCCTCGCCGCCCTCGTTGTCGTCCGCCGCGCTGTACTTCCAGATGCGAACCGTCCGATCGAGGCCCGCCGAGGCAATGTGCGTCGCCGTGACAAAGCGTGCTGCCTTGACACCCGCTGTGTGGCCGCCCTGTGCGGCACCGGTCGACATCGTCGTCACCTGGCCGGCGGCATTCCACAGCCGCAGCAGGCCGTCGTAGGAGCCCGACAGCAGCCGGCCGGAGGCGCCAGCGACCGACGGCGAAACGTCCACAGAGCTGACCCAGTCGTCGTGCTCAAAGCTCGCCTCGAACACGGGCGGCACCAGACTGCGCACATACTGCAGAGTCACCGTCGTCTCGGACGAGATTCCATTGTCGCGCAGGTATTCCTCGAGCGTCGTGCGGAGGTAGGCGCCGTCCACGAGAAAGTCAAAAGGGACGGGCCGGTCGGTCGCCAGCATAGACTCGGAGTTGAGGATGCGCGAGAGGCCATAACGGCGGATGTCGGCGGGCACAATCAGCGGGCGCTTGGACTCGGGCAGCTGTAGGTCGGCATCCTGCTCGGTGGTCGTAAAAAAGACCTTGACCTGCGCCGAGGCGTCCTCGTCGGACCGGTCGAACGCGGCTGCCATTTGGGGCGTGGGTGGGAAGTCGACTTGGATGAAACCGAAGGTGTGTAGAGAGTGGTCAATTGGGCGGGAGAGGACGTGATTGGGCCGGTGACTGGACCTGGTCAGAGTTGGCGCTGGCGGTGATGCTGAAACGGGGCGTTGTTTTGACGGACGATATTTTTGCGTTTCTCTTGTTTAGCAGGAACTTTTTTTTCTTATCTTATCGGGCACTTTTTGGGTGCCCTCCTCTTGCGAAGCTCAGCCTTGCGGTCCGCCAGGAAAGAGCAATTAACGTCCCCAAACACCAGCCTTGCCCCGCACGATGCTGGAACCAATAAGCGCAGCCCCTAGAAAGGCCTGAAAAACGGCCAGTTGTAGTGGCTGCCGGGGGACTCTCCCGCCACTTAAGGGGTGCGCCAAAACGCGAATTCAGGCGCGTCTAATTGCCCCTCTAAAGCGCGTCCTCCAGCATCATCGTCAGTCGTCCTGTCGTGTCTTTCACAGTCGTCGCCGTTGCATCGCCACCACCACGACAGCGAGCTTCCGTTTCTTATAGTCGACTTTAGCCAGAGAGTACACTATGGTGTCCCTTGATGCTGCCAAAAGCCTGCTAGCTGGGCCTCTGTACGTCGACCAATTCAGCAGCCAAAAAAAAAAAAAAAAAAAAAAAAAAAAAAAGACCTCGAATCAAAACGTCAGGAGCTGTTCCATGTCTCGTCTGCGACTGATGTACTGACCCTGCTTCTCTCTCCTCTCTCAGTGACGATGCGCCCTTGCCCGAGCGCACCCAGACGGCATACCACCCGCTACACCGCTTCCACCTCGAAAACAGCCGCCAGTACCAGCAGCAGTTTGCCGACATGTACTTCTTGCGCCTCGCCAAGATCAAACCGGCCGTCGACAAGGTCGCCACCGAGGCCTTTAGCGACGTCGTCGTCGGCGGCACGCACGCCAAGAAGGTCGAACGTGTGCTGGACGTTCGGCAGGGTGAGCTTTGTTGGGTCTCAGGTACCGTCTACATGGACATGCCCTTTAAGCCGAGCATCCTCGAAGATGTGTCCAAGGACAAGCTGCTGTCCAAGCCGTCCGCTGTGAAAAAGTACGTCCCCGAGGACGACGACGACGTTCTGGCCGAGGGCCGCGGCAGCGTCGCTATCATGCTCGAGGACGACTCGGGCCGCATCCGCCTCGTCGGCCGGCCGCTCCGTTCTGTGCTCCTCGTGACCGGCTGCATTATCGCCGTCATGGGCACCGAGAACGAAGATGGCGAACTCGAGGTCATTGACATTATGTTCCCGGACCTACCGCCACAGCCCGAGCGCTGGGAGCTGTCGACGCCAGTGGCAAACGCTACGGGAGAGGATCCACCGGCAAAACGGCCCAAGGTCGAAGGCAACGCCGGTAAGAACGGCGCCCCTGACGATGTCGATATGGACGGCACAGTTGAGAATGCAGGGAGCAGGCGTGGCGGCGGGAAGAAGGTTGCGATTGTGTCTGGCCTCAACTTCTCGGGCCCCCACAGTGCGTCCGCGGTCGAGACATCACTCCTGCTCGAATACCTCCTGGGCGAGGCGCTGGCGCCCGATTCGCAGCAGGAAGTCTCACACATCAGCCGGTTAATCATTGCAGGCAACTCCATTGCCGCAGCGGAAGACCCGGAGGACCAGAAGGCGGCTGCCCCGGCAGCTACGACAACAACAGGCGACGCGGCCGGCGGTCAAGCACAGCAAAAGAAATACGGCTATGACAGCAGCAGCTACAACCCTGTGCCCAGTGCGCTTCTCGACGAGTTTCTGGCCGAACTACTGCCGTCCATACCCGTGACGCTGATGCCGGGCACGAACGACCCGGCCAACTCTAGCATCCCACAGCAGCCCATCCATCCGGCCATGTTCCCGCACGCCCGCTTATACACATCGCCCAAGGCACAGACACCGCCTGACTCCGCAGCATCCCAGACCAGCTGGTTCGACACCGTCACCAACCCCTGGGAGGGCGAGGTCGAGGGCTGGCGCGTCCTCGGCACCAGTGGCCAGACCATTGACGACATCCACAAGTACGTTCAGGGCAACGACCGCCTCAGCATGATGGAGGCCACCTGTCGCTGGCGCTGCGCCGCACCCACCGCCCCAGACACACTTTGGAGCTACCCGTACCAGGAGGACGACCCGTTTGTCCTCGACACATGCCCCCACCTCTACTTTGCCGGCTCACAGCCCGCATTTGGCACCCGCATCATCACCGGGACCGACGGTCAGACGGTGCGCCTCGTTGCCGTGCCCGTCTTTTCCGAGACACACGAGGTCGTTCTGCTCGACACGGAAACGTTGGAGGTGACATGCGTAAAGATCGAGCGGCAATAGCAGAGTGTGCGCGTGTTTGGAGAAGCGCCGGGCTACGAGCATTTGGTCGATTTTGCAGTTTTTTGCTGGTTCATTTACGAATGGGCGATGGACCCTGGTGTGCGCGGGACTGCATGGCTTGTTATATGAAACCTAAACAAAAATGTATGCACGAATCATTCGAAAGTCAGAAATAGATGTGAAGCGATGCCAAGATTATGTACACGTATAAATGTCTTTTATCAGTATCGTTGTATCGGCCATTGAGGCTTGTTTTATTCCTTGAAAACTCGGAAACAAAACTTGTTAACTGTTGTCTGTCAGACTTATTTTGATATACGTTTTATTTATTTTACCGACAACAGAATATGAGTTGCTGGTCGGTGAGTAGGCCATTTTATAGAAAACTGCTCTAGGTGCTGCATAATTACATATATGGACATTGATATTGCCTCCATCGTAGTTTCTTTACCTGGCATGTTGTGCACCTTCTTGAAGTTACACTCGTTTTCCGGTGGGCAACTCTTGGGTCGCGCTTTCCTCGATTACGGCCCGTCATCCCAGCCTGCCTACCCCTTTTTCTCAACCAACAAACTTGTTTCTGTCTGTTTCTTCCTTCGTCTCCAACCGAAATATCACAAGCCACGATCAGGATCAGATACCAGCTTCCGAGGCTTGTTTTCGTGCACCCCGCATTGGAAACTTGCGGATCGCCTTGCAGGGAGATCCGGCCGATGCCATGTCGGATTTCTCCGTCGATCCACACCCGCTGCTTCACATCAGATTGGACGCCAAAAGTGACGAAGGCCTTGATCAACAACGATTTTACTTCACGCCAGTCAACAGAGTCGGCCTGTATATTCGAAGTCATTTACGAAACTGTCTCTCTCACAAACGTGCAGAACATTAGCAAGAAAAGCCAAGGAAAGCACATGCTTTGGACAACGTCCAACGAGCCTCGAAAACAAAGTCACATAGTCAGGAGACCAAACGACGTAAAGAAACGACCATCGTCCCCACCAACACAGTGACAGGAGACGTCGCAATGGGGAAAGCTGGCAGATATGCTGCTGAAGCTGGTTGTCGTTCCGTTGGGCTAGGCGCGGGTTAATTGCCCTATCTGATTGCCTTACCGCCTGTGATATACCGTTGTATCGCCATAACAGGATGCCAGCCCAACAGAAAAGATAGAAAAGGCACATCGCACACGTCAATGCATCTTTGGCACGTCAATCGTGGCGCAAAAGCGTCACCAGGACCCCAGATCTGCCCAGCCTCTGCTCCTTTCTCGATCGGCTACCCTGTCTTCCTCCCGCGCTGGGGAAACATTACGATACGTGAGTTGCATTGGCCTATCTTTTCCATTTTACCTACTGAGTACAACATGTCGCACGTCGCTTGTGTCGCCATGTGATCGGAGCAGTTTCTTTGGGGGTAATTAACTTTGAGCCTCCTACAATCGCAGCGGCCCGTCGGCGTTTCTTTTCAGACTTTTCGTGTCTTCTGATCTCCCCAGTACCTGGTTATGGAGCAGACTCGGTGCTTTGCAGCCGAGAAGATTGCGCCAATGGTTGGCAATGTCTTAAACGCCGCTGAGGTCGCATAGTCGGCTGCCATTGGTTTGTGTCAATGCGGTCCTCATTTCCTCTTTGGATGGGGATCTTCATCTCCTTCCGCGCAAATGACGGTAGATATCAATATGCGAAAAAACCCAAAGATAGAATGGGAGGCTTAAACAGGCTTGGTACCGCCCTGTGTGCAAGACTCTTTTCCGAGTGTATACGTTCAGTTTATTTTCTGAACATGGACTGAATACTTGCGATTGCGATCACTTCAAAACAACCTGGGATCCGGGTGCGCGACTCTGTGGCTGAATGCATACCAGTGACGCGTGCCACTTTCTGGCAGATATGTTGTACGTATATACTTCCTTTTCAGCCCGATTCGCTTGTTGATTCTAATTGGAATATGGGAATGTCAGTCTTGATCACACCGCAGCTGCCGAACGCCAAAAGTTTGATTACGCCGCACCAAGATGGTGAATTCCGCCTGTCTTGCCCTCGCCGCCACTGCGGCCTGGGCGCGAACAGCGTCTGGAGCTACCGTGCACCGACGCGACTCCGTGCCGCCCGAATATGTTGCCGCACCTTACTACCCTTCTCCACAAGGCGGGTGGACGTCCGACTGGACAAGTGCGTACGAGAAGGCCGAGGCCCTTGTGTCCTCCATGATCCTGGCTGAGAAAACAAACATTACTGCCGGCACGGGTTTCTTTATGGGTGAGCTTGAACTGAGCCCATAGCCACTTTCTGTTTATGTTGTTGTACTTTCTTCGCTGGGATTTGAAGGCTAACATGGTATCTAGGGTGAGTGACAGGCCTCTGCCGTACATGAATTGGTTATTCCATGACGCTCAACGATACTAACGACGTGTCCGCAGCCCTTGTGTCGGAAACACAGGAAGTGCTCTCCGCGTCGGCTTCCCACAGCTGTGTCTCCAGGACAGTGCTCTGGGCGTTCGTTCAACAGATCATGTCACGGCTTTCCCGGCCGGCATCACGACTGGCGCAACGTGGGATAAGGATCTGATCTTGGCTCGCGCCCAAGCCATCGGCGAAGAGTTTCGTGGCAAGGGCGTCAATGTCTACCTTGGACCGACCATCGGGCCGCTCGGTCGCAAGCCACGCGGAGGGCGCAACTGGGAGTCCTTCGGAGCCGATCCCGTGCTTCAAGCCGTGGGAGGCGCCTTGACGGTCCAAGGTGTGCAGTCGAAAGGCGTCATTGCGACGGTCAAGCATTTGATCGCGTATGAGCAGGAAATGTATCGCATGTATAATGTCATCATGCCCGGCTACAGCTCGAATGTTGGTGAGTATTCGACCGAAGCCACGTCGTGCCCCATGTTTCACGAATGGGTGACCTGGGGATCGCGCACAAACTGACATACCTGTGTAGACGACCGTACCCTTCATGAATTGTACCTGTGGCCTTTTGCAGAGGCCGTTCGTGCTGGTGCTGGCTCGATTATGGCAGCTTATAATGGCGTCAATGGCTCGGCATGCTCGCAAAACGGCTACCTTCTCAACAACCTCTTGAAGGATGAACTTGGGTTCCAAGGATTCGTCATGTCAGACTGGTCAGTCACTCCGCCTGCTCTTATTTTGTTGTCACAGTCCAGCTAACACGGTAGGCTCGGTCAAATGTCTGGTGTGGCGTCCGCATTGGCTGGTCTTGACATGGGCATGCCCGGCGATGAGATGATCCCTCTGCTTGGCACAAGCTACTTTATGTACGACCTTACGAGAGCCGCATTGAACGGGTTGGTACCCATGGACCGAATCAACGACATGGCAACCCGTGTTGTGGCGGCATGGTATCAAATGGGCCAAGACAAGGACTACCCGCCACCAAACTTCTCCTCCAACACCGATGCGGCCACGGGTCTGCTGTACCCGGGCGCTGTCTTCTCGCCCAGCGGCATTGTGAACCAGTTTGTCGACGTCCAGGGTGACCATGCGACCGTTGCGCGGCAAGTTGCCACTGATGCTATTACGCTGCTGCAAAACACGGGATCACTTCTGCCGTTGGGTGTTGCACGCCCACTGGTTGTGTTTGGCACCGATGCTGCCGTCAATCCTTCCGGTCCCAACGCATGCGGCGACCGGTCATGCGATACAGGCACGCTGGGAATGGGCTGGGGTTCCGGGACAGCCAACTACCCGTACTTTGACGACCCGATCACAGCACTAAAGAACCGCAGCACTGGCGGTGTCACATACCACAACTACGACAGCTGGCCTTGGTTTTTCCCACCCTCGCAAAGCGGCGACGAAGTCGCAGTAGTTTTCATCTCCTCCGATTCGGGTGAGAACCAGTATACTGTCGAGGGCAACCACGGCGACCGCGACTCGGCGGGTTTGTCGGCCTGGCATGGTGGTGACGCGCTGGTTCAGTCTGTGGCAAAGGCATACGACAATGTGATTGTCGTTGTGCACACCGTGGGGCCGATCGTCATGGACGCATGGATCGACCTACAGTCCGTCAAATCCGTGCTCGTGGCTCATCTCCCCGGTCAAGAAGCGGGTGAATCGCTAGCCGATGTCCTGTACGGTACCGTGACGCCGAGTGGCCACCTGCCTTACTCGATCCCGAAGCAAGAGAGCGACTATCCGTCCAGCTTGGGCATCCGGGGCTTTGCGCTTGGTCAGATCCAGGACACATACTCCGAGGGTCTGTACATTGACTACCGCTATCTCATGAAAAACAACATTGCACCCCGCTTTGCCTTTGGCCACGGCCTCAGCTACACCAACTTCTCGATGAGCAACGCGGCCATTTCTGTCGGCACGGCCCTGACCTCTACGCTGCCTGCCGCACGGCCGTCCAAACTTCCCACGCCGTCGTATTCATCCGCCATCCCACCGGCATCGGAGGCAACTATGCCAGCCGGCTTCTCTACAATCTGGCGCTACCTGTACTCGTGGGTGAGTCTGTCCGACGCGCAAGCCGACATTGCGGCCTCGGCCACGTCTACGTACCCTTACCCGGCCGGCTACTCGACGACACAGAAGAAAGGCCCCGCGGCTGGCGGCGCACAAGGCGGCAACCCGGCCTTGTTTGAGGCGGCATATACGGTGTCTGTGACAGTGGGGAACATGGGCAAAAGTGCTTCGGGCCGCTCGGTGGTGCAAGCTTATGTCCAGTTTCCGGACAGCAGCTCGTACGACACACCCGTGGTGCAGCTCCGCGACTTTGCCAAGACAGGCACGCTGGCGCCCGGTGGCTCGGGCACGGTGAGCCTACAGCTGACGCGCAAGGACCTGAGTGTCTGGGATGTCGTGCAGCAGAACTGGCTGCTGCCCGGCCTGCCAAGCGCGGAACGCTACACGATCTGGCTGGGTGAAGCGAGCGACCAGCTGCATACGGCGTGCTACACGGACACGCTGACCTGTGAGAGTGGGTTGACAGGGCCGTAGACATGTGTCCTTGACATGTGTCCTTGACATGTGTCCTTGACATGCATTGTCCGCATGTGTTTTTTGTTCATATAAAGCTCACATGAACATATGACATGGCCAAGGCGGAATTATGGAGATGTATATTCGTTTATGTTTTATACAGTAAAATTTCGGACGCTGCATTCATTTGTGACGCGACCTATGCCTCGCCATTCTCGTCTCCTCCGTCTCGTAGTCATACACTGTCATTGTCATTGTCCCACTCCTCCCGTCTAGTATGCAAGCCGCTTACGGCCCTTAGTCCGCCGCCGTGCCAGCGTCTTGCGGCCAGCCTTGGTGCGTACACGGCTCAAGAAGCCGTGGCGGCGCTTCTGAATCAGGCGCGTGGCATAGGCCATCGTCGCGCGCGGGCCGCAGCGGATCTGGCTGGCGAAGCCGGCAAGGGCTGGGTGGCGGGAGATGGAGGAAGGACTGATAAGGTCGGCCGCGGCGGACGCATCTGATGGTAATGATGGCGCCGGGGCTGCGGCTGTGATGTGGGAAAGAATGGGCGAGCGGAAGAAGGAGACGGCCGAGGTGGAGGTCAAAGACGTTGGCCGCAGGCGAGGGAGAATAGAGAAGGAGCTGGGCTGTTAGAAAGACAAGTCGAAAAGAAGAAGAAGACGTAGAAACTAGGTGCTATGGACAAAAATCGTACCGAGTCTGGGCCGGTGCAGCTTTGGCGGCCGTGGCGACGGTGCGCGCAGCGGCGACGCCGATTGTTGGCCGTGCGGCGAACATGTTGTGAGACGAGGGAAGACCGAGAGTCGAGATGAGTGTGAGCCCAGGCACCAAAGGCGCCGAATTGAGAGGGACCGATTGGGTTGTGGATTTCCGCTGTCGTCGTGGTTGTGGTCGCGCGTGGGCGTTTATCGACTGAGCTCTCCAATGGCGGAACGTGAGGTTCAAGATTTTTCGCGAGCAAGACCGTCGATGGGATGTCGCCATTATGCCGCTGTGATTGGCTACCACAAGAAAAAGTGGATACCTAGCTATCAACTGTAGTGGGACTCTTGTTTAGGGGCGTTCAGGGCATTTATTAGTGACTCTCGCTATAAGTTGGTTCAAGGCACGAGCAGTTGTGAATCATGTCGTTGTGCGACGTGCTTCGTACGATGAAAATCATTTCTAAACCTTTTCTGTACCAATCGTTGTTTTCTCTATCTTACAAGACTATTCCTTCACCTACTTTCTTATGTGGTGTGGTTTGTCTTCTCATATTCTTGATTGTCCCTTACACTCTCATGTAAACAATGGCCATATCCATCGGCTGAACCTTTCATCCTTTCACGAAACTACAGCTCATCACGGCCCGTGGCGACGGCCCCGTCCTCCTTCGACCCCTTCGTCTCCTTGACCTCAATCTTCTCGGTCGGCTGCCAGTCCAGGGCCTTGAGGCGCTCCGACAGGATGGGATGCGAGAAGTGGTAGTTGGCAAACAGCCAGTCCGCGTCCATGGTGCTGAGGTTCTGGATCTGCAGCCGGATCAGCGAGCGGGCCAGGGCATCCTCAAAGCCGAGGCCGCGCGCAAAGTTGTCCGCCTGGAACTCGTAGCGGCGGCTCAGGACATTCATCAGCAGCTTGATGACCATGTCCATGGGGGCGAGCGCGTCCGAGAACAGCAGGAAACCAATGATGATGGGCCGCTGCGTGAAGCCAAAGTCGGCGTACAGGCTCTTGTTGTTGATAAAGACGGAGAAGAGCGCAAAGATGTAGAAAAAGTGCGCCTGCGAAATGGCAAACAGGCGTGTCGTGTGGCCCAGGCTCCAGTGACCGAGCTCGTGCGCCAGCACGGCCACAACCTCCTCGGTCTCGCTCTTCTCAATCAGCGTGTCGTAAATCACAATGTGCTTCTTCCAGGGCAGACCGAAGAAGTAGGCATTGCTGTGGGCGCTGCGGCGGCTGCCGTCAATCACATAGAGCTCGTGCAGCGGGAACTTGAGCTTCTTGGCCAGGTCCTCGACGTCCGTCTTGAGCGGGCCCTCCTCGAGCGGCGACAGCTTGTTGAACAGGGGCAGGATGGCAATCGGGTAGATGGAAATCATAAAGACCTGCAGGCCGGCGCCAAACAGCCAGACGTAGTAGAAGAACTGGTCGCCGGTGCGGCGGATAATCGACGAGAAGGCGGCCAGAATGGGCGGGACGAGCGTGAACGTGAGCAGTTGCGTCTTGAGAATGTCCGTGACAAAAACCTTGGGCGTCTGTTTGTTGAAGCCGAACTTGGCCTCGAGCACAAACGTGTGGTAGACGGAGCCGGGCAGCGACAGCAACTGGTTGAGCAGAATCGTGGTGAGAACGAAGACGATGGACTGGGAGATTTCGCCGGAGAAGCGCGCGGGGGCAAACTGGAGCAGCAAGTGGCCCGACCACGCCCACAGCTTGGGCAGCAGGTCGAACTGGAAGAAGGCAAAGTTCTGCAGCTGGTTCCAGATGCCGTTGACGAGCTCGAACTTGGCCTTGGCGCGGCCGTACGCCTGGCTCTTGTCAAAGACCTCTTGCGAGACCTCGTGCTGCAGCACCTTGGGCGCCTTGGTGGCCTTGAGAACCTGGTACTGGCGGAGCGAGAGGAAGCCCTCGAGGAAGTACTGCGCGAGGGAGAAGCCCATAATCAGGCGCTTCCAAGGGAAGGCCGGGCGGTCGAGGAACCGGGCGAGGCGCTGTGAGACAGGGAGGGCAGGTTAGCGGCGGGTACGGCGACGGAAGCCGCGGCAGCGACGGTGACGTACCTGGAGGAGCCCCAGCATGATGGCGGTATTGACGATGGCGATGGGAGAGGAGGGAGGGAGAGGAAGCAAGATGAGATTGGAGCTTCCGGAGCTCTGGCGATGATGTTGACAAAAAGAGGGACAGATGAATGCAAAAACACGAACAAAGGCAGAAGCAGAAGCAGAAACAGAAACAGAAAAAGAAAAGCATAAATCGTGGGGTGTCTCGGAGGGGCCGCAGTGTTTCTCCTCGGGGTCTCGTCTGACGTCTGCGAGCGAGTCTTTAAGGGAGAGTCAAGTGAATCGGGAACGCAAGGCGGCGGGCCGGCTTCAATGGCAGGCAGGGGCGACCTGTCCCGTTTGCAAACTGGCCTCCTGCCTTCAGGCGCCTTGGGAGCGCGTTTCGTTTATTCGCAGAGCTCCACGGTGGAGCATGGCGTGGAGTGCCTCGTTATATGCATACTACGGAACGGAACTGCGGGGATCATAGTGACACAGGGGCGCAATTGGCGCATACAGCACGTCGGCCACTGTACCTGGGAGTTGGATAGATGCATATTAGATATTGGACGGTAATTGACACTCATCACTAGGATTAGGTATTGCTATATTTTGCTTGATTTGCTCATTTTGAAATAAAGTGGTTTCGCAATAAGATGAACGCATTATGAGAAAGCTATTATATGTGTACAAGGAGGAAAAGATAGTCATAAACGCATACCCGTCAGGTGTCCTGCCGCCGCCCGTTGTGTCCTTGCATAAGTCTCAATTTCTCGGACTGCGCATGTTGGCTTTGACTCGTTCCAGCAGCTGTTGGTCCGTATCGCCTGGCTGCGGATGCAGGTTTCTCTGGTACAAGAAAAGAGCATTGAGTTAGCCCGTCTACTGTGCGTGTGCGTGCTTCTCGCCGGCTGGCACAAAGCTGAGCACCATGGCTTGTGCTTGGGCACCTACCGCCGCCAGCCACCGGCGCAATTCCTCGCGCGTCCACGTCTCTGGAGCGCCTTTGGGGTCTTCTGTTGCCGGGAACATATCGCCGCCCCAGATGGCCCAGATCGCGACACCGGTCACGAGCCCAGAGAATGCTATTCTCACGTCAGTGCCGATAAAAAAGGTCGAAGATCCGCGGATCACAACTTACCCAAAACAGCATTCTATTTTATGTCAGCTGGGCGAAATCGCAGTATTCAGGAGATACTATTGTAAATACGACGTACCTTGGACCGCATGGCCTTATCCAATGCAGTCATGGTTGCTCTGTTATAATACAGTGAGATTTGTTGATTTGAGACGGCTGAGGCCGAGATTGAGGACTTCAAGTGCAGTATGTAAACTATAGATGGTCGCCTGGTTTAAAACCAATACGACGTACACTCACAGCAACTTATATGCGACTGACACTGGCCCGTTCCAAACGTGGCACTTGTCTTTTGCCACCTGGTTTGATGTCGTCGTCTCGCTGTTTTGGCTTTGAGGCAGCCACTTACCAGTTAGCGCTTCCGTGTTAGTAGTCGTCACCGAGACTGAGTTGCTTGGATGAATGACATAATCACAGTCCGTGCACGGTTACTCACGTGCTTCGCCCGCACAAAATACATTCGTTGAAAAAAATACAGGTGGAGCCCGCGAAAAGAGTGAAAAAATTAAGGAAAGAGGGACCAGCGAATAGACCAGGGCAAAAAAAGTGTGCCATTTTGCTTCGCAGCCCCACGACGCATCGACCCAAGTTTGAACATCACCAAATCACTATTCAACGCCTCACCAACCCCTTTTCAATCCACCACCAACGCCCCAAAACATCAGCCAAAATGCCGCGCGAAGTTGGAGACATCAAGCAGGTGTGTAGCTCTGGAGCGAGCCCCAGCCAGGAGACTCAATTGGGGCGGATGCGACGAAAAGTGCAGTCCAAATGCTGACAATTTTTTCTTTACCAGTTCATCGAGATCTGCCGGCGTGAGGATGCGTCCGGTGAGTAGCCTACGGCAATATCCGCTAAGAGAGCGACTGAACGACGAACAACGGACAAACGACGAGGATAGAAGCGTATCTAACACCAACTGCAGACGCCCGGATCAAGAAGTCCAAGAAGACCAGCCTGACCAAGTTCAAGGTCCGGTGCAGGCGCAACCTGTACACCCTGGTTCTCAAGGACTCTGACAAGGCCGACAAGCTAAAGCAGAGCCTGCCCCCTAGTATGTCCGCCTCGACAAGGAACAAAATTGTGACTCGGGACGAACAACTGCTAACCGCATAGACCTGACCTGCACCGAGGTCAGCAAGAAGAACAAGAAGACGGCATAAATAGGTGTCCCGCACGGCGCGCGCGAGAATAGGGCAATTTGGGGGACAGTATACACAATCACCTGTTGTACTAGAACAACCAGAAGAACACGAAAAGGAATTCAAAAAATTTCAAAACAGCCATTGCTGGCCTCCGTCTCCGATATAGCGAAGCGAAAAAGCGAAGCACAGCGAAAAGGGAATGGGAATCTAGGGATCACCTGCTGGCCGGTCATTGACTTCCAGCATCGCGAAGGCGTTTTTTGTGTTTCTCAAAGTGAGGGGAAAGAGATTCATTGCTTCCAATGCAGTCGTCTCTGTTGACTTTTCAATGCGCCTTGCATATGCAGCCAGTGATCACCAACGATGTCGATAACAGCCAAGACGAACAGCACAGCACGGACGACATCAATGTCAACAATTTGGCTTGGGCCAGGAGGGGTACATTTTGATTCCTTATTTGAATCCCGGCCACCATCTACAACAGCCGTCGGTCGTGGCGTGACTCCCGGCCGTCGAGCAGGCTCGTAAACGCCGTCAACTTGGGGACAATGTCCGTGTCTGCAATCGCAAAGCGCGTCTCTCGGCTCTCCCACCCAGCCACCAGCACATACTCCTCTTTGTCCCCACCCGTTGCAGCGTCCTTTTTCTTATCCACCCGCCACGCACCACGCACCGTGTTCGGCGCGGTGTACGCTTCAATGTAGCCCTTGGAGGCGTTGAATGCCATTTCAAACTCCGCCTTCTTGCCTGCCGTCACGTATATTTGTGTAACACTAATCACGGGGCTGTGTAGCAATGCCCGTTGCCCGTTTTCCCTCCGGCGTGTTTGTCTTCGTAAACACATCGGCCTCCGTGTGCACTAAAACCAGAGGCTTGGCCGGGCCGTCGATGCCCGCCGGCTGGTACAGGTGCTTACTGATCGCCGGCAGCAGTGTGTCTCGGTCTGGGTCCGTCGCGGCGCAGGTCGTGTGTTGTTCAACGTCTGCCCATGTGGCAGCCAGCAGCACTGACGCTGGTTCTTCGATTTGTTGCAGCAGCCACGCACGGCCCCGTGTCATGGCGTTGGCGCCCTTTGCCGCAGGGTCGATCTTGAGCCAGCGTGTCTGAGAGGCGAGTGCGGCTCAACGGCGCTCCGGAACCCGGGCGTGAAAGTCTCGTCGGCGCCCTTGGTGGCACCGAATTCTGTGACGGTCATTTTGTGACGTGTGCAACGTGAGACGTATGGTGTGCCAGCGATAAATACGCTGAACCTATAGATGGTCAATGCGTGATGAATTTGTGTCCTCCTATTTTGTTGTTTACGAAATCAACAATGCCGTCTCCTTTAAACGAATTGCAATTGCAACGCAGGGCTTGAAGCAGTAGAGGTCTCATGAGCACTGCGAGGAAATGACACGCCCGGAAAATGAAGCCTGCGCCTAGGGCGTATGAGAGACCATGGCATGCAGATGTCGGATAGTCTCCGGAGCAGCAGTACATATTCCCCACTGGCAGTCGTCGAAGCAGGAACAATATCGTACGTGTTGATGTGAAGATAATCATATGTCTGGAAATTGAATCGCAGAACTTTTCGTCGGTTTAATAAGTGAGAGATGTCCCAGAATATTGCCGTCCTCAGCTTCATTCAGTTCATTGAAATTGGACGCCGTCAAGACCGGATCTTTTGAGCAACCCCGGCATTGCAGGGCCTCTGTGTCACGCACACACTCCGCTGTCCTGGTCTCATGTCGCGACTATTGTGCAGCACCACAGCCTTATGCTGCCGTACTGTTGTGTTGTGCTGTTCATGTTGTGTTCCGTTCTAGTCCCAAGTTGCAATGCCCAGATGTCCAGATCGCGTGGCAATGGCTGATCTTCAGACTTTCCAGCAACCTGGATGGTAGGCGGGACGCGCAGTAGAGCACAACTGCCAGGCTTGTGTCGTAATAGCGCAGGCCAACTACGGGGCGCCAGCAAACAGCCAAGTCGCACGGAGGACGGCACATAGCCGATGGGGCCTGCGAAGGTCGGCTGAACTGGGCTGACACTGCATGCCCCTTCCATTTTGGGGCGTTCCCCTGACGGGCGCGATTTAAGGCAGCCTCGAATAACGATATTACCAAATGGCCACCAATGGGAAACTACGAATGAGACTCACACAACCAGGCAGATGAATTAATCGGGCGCGGGACGGCAGGAGCAATGTAAGGGACAAGAGAAGAAGCAAACGAGAAGGGCCTATCGAGTCGAAGCAATTGTTGGGGAAACAGCGACCGTGCTTCCCCTTTCCCACCCGGGTAGTAAACAACTCGAGCGACGAGGAACGTCATTACTAGACAGTAGACCACACCCAAAAGAGCTCTGTTTTCTCTGCCCTGGCCATCGTGGCTTCCATTTGAGGTTCCCACTCTTTTGTGTTCCTTCCGCAGCTTGACCACTACTGCTCCTGCCCCTTGTCGCATTTCATCATCATTTTCCTACTTCGTACTATTCTGTTTTCTTTTTCTCGACCGCAACATCCTCCCCATACTCACGCTCAATTTTTCCGTCTTCGTCTTCAATTTTCTGCAGCCAGGATTCACGCACCACGACAACCTTCCCCTGAACACCGGGACGACCTGCAGCTGAACAATACGCAGCTTCCCCAACAAAATTTCTGCTTCTCAGGTCCGAATTCGTCGTCGAGCATTACTCCGTTCGGCCATCCACACCTGTCCAGCCGCATTATCAGCGCCTCCTCTACGCTTCGTTTCGCCTACTAGCGATTGTTCCTCTTCAATCGCCCCTTGCCTTTGCCTCTAGCCGGTCAATTGGGCGCGATCGACTCGCTCCTTAATACTTAGTCTTTAGCCCCCGTCGACAGGCTAGAACCCTCCGGTTGCGCGCTCGCTGCCGCGCTGAGATTACCCCTAAAACCTTTGACCTCGTGACTGCCGGTGCGCCCTGGTGCGCTCCACTGAAACCAAAAGAACGGCCTAAAAAAGAAACAAAAAGGGATGACCAGCGGCGTCCATGGGCTCAGTCGAGACGTCGACCGTCTTCGCATCGCCATGACCGCCAACGACGAGGTCGCCGCTGCCGCAGCACAAGCAGACGCAGCCAATTTACAGTTACAGGCACGCTACAGGATGAACCGTAAGGCGTCCAGCCCCATGATGCCGGCCTTTATGGTTTCGGCCCCGGGCAAGGTCATTGTCTTCGGCGAACATGCCGTCGTGCACGGCAAGGTGAGTTTCTGGTTTTTTTTTATGTCCTTCTTTTTTTGAAAAGAAATAAAATAAAATAAAATAAAATAAAATCATCACTGACGAGGACTGCCAGGCTGCCGTCGCTGCGGCTATATCGCTCCGCTCCTACCTCCTCGTGACCACCCTCTCCAAGTCGAAGCGCACCGTGACGCTCCGTTTCCCTGACATCGACATGTCCCACTCCTGGAACATCGACGAGCTGCCATGGGAAATCTTCTCCAAGCCCGGCAAGAAGAAGTTCTACTACGACCTGGTCACCAGTCTGGACAGTGACCTACTCGACGCCATCCAGCCGCACCTCGCCAATGTGTCGCTGTCCAAGTCCGAACACGAACGCAAGGTCCACCAGGCCTCTGCTCTTTCCTTCCTCTACCTCTTCCTGTCACTAGGCTCTCAAAAATTCCCTGGCTGCGTTTACACGCTGCGGTCAACCATTCCCATTGGCGCCGGCCTCGGCAGCAGCGGCTCGATTGCCGTCTGCATGGCTACCGCTCTCTTACTACAGCTGCGGACACTTTCTGGCCCACACCCGGACCAGCCAGCGGATGAGGCCAGGCTACAGATCGAGCGCATCAACCGCTGGGCCTTTGTTGCGGAGATGTGCATTCACGGCAATCCCTCGGGTGTCGACAACACTGTCTCGACCCAGGGCAAGGCTGTCGTGTTTCAGCGCGCCGACTACAACAAGCCCCCGTCAGTCAAATCGCTGTGGAGCTTCCCTGAGCTGCCCCTGCTGCTTGTGGACACAAAGCAGGCCAAGTCCACTAAATTCGAGGTTGCCAAGGTAGCTCGGTTGAAGCGGCAACAGCCCGTTGTCGTCGGCAACATCCTCAACGCCATAGATGCCGTTTCGCGGAGCGCCATTGCCGCGATCGAGGGCAAGGATGCCGATGCGGACGCGGACACTGGTGACAGCGACAGCGACGCCGATCAGAACGGCGCCCTGGCCGTGAAGAGCGTGGCACAAGCCAAGGATGACGAAGACGAGGAGGAGCCGGACCAGTTGAGCAAGATTGGCCAGCTGATGGCCGTAAACCATGGTCTGTTGTGCGCCCTGAACGTGTCACACCCACGGCTCGAGCGTGTCCGCGAGCTCGTCGACCACGAGGGCATCGGCTGGACGAAGCTGACCGGCGCCGGCGGTGGAGGGTGCTCCATCACGCTGATCAAACCCGGCACGCCCAAGGCCCGCGTCCTCAAGCTCGAGCAGCAGCTGGCCAAAGAGGGCTACCAGCAGTTTGTGACGACACTGGGTGGCGACGGTGTCGGCGTACTGTGGCCTGCTATTCTGCGCAACGGCATGGACGAGGACGAAGAAGGTGGCATGGAGATTGACGTTGAAAAGTTTCTCAACGCCGAGGGTAACGACGGCGTGGAGCGCTTGGTCGGCGTCGAGGGCGGCGGCGGTGAGCGCGAGGGCTGGAAATTCTGGCGCATGTAGTCATTTGACTGCGGTTGCTAGATACGCGTCCCTCCTCTCCCACCCCACATGTCCAAGTCCTCCGGACTCTGGAAGTACACTGCTCTTTTCTGCGTTTGGTTAGTTTCGTGTCGATTATGTTTTATTATCCTATTGATATTGCAGATAACAAGGCGTTTTATTGATTGTGGGAACGTTGCAGAGAAGGACAAGGAAAGAAGGACACTGAACAGGGACAAAATAATTTTGGGAGGAAATAGAGGCATGGACAAGGGTTGGAGCTGTGCTGGCAGCTGGAGCTGGAACAGTAATCGGTGTCTAAGACGACTCTCTAGAAGCTTCACCTTACGGTAAACCACATCTTAAGATATAAAATAAATAATAAACGTAATATTTGCACTGCCTGCTTTGTGCAAGAGTATCCAGAAACGGAAAGCGTGTCCCTTGCCTCGCTCCTTCGAAAGATCTTCGTATTGCGGTGTCGGTAAAGACGCTGAATCAGGAAAGTGGTTGATGCACTTATAAGCATTGTTCCTTCCGTGAATGGGGGTCGGTTGGAGCTGGTGTGTGGCGCCTGCCACTTGCGCTGCCGATACATTAAAAATAGTGGGGCTGCCACTGCCAAAACCGTCTTGCGCCAAACACTTCTGAACCCCTTCTCACGAACCCCACCGTTACGACTTCAACGGCAACCACCGCTATAATTTTATTTTTCTTCTCGAACCCTCCCAACTCACGTCCTACGTCGACCCGGGCAAACAAAGAGACGTTAAGAGGTCGACCTGGGCATACAATGCCACCGAAGGGCAAGGCCGCACCCAAGGCCAAGGAAACCGACGGTAAGGCAGCTTTACCGTGGGCTATATAGTCCTGCGTCTTTTGCTCACTTTTGTGCTTCTCGTTTTGCCCTCACTTTCTTCTCGACGAGTCCTAGCTGACCAATCCAGCTTCTCCTTCTTCTTCAGCACAGACAAAGCCAGCCGCACCACAGCCGCCAAAGACTGTCGACGAACGTAGCCACGATCGCTACTACCAAGGACGGCCGTACGCTCGGGTTAGCGACACTGCTGGCATCAGCGCCCTTTCTCCTGCCGACCGCACCGCGTGGGCCAGTGCAAAGCTCCTGGGCACCACAGCACGGAACAACGGCCGCAGCGGCCTGTCAAACAAGGCTCAGAAGGAGCTGTGGCGCCACGTCAACGAGGCCAGCCTTCCCCTCCGCACACTCCCTCGTCCCTCCGCCTCGTCGCCCTCTCCGTGGGGCCGTGATAAATCGGGACGTCCCATCGGCGACTATTCCTTTGACGAATTCCGCCAGCGGACCGAGAAGCGTGTGCGCCTGACAGCCCTCGAGGTTGCTCACCACGCATATTTGGCCAAGCGCGACGACGACGCCGTACAGGTGACACCAGACGACGTCCAGGTCGAACGACAGAGACGTGCTGACATTGCCGTCTTGCGCATGGAGCTGTACGGACAGCGCACGGGTGGGGCGTATGCGCAGGACCCGGACTGGGACGATGTGGTGCCGATTGCGCTGGACGAGCCCGAGGGCGCGCTAGCAGCGATTGCCTACCCCGACACGTACGCCGAAGCCATCTCGTACCTGCGGGCGGTTATGACCAAGCCCGAGTACTCGACGCGGTGCCTGCGGTTGACGGAGCACGTCATCTCACTTAACCCGGCGCACTACACGGTGTGGCTGTACCGGTTCTCGATTGTCAACGCGCTGCAGCTGCCGGTGCAGGCAGAGATGGAGTGGCTCAATGAAGTGGCGCTCGAGAACCTCAAGAACTACCAGATCTGGCACCACCGGTACCTGCTGGCGGAGTACTACTACCCGCAGATTGCGGGCTCGCTGGACGAGGTGACGGCGTTTGCGCGCAGCGAGATGGCGTTTCTGGCGACGATTTTGAGCGAGGACACCAAGAACTACCATGTGTGGTCCTACCGGCAGTACCTGGTGCGCAAGCTGGGGTTCTGGGTGGACGACGAGCGCAAGTCCATGGAGGCGTTCATCCAGCAGGATGTGCGCAACAACTCGGCCTGGTCGCACCGGTTTTTCCTTGTGTTCTCGGACCCCAACCACAGCAGCAACCGCAGCCAGACCGGCACGGACAAGGACCGGGACGACGGCAAGCCGGCCAGCCTGGAGGCGACTCTGGGCGAGCTCAATATCAGCCACGACCCGGAGGTGCCGGCGGCGATTGTGGACCGCGAGATCGCCTATGCGCAGGAGCAGATACTCAGGGCGCCGCAAAACGAGTCCCCGTGGAACTACTTGCGCGGCGTGCTGACAAAGGGAGGGCGCCCGCTGGCGTCGATGGAGGAGTTTGCGCAGCAATTTGTCAGTGGCATAGGCAGCGACGGCAGCGAAGAGACTGTCAACAGCACGCATGCCATGGACATGCTGGCGGCCGCGTACGAAGAAAAGGGCGACAAGGCACAGGCCGGTGTGTACCTGCAGCGGCTGGCCGAGAAGTGGGACCCCATCCGTGCGGGTTACTGGCAGTACCGCAAGCAGCAGCTGGCGCAGTGAAGCAAGGCATCGAGTCAAGTATACAGGTCGCCTTAGGGTAATTTTGTTCACATTTTGTTACGGGATGAATATGAATAGTCACTCTACGTTATATCGCTCCGCATTATTGGTGATTTGTAGGGTTGTTAATTAAGTACTATCCATACATCGCACCGCAGGGCTAACTCCGTGTTCGCCCCAAATATTGTAATAGTAAGCGCTTTACTTTGAGACATTCTTTATGCCATTCCCCCCCTTCCAATCAGCAATTTCCTGCCCAGTACAATAAAAGAAATATAAGATAGATCATATGTCGTAAAAAGTTGATGAAAATCGATATAAAAAAGCCAGTACTTTTTGTTCACCAGCGGTGGTACAACCCCCCTCGCCCTATGACGCCTCGCCGCATCATAAAGCACGGAAATTCTGACTGAGGATAAGGTAGTTGCGCAGGCCTCGTGGCGTTCGCGGACCACTGGCCAAGGCGTCCCAATTGGGCACCAGCACAAACACCTCTGTGAACGCACCGCGCGGCGCCTCCTTACCAGCGCCGTACTGGACGTGGCCCGTCACCTGGACGAGCAAAGAGACCATCTTCTGCTGCAGCTGCTTAAGCTGCTGAGGCGTGGTGGTCTCGTAGGCTGCCGAGCCTGGCGTCATTCGCTGCAGGATCGCGTCGGGACAGGCGAGACGGAACTGCGGGTTAAGCACGTGCACGTCGAAGCCGTCGACATCGTAGCGGACGCGGAATGTGGGTGTCGAGGAGGACGACGAGGATGACGTGTTGCGGTGGGGGTTGGAAACAGAGGAGGTGCCGTTGGTCGCGGCGGCGCCGTTGGCATTTTGTGCGCCGGCTTGTCGTGCCAGCAAGGCCTCGAAGTCGGCGGGTTTTGCGCACACCATGCCGTTGATGCTCAAGTCGGCGGCGGCCCCGACGGCCGAGTATTTTGCATTGTTGTTGACATAAAAGGACGCGAGCGGCTTGCGGTCGCTGACGGATGTGTAGAACCAGTCAATAAAGGTCTGGGCGCTCTCGGTCGAGTTCTTGACCTCGAGCTCTTCTGCGGTGGCGGAGGCCATTCTGTGGTCGGGAGTAGAGGTTTCGCCGTCCTCGAAGACCCGCGAGCTCTGTCGCTAGTCGTCGCGCAGCAGGAGTGTGTTGTTCCCTTGGCTGTTCACGTCCAGAAAGAAATAATTCGAAACTTGTTGATAACTCTCGAGGCGCCACAAGGCACGTTTCGCGCAGAGTTTAAGGAATGTCGCACAGAGTTATCACGCAGCAGCAGAGTCGGGATGCCGATAGAAGTGTCGCAGTGCAACTATCGTCGTTTTCGGGGTTTGAAAGGTCGTGGTGTTGTCGTCCGTGCTGTTTGACGGACGGCGCTCGACAAAATATAAAAGTAGGTAGGAAGTAAAGAAGGTTCAGAGTATCCACAGTGCCGGTTGTACTTGACCAATATATTTAGGCAATTGCCACGCTAACACTGGCAGGCAGTCGCGCCTTCCCAGGCAACCACAGTTATCGGCGAGACTCCCCCGCACGTTAGGCTTATCGCTCGCACCACATGGGGAAGTCGCAATCAACAGCCTTTCATCGTAAGATAGCTGTCGGTCTGTGTCGCACCAATTATCTTCCTCGCCTCTGACTTCACCTCATGTCACCCACCCATAGCCTCACCTCTCAGCCTCATTCCCTGCGCCTGACTCACAATCAACCCTCAATTTTTGCTGTCCACGGCGCGGCTCTCATACCCGCACGTATTAGTGCTCTACCCGGACGCCACAAAGGCAAACGGCAAAGGGCGATCCGCAAACCGCGAAAATGCATCTTGTTACGCTGAGCACATGCAACCTCAACCAGTGGGCGCTGGACTTTGAGGGGAACACAGACCGAATTATCCGCAGTATCCATGAGGCCAAGAGAGCTGGCGCGAAACTGCGAGTCGGCCCAGAACTGGTGGGTGAAGCTCCATCTTGGAGAGGATGGCAGACTAGGAGTCAGAGGGCACATGCTAACCACCCAATCTAGGAAGTCTCCGGCTATGACTGTCTGGATCACTTTCTTGAGGTAGGCCGTTACCTCTGCCAACGGCTCTGGCAGTCGCTGGCCACTTGCCACGATCGGGAGGGCATTCTACGGTACTGACGCGGCTAGGGCGACCTCTATCTTCACTGCTGGCAACAGATGTACCGTATCCTGACGGACACGTCATGCTTTGGCATCCTTCTCGATATTGTACGTTGGTATGGCGAAACAAACGTGTGCAGGATGGCACAACGGCAACGCAAGAATGCTCTGCTGACACCCTCCATAGGGCATGCCCGTTCTGCATCGCGGCAACCGCTTCAACTGCCGCGTCCTCGCCCTAGACGGCAAGATCATCATGATCCGTCCCAAACTGTTCCTGGCAGCCGACGGTAACTACCGCGAGAACCGCTACTTTATTGCCTGGCATGGACCTCGCCATGTCGAGGAGTACTACCTGCCGCCCATGATGCAGGACCTGCAGGGCTCGATCAAGGTCCCGATCGGTGACGCCGTCATCAGCACGCCAGACACCTGCCTCGGTGCCGAGACGTGCGAAGAACTGTTTACAGTGCGTACGGCCGCATGTTCGACTTCTAAATAGCAGTATAGATACGGTACTGACATTTACAGCCAAACTCCCCTCATATCGGCATGGGCCTTTCGGGTACCGAGATCTTTACAAACAGCTCCGGCTCTCATCACGTACGTCACGCTTCTTTCTTCCGTAGCCGGTCTTCTTTTGACGTTGTTTTATGGTCCTTTTTTGTTTCTAACATTTGATTTCCACAGAGTTTGAGAAAGCTCGACATCCGTGTCTCGCTCATCCTTGAGGCGACCCGCAAGAACGGCGGTGTTTATCTGTATTCCAACTGCCGCGGCGCAGGTGGAGAGCGTCTCTACTATGTAAGTAGGCTGCCCCGTTCGCAGTTCTCGGTCGTTCAAAGCTAAACGTGCAATCGCCCAGGACGGCTGTTCAATGATTATCGGTAAGATGTTACAGCGCCAGCACGGTACTGAGAGGCTGAAAACTTTCGTCAATCAAACGGCGACTAACCAAAAATCAAATGTACAGTGAACGGTAACATTGTGGCTCAAGGCAGCCAGTTCTCCTTGGTAGGTTGTTCCTCGCCATATGCAAAACCGCGAAGCACAGCAACTTACACACGTATTTTTCTTGCCACAGAAAGACGTGGAGGTCATCACGGCTACAGTAGACCTGGAAGAGGTCCGGTCGTACCGCTTCACGCCTTCCCGTGGCATGCAGGCAATGCAGGCCCCGGCGTACCGGCGCATCGAGGTTGATTTCAGCCTGGCAGACAACAACCCTGGCCTGGCCCCTACCAAGTCTCAACTGCCACGGTACCACCTCCCAGAGGAAGAAATCGCACTCGGCCCTGCCTGCTACCTGTACGACTACCTCCGCCGGTCGGGTGCGTCCGGCTTTCTTTTGCCGCTCAGTGGTGGCATCGACAGCTGCTCAACGGCTGTGATTGTCTTCAGCATGTGCCGACTGGCTATGGCAGCGGTTGCCGAGGGGAACGAGACAGTGATTGCCGATGTCAAGCGGTTGTGCCGACACGCCAAGGAATTTCCAAAAACTCCGGAAGAGTTTTGCAACAACATCATGCACGTACGTATTTGTGCATGATGGATACACCGTTAATTATCACTTTCCCGTACTAATCCCGCTGCAGACCATCTACATGGGCATGAAGACGCAGTCGAGCAAGGAGACACGGCAGCGGGCCGAGTTTCTCGCGCGTGACATTGGCAGCCACCATACCGACATCAACATTGACAACGCCTTCCACTCGTTCAAGGGCCTCCTCACGGATGCTACAGGCTTTGAGCCAAAGTTCAAGGTCTACGGCGGTGGCAATACGGAGAACCTGTACGTCTAGCCTGTCGATCCTCTCCCCCCGCAACGGGGATTCGTCAACGTGTCCAGGAGTGTGTTAACGGAATTGGCCACCAGTGCTCTCCAAAATATCCAGGCGCGGTCCCGCATGGTCGCGGCCTACGAGTTTGCACAGCTACTGCCGACTGTGCGCTTCGGCGAGGGTGCGGGCGGTCTGCTTGTACTTGGCTCTGCCAATGTTGACGGTACGCTCCTCCCGTCACGCATGATATTATGCCCCTTGCACGCCGTCTAACGTCTAACGTCCTCTTTTAGAATGCCTCCGTGGCTATCTCACGAAATACGATTGTTCGAGCGCCGATGTAAGTTGTGACAGATCCTGGCACTCTCCAGGATGACAGATCACCGGCTAACTATGGCACAGATCAACCCCATTGGATCCATCTCGAAGAAGGACCTCAAGCGGTTTATTGCATGGGCCGAGAAGGAGTTCAAGCTGCCCATCCTCGGCGAGTTCTTGAATGCCGTCCCAACGGCCGAGCTTGAGCCCATTACGGGAGACTATGTCCAGTCCGACGAAGCGGACATGGGCATGACGTACGACGACCGTACGTATCCACGGACCCCACCGACCATGCAGCTCGTAGCCTGCGACGGCTTGCTAACAACACTCTCACCCTATCCACAGTCTCCACGTTTGGCGTGCTCCGGAAAGAGATGAAGCTGGGCCCCTACTACATGTTCCAGAAGCTTGTGCATGACTGGAAGGAAGAGCGCGGTCTCGAGCCCCGCCAGGTGGCCGAGAAGGTCAAGAAGTTCTTTGCCTTTTACGCCATCAACCGCCACAAGATGACTACGATGACGCCGTCCGTGCATATGGAGACATACTCGCCCGACGACAACCGCTTCGACCATCGGCCGTTCCTGTACCCGCGCATGTGGGACAACTGGTCCTTCAAGATGATTGACCAGGACGTCGAGCGCATGGAGGCGGCGCAGCTGGAGTCGCGTGAAGCCGCCCAGGCCAGCAGCCACGGCGACAACTGAAAGAGGCGCCTTGTAGTCTAATAGACTTGGATACGTTTGAGACACGCTATACGCTTTCCCTTCCAGTTTATTCATCTACAGCGTGTCAGTCGGATTCGATACGCTGGAACGCTCAAGTGCAAAGACGGAGTGGTGCAGTGTGTGTCGTGGGCCATCAGATGTGAATGTAATGTATGCCTTTTCAAGTTCTTCGGCATCCTCAACCAACGCAAGCCTGCGCGCCAGGAACAAGACGACGTCGGCAGGGGGTAGAGTTGGATTACCAGATGATAGATTCGCTCATCACGTTGGTCGACTTGGGGTGGGATTGCAGACTTGGAAAGCTGTGCTACTCACAAGGTCATCGGAGGTTGACGTTTGGGACACGTTTGGCCGAAAAAATGGATTCGCGCCGCTGCGTCGTTTCAGCCGGATGGACTCTACACAGCCATCTCGTCCATCACACAACATCAGGGCCGACAAAAAGAAAACGGAATAGACACCGCGCCCAGCGTTTGCACCATCGCCGATCGCACATGTGAGAAGAAGAATGTCCAGTAGCTTCAGGTCATCGCCGCATCATGGGCGCCGGCGCTCTCGAAAGAGGCGGCCCTCGTGACGATGGTTTTAATAACATGGGTGGAGGTCGATCTTGACACACGAATCGGAATCGTCAGGTAATGGGGCTTTCCTCCTGGCGATGACTTGAGTAAGAATTTTTTTTCCATTGTGGTCGTTGAGGAAAAAAGAGAAGAGTAAAAAGAAGGCGAAGCGTACGCGAAAAAATTTAGGCAAAAGATAAACACTACGGTGCAGGTGCCATTTCTGCCGCCCTTGACCGCCTAAACATGTAAAGCCAACGGGGCTCTTTCCATTTCGGTGGTCTGTGCCTTTGGCAGTTTTTGACTTTGCCTGTGACATTAACATATTGATGAGACCAGAGGTTTGCGGAGTCCAACCCTGATTTGCGGCTCAGATGCAGCTTTTCAGTTCACGAATGTGTCTGGCTCTACGACGTATTCTGTTGTAAACTATGGGATGCGACAGCCATACCACACATATGATGCCTTTTCTCATGCATCACGTGACGTCGTTGTCTACCTGGGCGGGTCGTGCTTGCGTATCTGTATCTGTAGCTTTCGCATCGCTCTTTCCTCGTTTTTTCGTTTGTGTGTCGAGCATGAGGAAGCTGCAACCCGTGACTATGCCACACTTTTATATGTCGTCGTTAAGCAAGCCGAACGTCAATCCGTGCACCACCATATCTACAAAACGTCGACGGCAACTCCGTGACTGAACCTGTGGGCACATGAGGTGAGGTGAAGCCTTTTCTGAGGCTTCTCCAGCTCACGATCTTTGACTCGGTATTCAAACGCACGACACGCCGACTCATCACCCGCCCAATGGACCGCCTCATGATGGCTCGTGGGCTGGGCTGCCTGCACCGGCCATGCCGGCAGAGGCTTTCTGCCCGAGAATGGCAAGTTGGTCGGCCGCTGCAGAGACGTCACGCTACAGCGGCAAAGCCGCCACCAACGACGAAGCCCTACTACGTCACGACGCCCATCTTCTACGTCAACGCCGACCCGCACATCGGCCACCTGTACAGCATGGTTCTGGCAGACGTACTCAAGCGGTGGCAGACGCTGCTCGGCCGCAAGGCCCTGCTCTGCACAGGCACCGACGAGCACGGACTCAAAGTTCAGCAGGCGGCGGCGCGGGCAGGCGTGCCTCCCAAGCAGTTTTGTGACGAGAACGCATCGGTGTTCTCGGACTTGGCGCGCAGGGCGAGCATCGACAACGATTTCTTCATCCGCACAACGGACGCCGACCACATGGCGGCCGCCCGCGCGTTTTGGCGGCGACTGCGGCGCAAAGGCTATATCTACCAGTCGCAGCACCAGGGTTGGTACTGCGTGAGCGACGAGACGTTCTACCCAGAGGCACTCGTCGAGAAGCGCATCGCGCCGGCGACGGGCAAGGTCGAGATGGTGTCGACGGAGACGGGCAAGACGGTCGAGTGGACCGAGGAGCAGAATTACCACTTTCGCATGACGGCGGTGCGTGACCGGCTGTTGCAGTTCTATGCGGAGAACCCTGACTTTGTGGTGCCCGCGGCGCGCATGAACGAGGTTGTGCACTGGGTGACGCACAATCTCGAAGACCTGTCCATTTCGCGGCCGTCCAGCCGGCTCACGTGGGCCGTGCCAGCGCCCGAGGACCCGAGCCAAACGATCTACGTGTGGATGGAGGCTCTGGTCAACTACATGACCAAGGCTGGGTACCCTGAGCGTTGGGCGCCCGAGGAGCAGCGTGAGGCTGCGCTGGAGGCCGAGGCCGAGGCCACCGAGTCGGCTGAGGCGGTCGTGATTGACGGCAATGTGCAGGCCAATATGGTCATGGAGAGCGAGGAAGACAATAACAGCAGCAGCAAAGGACGAAGAAGAAGCGGCCGCCACAAGCCGTCGTCTGAGCTGGACAATGCAGCAGTACCTCTCACACTCGAGCAGCGGCAGCGACACGAGGGCGGCGGCTGGCCGGCCGACGTACATGTGATGGGCAAGGACATTGTGCGGTTCCACGCGGTGTACTGGCCGGCTCTGCTGCTGGCTGTCGATCTGCCGCTGCCCAGGCGCATCCTGAGCCACGCGCACTGGACGCTGGGCCGCAAGAAGATGTCCAAGTCCGTGGGCAACGTGGTCAACCCGTTCTATGCCATGGACCGCTTCGGCGTGGATGCCATGCGCTACTATTTGGTACACGACGGCGGCATTGAGCACGACGGCGACTACGGAAACGAGCACATTGTCGACCGCTACAAGAAGGGCCTGCAGGGCGGCCTGGGCAATCTGCTGGGCCGGATTACGCGGACGACGCGGTGGAGCGTGCGCGAAACGGTTGTGCGGGGCCCGTCGTCGTTGGAGGGCAGCGCGCGCCGAAGCGCCCAAGTGGAGGCCCAGATTGCCTCCATTCAGAACGTGGCCGGTCTTGCGGCGAGCCACATGGAGCGACTAGACCCGCGACAGGCGCTGCATGCCGTCATGGACGTGGTCTACCAGACGAACCGGTTCCTGCAGGAGCTGGAGCCGTGGAGCGTGGCCAAGCAGCTGGCCGCTGCGCCGACGACAAGCGAGGCCAGTTCCGGTAACGAGGCACTGCGCGTGCGCCTCGACCAGTCCGTCTACTTGACGGCTGAGGCACTGCGCGTCGTCGGCATCCTGCTGCAACCGGTCATGCCGGCCAAGGCCGCCGAGGTGCTGGATATACTGGGCGTGGGCCACGGGCGCCGGTCCTTTGACTATGCGCAGCTGGGAACGGATGGAGACTACGGCGTACCCATGAAGCCGCCCGGGAAAAGCAAAGACGGCGGCCTATTTCCCCCGTTGCCAGTAGAGGATTGAGCTGTGATTTGGTGCATGCGATATAGCGGGCATGGCGCATTTAAACACTACAGCGGATGCGTACGATAAAGGAGATGATTTGATGACATGTGGCGATGACATATACTCTTGGATACACTGTCATATTTTTTTAAAATGTGTTTTTTTTTTTTTTCTGGCAATTAAAGTACAATGCCGTGGATGGATGTTGTTGTGTGCGTTTCTCGCTTTCAGAGCTGTTTCTGAGCAGCCCCACTCGACTCCTACTATGGTCCCAAAAGTCCACTAAAGCGCGCAATGCACATCTTACAAAACCAACGACATACCAGCCGCCATGAAGGTCAACGAGAACACTGGTGCGTTTAATAATGGTTTTTTTCACGTTCATGCCCACCTACTTACACACTCAGCCATATCCACACCCGGCGTGCTGCTCGTGCCGTACGACCGCCGGCATGTGCCGACGTACCACGACTGGATGGAGGACGAGGCGGTACGGGCGGCGACAGCATCAGACCGGCTGACGCTCGAGGAGGAGTTCGAGAACCAGGCGTCGTGGCGTGCGGCTGCCGACAAGTTGACGTTTATCCTGTGCCAGCCGGCCACCGGGCGTGAGGGCAGTATCGTCGCTGGCGTGGACGACGCGCCAGACCGCATGGTCGGCGACATTAATTTTTTCCTGACGCCTTTCGAGGCAGACGAGGACGAAGACGACGAGTCTGGCAAGATACAGGAAGACGAGGCAGGCAGCGCCCTTTTCAGCGGCGAAGTCGATGTGATGATTGCCCGGCCCGAGCACCGTCGACAAGGATTTGGCCGCTCGGCTGTCACGGCGTTTTTGCACTACATTTTGCAAAGCAAGCGAGACGCGATTCTCGCCGAGGCGGCAGACGCAACAACGCCTGCGCCCCGTCTCAAGCAGCTCGTGGTCAAGATCCAAGCGAGCAATCTGGCGAGCATCAGCCTATTCACGAGTCTGGGGTTCGAGCAAAAGGGCGGCGTCAACTACTTTGGAGAGGTCGAGCTGGTCCGAAAACACCTGACAGCCGACGCGCCTCCATGCTATACCGAAAAAGCATACCAAAGAAGGGATAGCAGGCATTGAAACGAGCATGCAGAATTGCCATCACAGCGTTTATATTAGGTGCACTCTGTGGCATAGGACGAGCCGGTGGCAAGTTGCGCAAACAAGGTCCAAAAGTATCAAAAGAAACGCCAAGACATCTCGACATTATCGAGGGAAATGAACGACAAAAGACAAGAAAAGACAAGAAAAGACAACCAAGACAACCACCCTACACGCCAAACCGCTCCCGGAAGCCTGCCAGGATGTCGAGGCTGATGTTGGACCCGCCGCACACCACCATGACGACTTTTTGCTCGGCCCACTCCACATCCGACATGCCGGCGCCGAGGTGGTGCCGCAGCAGACTCGTGGGCTTGCCTGGCTCAGCGACCGCCGAAGCAGGTGCCGGTGTGTACAGCGGCGCCAGCGCCGCGCCGCATGCCGGCTCGACCAGCAACCGCGTGTCGTCCAGAAAATGCACAATCGCGTCGACGGCCTCGGCGTCGGTGACTACGAGCGGCACCACGGCCTTGGGGCGGTTCCGGTACCACGCGTACGCCTGCTCGGCCACGCGGCTGCAGCCCAGCGAGGTTGCAATCGACGAGATGCGCGGCAGCGTCACCAGCTGGCCCGCCGTGATGGACGCCGCGAGGCTCTCGGCGCCCGCGGTCTCGACGGCCAGCACCTTGGTCGGCGCCTCGGGCCCGTACACACGCTCCATGCCTTGCATCAGGCCGCACAGCAGCCCGCCGCCGCCGACGCTGCAGACGAATGCGTCCGGGTGCACACCCGCGGGGCCGAGCTGGGCCGCCACCTCTTCGACGAGCGTGGCGGCGCCGTCCCAGATGTCGGGGTGGTCAAAGGGCGGGACATATACGCGCTTGACGTGGGTCGCGACGGCCGCGCCCGTCGCGTCCTTGCTCGGCACCATCACGGCTTCGCGCAGGTGCTGGTCGGCGGCCGCCCAGTTGGCGCCGTGCACGCGCACGTCGTCGCACAGGCTCTGCAGCTTGGCAATCATGTACGGCGAGGTCGTGGTGGGCACGACAATCGTGGCCGGGCTGTCGAGCTCGCGCGCCGCCGTGGCGCACGCCAGCCCTGCGTTGCCGCCCGACGAGCAGTAAAAGTGCACGTCGGCCGTGCCGCCAGACTCGTCGCGGGCTTTGGCGACGGCGCGCACCATGAGGTTGCCGATGCCGCGGGACTTGAACGAGCCGGACGGCTGGTGGTTCTCGAGCTTGAGGTAGATGTGGCTAGTTTTGTTAGGTCATGTTCGAGCCGCCACATCCATCATTCGCGCGTGGCCAGCACTCACCATCCTGCGGTCTTGGAGAGAGCGGCCGAGTAGAGACAGGGAGTCTCGACCCAAGGACGGGCCAGCTGCTGGTTGAGAGTCGGTGCAGATCCCATTTTGGCGTATTTGAGGTGTCTATTCGAACAGGATTTTTGGCTTGATTTTTGTGACTTGTTTCGACAGCTCAATGGCTCCGTATCGGTGCTCTGTCGCTGTCGGGAGATATATGGTGAATTGGCTGTCCGTCGCGAAGCACCCAAAACGCAGTGTAAGTCGCGGCCAGTGGCCCAATGCGGTGTTGTCAAGGCAAGGGCGCTCTAGGTGGGGCAGGAACGTCCAGCAGCTTCCACGCCTTATCAAGTGAAGATGTCAGACAGAACGACAGAACGACAGAACGACAGAACGACAGAACGACACAACGACACAACGACAAGGGAAGGAACAGCAGAGAATAAGAAAACGAAATCACTAGATGGTTCGAGTGATGAGTGGATGAGAGAAGGATGTGGAATAAAAATAAAGGCAAAAAGGAAAGAAAATAGTGCAAATGGAATCCACGGCAGCCTCTCGCTGACAGTATCTGCTTTAATGTCTGTCGGGGGCCCAGGCCTCTCTTATCAGAAAGACGGACGGCGCAGGACGATCATTCGAACCTGGCTGACGGAGATGGCGTCGCGCTGCTCTACACACTGTGATAAAGAAGTGTATATCTTGTATCTTGTATCTTGTATTTTGTATTTTGTATTTTTTTTTCTCATTTTCGTCATTGTCGCCGTGCCTTCTAATTTGGGTTTTCATCACGGTGTTGCCTCCCATCGCGCCTTCTCCCAACAAGATCTGTCCGTCTCCACACCCCTGAATCACCCCAAATCCGCCTCAAAGAGGCAACTGCCTGCGACCTGTCCTACGACATGGCCAATCGCCGAAAGCCGGCCGGCCACTCCCCTCTCGTGACGCGAAGAGACACAAAGGAAAAGAAGAGAACCAACAAATACAAACTGGGCGCGCCCAGATGGTCCAGGTGGTCCAGATGCTTTGGGGAGGCAGGTGCGAGAGATCCGTGTTCTGGCGCCGGGCAAGGAGGGAGGCTATGCCGTATACAGAAGTCTTTCCTTATTTGCATCGAACGCGCCTGCCTCTGATGGATTTCCATTATCTTTCCATTACCCTATATTACCCTATACATTTGCCTTGCCTTTTGGGTAAGATGGGGAAAAATACCAAAAGTGCGCAAAAGGCGGGAAGGAGCGGAGGGGCCAGACAGGCGGGCGAGTCTGGGTAGTGCAGCATGGGCTCCCAGGCTCCGTTGCTCACCGTACTGTGGAGCGTTCTGGAAGGAAAGGTTTTTGGATGTACCTGCCTGCGCGTAATACACCGCGCGGGTACAACCAGTTAACCCGACGCTAAACGACCAGACTGGGCAGGCGCCATCAGCACACCGATGAGTTATCATTTTGCATCGCCTCAGCGCCGTTTCGATTTCTCAGCCCAATTGCTATCTGTCTTCCTTTCGAGGATCGTTGTTTTTGTTCCAGTCTCATCTCTGGCTCTCGCGGCGATAATGAACGCTTGTTGTCAACATGAATACGAAAATGTTATAGAGCCATGGATAAGGGGGCATAGGCAGAGGGAGAGGGAGAAATGAATGCAAATATAAGTTGTACTTCGTACACAAACCGGAGACCTGCCCCAGATATTATGGATGCGGTTCCATTGTTTTAGGCCAGCATTGTCCCTTTCCCGAACGTTTTTCAGCATTAATTCAAATCGGGCAGGTGATGCCAAGGATGACATACAAAGTACTTAGGGAGAAAAGAAAAGCAGAAAAACAAAAACAAAAAACAATAAAAAAATAAAAAAATAAAATAAAAAAGTACATAAATAAAGAACCACGAATAAGACAAACCAAACGAACACGCAATCAAGTGACTGGATTGCATTCGACATGGATGGCCGGAGCCGTGGCGTGTTCAGTTCCCACAACGTCCACATGGCCATCGGCAGCCATCGTGACTTTTACTTCCCTCCTATTGCTCACCGATTTCTGTCACCCCTATTTTCTTTCCATGTCATTTGCCGTTTCATATTCTCATATCTATTCTGCACCCTCTCCATAATTCCCCGCCTCCCATGAGTGACTAGTGGTCCCTTTCCGGCCACGGCATTTGAGCATCTGTTCTTATGTAACACAACAAAGACGCGTCTGGACGGGCCGAAATAGAGACTCGACAGAAAAATGAGGTGCAAAAGAAACACATCATGTGCTTCATCCATCCATGTGGCCCCTTGTCGGCGTGTTCTGTCCACACCAAAGCCCCTGAGTGGGAGGTAAAGAACAAAGAAAATAAATCAGAACAACGCAGAGGGGAACGGCATCGGAAAGGATAGAGAAATAAAGATTATAAAAAATCATAGAATGGCATAAACCATATTACAAACCATGAAGCCGTACGCCCATGCGTCCATACAGTAATGCAGGCAGTAGAAGTTGAAAACCGAAGGCCGGAAATCCAATGCGTAAAACCGAAACCGAAACCGAAAACAACAGACTTGTCCTTGCATGCCCGCCCAACCAAGTAATACCAGCCATGGTGCTGCCTGTATGTACCTGTGCCTAAACGCCCTGATACCGCCAACTGCTGTTGGGATGGCTTGCCCTGGAGATTCCCGAGCCCCGTCCCCGTTCTGGCTGGCCTGCGTCCCCAGATACACCCTACTCTTCAAAGCCAACCGTCTGCATACCCAGCGCGTTTGGCACGCCCACGAGCACACGCCCGTGCGGCACCTGCACGCCCGTCACCAGCATGCACCCGCTGGTCACGAGCTTGTTGAGGTTCGGACAGCAGTGGAACATGCTGCGCACCACGCTGTCCGTCACCTCACCACAGAAACTGACGTCGATGTGCCGCAGCTCCGGGTACGTCTTGCCCGCCGCAAATACCTCTTCGAACGCGTCGCGCCTAATGTGCCGGCACGCGTGCAGGTGCAGCTTGCGCAGCTCCGACCCGCTGTGCCGCATCAGCGCCTGGAACCCCTTGGAGCACAGGCCCACGCCGTCCGCGTTGTCGTCGATCCCGACCAGGTCCGGCTCGTCGAATCGGTTCTTTTCAAAGTCCACCTCGGCCAGCGGCAGGTTCGCCCAGCCCTCAAAGAGCCGCACAAACCCCTCGTCCGTGCACCCCTGCGTCTCGGTGACCCGCAGTTTGCGCAGCTTCCGCGCGTGCTGGTGCAGCGCGTCCAGCACCGTGTTGTCTACCTTGGCCGCGCCGCGCAGCGACAGCGTCTGCAGACCTGCGCCAATGCGGCGCAGCAGCGTGACGAGGACGTCGCTGTGCACCGGCTTGTCGAGCATCAGGTTGATGTGCTCCAGATGCGGCAGGTGGCCCAGGTGCTCGACGCCTACGCTGCCCACCTGCTCGTTGCCGCGAATCTTGAGCCGCGTCAGTTCAGGCGCGCAGTCTTTGATGTAGCTGACTACCTCGTCCGTGACGTGCTTGTCCGTGTCACAGATTTGCAGTGTGCGCAGGTGTGCGCCTCGCTCCACCAGGTATGCCTTCCACTTGGTCGCCGAGATCAGATTGGCGCCGTACAAACACAGTGTTTCGAGCTGCACGTCGCGCTGCAGCAAGTAGTCCATGACGTCGTCTTTGAACTGGATCGCATTGTAGAGTCGCAGGTGCTTGAGGTGTGGCATGGACTGCAGCATGCGTAGAAAGTCGTTCTCCACCAGGTCCCCGCAGTCGTACACGCGAATGTCCTCGGCGGTCGGCCGGATGAACAGGTCGACTGTCTTGGGATTGAGCAGCCGCCGCTTCGACAGCAGCCGCGCGATGCGGTCGATGACATCCTCGGGCAGGTCGCCCAGGTCCTCGGCCAAGTGGATGTTCTTCGACAGGTGCTCGACGCACTGCGTCACCAGCGACTTGGGACCCACGAGCGATGCACCATCGAGCAGCCGGCTCTGTGCCTTGCGCCGCTGGCCGACGGGGCCGCCCCGTTGCTCGAGTACATCGTCACCCGCCCGGGCCTTCTTGGTCGTTGCCGCTGACTTGTTGGCACGGCCGCGCGCGTTCTTATTGTCTAGGCCCTTCTCCTGGTCCTGCAGCCGCCCGCAGGCTGGGCACAAGAGCTTGCCGCTGTCATTGGCCCGCGAGTAAGGCGTCACCGTAAAACGCTTCTGGCAGCCGCCGCAGTTGTCCATCTGGCCTGGCAAGGGCTCCGCGTTAAAATTTTGCAGGAGCGCCCGGGCGAGCGCGACCTCTTCGTCCTCGTCCTCGTCTTCGTCACTATCAAAGACTTTCCGTTTCTTGCCCTTGCCGGCCGCCTTGTCTTTCTTGCCCTTCATGTTCTTCTTGTTCGCCTTGATCTTGTCCACCGCCCGCTTCTGCGCTGCCGACAGCTGCCGGCCCGATGTACTGGTAGTAATGGTGCTGGCAGTAATGGCTGCGGCCGCAGCCATGGGGCTGTGCTCAGCCGTCTGTGCCAGGGCCAGCGTTTCGGGCGTCGACACAATTTCGCCATTGGCGAGGCCGGCGCGCAGCTGCTCGGCGAAGCTGGTCGCTTGGGCCGCTGCCTGCCGGTTCCGGAATTGTGCTTCGATATCGGCAGCGGAGATGTTGCGAGAAGCAAGGAAACTGGTCAAGGCCGATTGTCTGAAGGAAGGGAGAGAAACGACGGTTAGTATTTGTTGTGCCATTGGTGGTATCAGGACATCGCGAAAAGTTTTTAAAAAGAACTTACGGGCCCACGACACGAGGCCGCCCATTTGCATCCAAATTTTGCCGTCCGCGGACCCTATATTGAAGGAGGTGGTCAGCAACTGAAGGTCATAGGGTGGCGATCATCTTGTCTTCTGCCAACACATCGTTTGCTTTTCTCTTTATTTGACGTACATCGTATCAATGTGTTTCGCGGTCCACCAGCCGTAACTGTAACACCAGAATATCGGTGAGTGTTTTACTGAATGTGACCGTTGCCTGTTGGTGCACAGTTGGGGTTGATTGTTTTGATAATGAAAAGTTTGAGAAAAGGGGCGAATTTGAAACAAGAAAGGCACTTGAAAGGGCACTTGAAAGAGGCAAACTGCGGATGCGGCAGGTGCGGTGAATGGGAGACGCGCCTGCTGCACTTTTTCATTAAAATATACGGGTGCTGGACGGGTGTGCAGGCACGTCGGCACGTGACAAGATGCACGCACTTTACAGGTTTTGAGGGGTGAAGGCATGCATGCGACAGCGGGGCAGGACCGTGTGCAGGCGAAATAGACACTGTCCCCTAACAGTCGAGAGTACCTTTACAGCTAACATATATACGAATTAAATAAGCAGATATTATTCTGTATACGCCCTGCACGACGGCACGGTACGGACACTGCAGTGGTCGTACGGTTTTCATATTGCAACATGGTAATCATGCCCGACCCTATCCGTCATAATTGCCATTTTGTTCGTGATCCCGTCACATGTCGGCTTTTCCTACGCGGTTGATTTTTTCTTTCTTTCTGTCCCTCGCTCTTTTTCCGAACCCTTACTTCTTCAGAAACTTGCTGAGGGCGGCCTTGATGTGCACCTGCTGCGACTCAAACAGCTTCTGCCGCTGGTCCTCGAGCCCACCTTCTGAAATCAGCGTCTCAGCCGGGCCAATACCGACCCACAGCTTGGGATCCTCTGCCAGCTTCGTCACCAGCTCGTTGGTAAACGCAGCCAGCGGCATGCCGAGCTGGCCGCCGTTCTCCAGGTCTGGCTGGTGCACGGTATCGTGCAGCTCCGTCTGAACGGCCGGCGGGAACACCTCGACCACGCGCAGCTCCCCGAAGCCGGCATCGATCTGCTGCTGCCGCATCGTCGTGATGAACGAATGCAGCGCGGCCTTGCTGGCGTTGTAGTTGGGCGTGCGCACGAGCGAGGGCACGAGGCCAAGCGTCGCGCTGATAAAGATGAGGTGGGCCTTGGTGCCGCTCTTGGTGAGGGCCTGCAGGTGCGGCAGAAAGGCCGTCACCAGATAGACGTAGGCCGTGTAGTTGGTCCTGAGCTCGAGCTCGACCATGGCGAGGTCCACCGTCGCCGGCTGGCCAAAGTCGAATGCGCGCTGCACACCGCTGTTGAGGATCACGGCGTCGAGATCCGGGTGCGCGGACGTCACAACAGCCGCAAAGGTCGAAATGGCCGACAACTCCGTAATGTCGAGGATCATGGTCGTGATGGTGCCTTTGGGAGCCTTGCCGACCAGCGCCTGAAGACGGTCCTCGCGCCGGCCGACGGCCACGACGTGCGTTCCGTTCTCGGCGAGCTTGATGGCCAGCGCCTCGCCAATGCCCGACGTGGCACCGACAATGAGGGCCTTCTTATAAGGAAGCGACATGGTGAAGGGATGTGACTTAAAAAATAGCGCTGTGCGTATGGAAGTGTGAACGAGCGCTGTGGCCAGGGTTGGGCACTGAACCCGTGTTAAATATGAAGGGGATGAAATACGAAGAGGATGAAAGCCGGACGATGCAGACGCAGGTGCTCACGGTTGTTGTTCTTGGCAGGTCAGCCGCACACCTTTTATGCCTGAGAGCAATTGAGCTTGTCGACGATGGCAAGTGAAGCTCGCGATAACGAGCTTGTCATCTCCGTGAGAAAGAACGTTGGCCCACAGTGCGAGTCACGGTCGGAGTTTAGAGCCTGTGAAAGGGCGAACGTTGCCTTGCTCTCTGCTTCCCCTTGGCGCCGCCACGGAAGGCGGACATTGGCTCCACTGCCCCTGCCAGATAACCCTTTTGACTCTGAAACAGACCAGTCTTGTGGCCTAAAACATAGGAGAAGGTCGTTCGTGCCTGCCTTACCACGTTGTGACCCGCTTTGCAAAGCCTAGATGGCTCAGGTCTAAAGTGCTTTGCACGCATGTAGCACGGAAAGAGCCATTAAATCCCCAGGTCCCGTGACCCCGCGCCGCCCATTCGCCCCCTAGACCCGAAATTTTGGAGCGCGCGGCGCGTTTTCTGGGAAAGAACAGGGTTCTTGGAGCGCTATGTCGCCTCCGCCCCTTTTTGGTCCTTCGTTTTTTCTTTTGCTTCTTTATTAGAGTTTTCCCATAATTCGTACAATCTCGGGTTTTCCCTGTTGGTGCACACGCCCTGCAAATTCCTACTGTGCCGTGCACGCACATTCCCTTCCCTCTCTCCCTGGCCCGTGCATCTGAGCCAACTCTCATTGTCTGCCTTTCCCGACGATATTGATAATTGGCAGTGGACGGCAAAACGACGACAATATCGACAGGCGATTTGCAGTCCATCGACAACGAATTCACGAACCCAAATTCACGGACCCAAATTCACGGACCCAAATTCACGGACCCAAATTCACGGACCCAAATTCACTAATTACGTCCGGCAGACCGGTCTTTGCGGACTCGTCGACCGATTCTTCTCTTCAAGGCGGCCTTTTATATCAGTCTAAACTCGTTTCTCTCCAATCCACATATCAGCCAAACGACCATCATGGCCACTCCAAGACAGTCGAGGAGGCTTAGCGAGCGCTGTAAGTTGGGCGACCGGCGTACTGCAATCGTCTCTTTTCTTTTTGATATCATCGGCACGGTTTCCTTGTCTCGATTTTGTGTCTAACCCGCATAGTGGCCAGCAACACCCCGAACAGCCATACAGCACCCATGACGCCCGCCACGGCAACCACAAGTGATAGATCCACGCGGTCCAAGTTCAAGGTCGAACGCCCGCCGTCCGATAACGGCGTCTCGGGTAGCACCATGTCCAACTCGACCATCCCGACGCCGACACAGTATACCTCGGACGACGAACTGTCCACCGCACCGTCCAGCGCCGCACCGACTCCTGCAAGCGACTCCAAGCCCACCACGCGCGGCAAAACGGCATCCTCTTATCCTGGCTTCCAGCCGGCTAGTTCGCTGATGCGGGTCGTGATAGAGCTACCTGACCGGTCGTCAATGAACGCGGCTGGCGGAAGCTCGGACCCAAGCTTGAGCTCTGCACCCCTCGCTTCGGATAGTGCAAAGGCTCTCAGCAGAAGCAAGTACTCGTTGTTTCCTAACAAGAAGCGGCGCTTTCTTGTACAGGACTCCGAAGCCGACGACGACTCCGATAGCTTTAGTACTGCCGATGCCCAGTTGCAGAATCGGATCGCCTCTGATGCCATGCTGGCACAAAAACTCCAAGCGGAAGAAGATTTGCGCCTCCCTAAGCAGGAGGACACGAAGCCCTCGCGCCGCAACCGTACCTTGGACTTCCTTCCCCAAAAGGAAGAGGCGCCGTCCTCAGCCACATCCGCATCCGAGTATCCCGACGTCGAGATATTGTCTTCGCGTCCGGTCAAGAGACAGCGGCTGAACGGGGCGGCATCTGCGCCCACGCCGCTGTCCAGCCACGTCGGCCCCATAACGATCAAGGACGACGCCGATGACAGCAGCGCGCTCAGCAGCCCGCCACCAGATGCCAATGAGTGGGGCACTTTCTCCTACATTTCCAATGACGTGGACGAGTCGGACCCCCTTATGCGCGACCGTGATCTGGGCACGCGCCGGGCATACCGGGACTACAAGAACAAGAAGCGTGTCGTGTCTGACAGAGAACGCCTCGAAGAGCAGCATCCCGTCCTCAAGAAAATGTGGAAGGATCTGGAGAAGACGGCCGTTCTCAAGGCCGGCCGTGCCGACCAGCCCTCCAACATCTCCCGCAGCCTCAAGCCGTTCCAGCTCGAGGGCGTGGCGTGGATGACGGCCATGGAGAAGACAAAGTGGAAAGGTGGGCTTCTTGGTGACGAAATGGGCCTGGGAAAGACCATCCAGGCCGTATCGCTCATCATGTCCGACTATCCGGCTAAGCGCCCGACCCTGGTCCTCGTCCCACCCGTTGCTCTGATGCAGTGGACGTCCGAAATCGCTTCCTACACCGACGGCTGCCTCAAAACCTTTGTCTACCACGGCACCAATGCCAAGACCAAGGGCATGACGAAGAAGGACATCCGCAAGTACGATGTCATTATGATGTCGTACAATAGCTTGGAGTCCATGTATCGCAAACAAGAACGCGGCTTTACCCGCAAAGACGGCGTTTACAAAGAGGAGAGCATCATTCATGGTACACACTTCCACCGTATCATCCTCGACGAAGCACACTGCATCAAGGTGAGTCTAACCCGTCTTGCCCCTCCCCCCTCTTACCTTCTTCTGTCAATATTGGCACTCTCTTCTAACAAAACTCCAGACGCGTAGTACCATGACGGCCAAGGCATGCTTTGCCCTGGAAGGCGACTACCGCTGGTGTCTTACTGGCACGCCGCTGCAGAACCGGATTGGAGAGTTTTTCTCGCTCTTGCGTTTCCTCCAGATCGAGCCGTTTTCCAACTACCTGTGCCGTGATTGCAACTGCTCCAAGATGGAGTGGCTTGTCGACGGCGACAATTTCTGCACGCACTGTAAGTTGGGGTATCCATGATTGATGCCGAGCACAGCAGAGGGCCGATCAAACGACAATAGGACAATGACACTGTTGCTAATGCTATTGCGTACTAGGCAAGCACAGAGGTATGAGGCATCTCTCGGTCTTCAACCAGGAGCTGCTGAATCCAATTCAACGGTATGGCAACTTTGGTCCGGGCAAGGAGGCTTTCGCAAAGCTGCGCCTTTTGACCGATCGAATCATGCTCCGCCGCCTCAAAAAAGATCATACCAACTCCATGGAGCTGCCCGTCAAGCGTGTCCTTGTCGACCGGCAGTTTTTCAGTGACATCGAGACCGATTTCGCCAACAGCATCATGACCAACTCGGAGCGCAAGTTCACCACGTACGTGGAAAACGGCGTGATGTTGAACAATTACGCCAACATCTTTGGTTTGATCATGCAGATGCGCCAGGTCGCCGACCACCCCGATCTCATCCTCAAGAAAAACAGCGAGGGGAGCCAGAACGTCATGATCTGTTGTATCTGCGACGAGCCGGCTGAGGAGGCCATCAGCTCCCGGTGCCGCCATGATTTCTGCCGCGAGTGTGCGCGCAGCTATCTGGCCGCCACGGAGCAGCCCGACTGCCCGCGCTGCCACATTCCGCTGGCGATCGACCTGGAGCAGCCGGAGATTGAGCAGGACGAGGTCCAGGTCAAGAAGTCGTCGATTATCAATCGCATCCGCATGGCGAACTGGACCTCGTCGTCCAAGATCGAGCTGCTGGTCTATAACCTGTACCGCCTGCGCTCCGAAAAGGCCCGGCACAAATCCATCATCTTCTCGCAGTTCACCACCATGCTTCAGCTGATTGAATGGCGTCTCCGCCGGGCCGGTATCACGACTGTGATGCTCGATGGCAGCATGACTCCTGCGCAGCGGCAAGCCTCGATTGAGTATTTCAAGACCAACGTCGACGTCGAGTGTTTCCTCGTGTCTCTCAAGGCAGGTGGCGTCGCTCTCAACCTGACGGAGGCGTCGCGTGTCTTTATCATTGATCCGTACGTCCAGCTCCCATTGTATTCTTCTCGCCGTCCTTACTCGCCTCACCCTCCTCTCCCCCGTCACTTGCTAACAAAACAGTTGGTGGAACCCTGCTGCGGAATGGCAGTCGGCTGATCGCTGCCACCGTATCGGCCAGACACGCCCTTGTGTCGTGACACGCCTGTGTATCGAGGATTCGGTCGAGAGTCGCATGGTTCTCTTACAGGAGAAGAAGACGCGCATGATCAACTCCACAATCAACTCGGATGACGCAGCCATGGAGTCGCTGACGCCCGAGGATCTTCAGTTCCTGTTCCGCGGCAGCTGAACGGACTGTCGTTTTGGTATTTTTACTTTATCACTCTCTGTTTAGATCGAGCCGTCTTGCCCTTTATGTCTTTTTATGTACACTTTTGTTTTACTTCTTCAAGCATCTCCTAATGTATCCTTGAGTTGCTACACGGCAGGTGGTTCGGTCTGAGGGACTGTTGCACCAGCGACGGTACGGTATTATGTTGTCCACCGGAATGTGGGCTTTGTTTTTATAAATGTTGTTGATGCGATGCTCCTTGTCTGCTTTTACTATACACCGTATTACTTGTTCTTCTTTACTCCGTCACTACAACAATAGACCTGATACAAACTTATTATGGATCCCACTTTCACTACCACTGAGCCAGTCGATGTCAGTCCCATCACTTATATAAAACCAACTATCCGTAGGCTAATGTTTGTAATATTTGGTGGTTTTATATAGGAACCAGACCGGTAGGCCAACTAACAAAACATAAAGCCCTCTAACACCAAGGCTAAATAACAACTTAAAGTACCGCGGACTTCGCACATTAAATGTATGTAAGGTTCACGTAACATACATCGTCTTTCGAACGTAGAACGAAACAAATTCGGGCAAGAATTGGCCAGGTGGTTGTCTATTCTTTGTACGTCGTTGTTTGTTTCGAAAGCGCACACCCCTCAGATGTATCTTCAGAGATATTCAGTCGCTGTCGGCCCCTGTCTAAGGCCCAGAACAGCCCTGCAATTGTTGGCGCGCTCAGGCGCTAAGCTGGTGGTCTGAAACGTGCACACGTGACTATCTTGCCTCGCTCCCTTTTTAGGGGTGACACGGACGGCAAAGAAACAAAAGCCCCGGTTTTCTACTTCAACCTCTCACAACTCGACATCCAACCAACTCCTTGGCCTAACGCACCGCACAAGGGGCTCGAGATTCCGTTTTCTTGTGCTACGGCAAATCGCAGAAACTCATACTCTCGCCACAAGGCCAGGTGACGATGTCGGACGCAGTCTAACAAGATCGACTGCAAGTTTGAACCATGTGTATTGTTTCTTCTGGCCTCGCTTTCCCCAGTCACTTCTCTTGGTCCACCCTTTTTGTCCACGGCCTCGCCACCTCCTTCACTCGTCCTTCTCACTCATCCGTTTCAGCTCATCCTCCCTCCTGATCCGATTTCATATCAATTTTTCACTACCCCATTCAACCACCCACCTCCCTCTTTGTCTTTATTTCTATCCTGGGAACATATGTTGCGGCTCGGCGACTTTGACGACGGCGCCCGGGGCTCTCTTATTCTTCGTCTGAGGAAGCAGAGCAGCGTTTTCGTTGCTCGGACGGGGTGGCTGTGAGAGGCAGCAAAGCTCGCAAGGCTGAGACTGGGTCAAACCTCGTTCCGTTCTTGGCGGTTCCGAACTGGACATATCTACCATCCACCCACACATATATTACACCCGAACACACAGAGACCCATAATGGCAACGCTCCAGGTGCGCGGTGCCGACTACTCGGCGACGCGGCAAAAAGCCTACGACGATGCCATCAAGATGCAGGAGGCCGTGACCGAGGAGTGCACCAAGGCCGGCAAAGAAGTGCCGCCGTACCAGCTGCAAGAACTCATCGGCAAGGGCAGCTACGGTCGCGTGTACAAGGCCAAGGACCTCAAGACGTCGCAGCTGGTCGCCGTCAAGATCATCGACATTGAGGAGTCTGACACGTTGGACCCAAAGCGCGCCGACACGTACAGCGAGTTCTTGAAAGAGATCAGCGCGCTCAAGCTGCTGCGCGACGGCGGCTCCAAGAACGTCAACTACTTTCTGGATGCGCTCCCCGTCGCCCAGGCCATGTGGATGATCACAGAGTACTGTGCAGGCGGCAGCGTGGCCACGCTGATGAGGCCGACCGCGCCCGGCGGCCTGCAAGAGAAGTGGATCATCCCGATCCTGCGCGAAGTGGCCGAGGCCATCTACTGGGTGCACCGCCAGGGCATCATCCACCGCGACATCAAGTGCGCCAACGTGCTGGTCACCGAGGCCGGAGGCGTGCAGCTGTGCGATTTCGGTGTCGCTGGTGTCATTGAGACCAAGTTCGACAAGCGCTCGACCGTCATCGGCACGCCCCACTGGATGGCGCCCGAGATGTTTGACCAGTCGGCGTCGTACGGCACCGAGGTCGACATCTGGGCGTTTGGGTCCATGGTCTTTGAGATTGCGTCGGGGCTGCCGCCCAACGTTGTCGCCGGCGTCACCTACCACCAGCTCGGCAACTACCTAAAGACACACACGCCGCGCCTCGAGGGTGACAAGTACTCGCCGCAGCTGAAAGACCTCGTGGCGTTTTGTTTGGCCGACGACCCGACCCAGCGGCCGCCCATTGAGCGCGTGCAGCGGCACCCGTACATCTTTGGTACCTCGGGCATGTATCCGACCGACACGCTGGCGATGCTGGTCAAGGGATACAAGATGTGGGAGTCGCAGGGCGGCACGCGCAAGTCGCTTTTTGCGCCCGGCGGCGCGCAGGGCCCATCCATGGACAACCTCGCGTCGACTGCGTTGGCCAACGACGAGTGGAACTTTAGCACGACGCTCGACTTTGACCGCAGCGTCTTGGACAACCCCGACTCGCAGGCCGTGTACGATGTCTACGGCACGCAGGTCGACTACGAGACCGGTCGCGGCGGCGACAGCAGCAGCAACGGCTTTGGAGGGTTTGACGGTGGCAATGGCGGCAGCACCGGTGGCGGCGGCAGCTTTTCCGGTGGAGCAACGCCGCGGCCGTCACGGTTGAACGGTGGTCGTGGCCGGCGCCGGCAGCCGCCGCCAAACTTGCCCGTCGTGAAAGTGCCGCTCGAGAAAGTCTTTGACCCTGATTCGATTACAAATTACGAAGAAAACTCCCGCGAATACTATGGTGTTCCGCCACCTCCGCCGACGGCCAGCGCCACGTCCACATCTGCATCCGCATCCGCATCCGACCTACCGTTGCGTGACGACTCCATGCACGCAACACTACGCGAGTCGCTCATCGACCTTGATGCGTCGCAGGTTGACCTCGGCGGCGAGCCGTCGCAGTTCGCCGACATGGAGACCATTCGCGCTGGCCCCGGTGCTGCGCCGCGGGTCTCCATGGACTACAACTTTAGCTTTGGTGGTGGCAGCACCACGAACAACAGCAACAACAGCAACAACAGCAGTATCATCAGTATCGACGAGTCCGACTACAACCGCCCACCACTGAGCGATCCGGCTGACCTGCCGAACAACCGGCGCACTCAGGAGTGGAAGTTTCCGACGATGGCCCCGCCGGCATCTGCAAACCCGGAAATGGCCCGGTTCCCGTTCAACGAGGGCGAGACACGGAGCGCTCGGGGTACACCGCCAGCGGGCAGTCGTGCCGGCAGCCGCAGCAGCAACAACAACAGCAACAACAACAGCATCAGCATGGCCCGGCCAGCGGTGCTCGTCCACCAACACACGGACCCCGTGGGGCTCCCATCGCAAGGCTACGAAACAACGTCGCAAGGGCAAGGGTACGACCTGATGGTGCCACCACTGCAAGGCAGCAGCAGCAACCGCATGTCGGTGAGCAGCCTGATCGATTTGGACGAGAGTTTGCCGGACCCCATGCCCGAGATGACGCGGCCGTCGACGGCCAACTCGGATGCTGTGTCGATGACTGGTTCGGATGTGGGCATGGCGAATCCGTTTGACCTGGAGCGGCACTCGTCGATCTACCAGCCGATCAACGCAACGAACCGCGAGCCCTCCATCTACGTCTCGGATGACTCGGAGTTTGCGCACATGGTGGCTGCATCCGTCCCGGACGGGGGGCCGATGCAGCTGCAGCAAAACACAACCACGGGGTTGGGTCTCGGTCAGGGATCGGCGCCACCGCCGAGCTTCCACGTCAACGGCGTGCACGGCGGCAGCGGCAGCGGCAGTAGTGTTGGGACAGGCGATCACAACGACGAGGCCGACCGTCGTCAGCGACGGGCCAATGAGGGCTACTTGCACGCCGGTGGCGGCTACACGGGTGACGAGTATTTGGAGCCGCGGTATGCACCCGACGACCAGCAATATCAACAGATGGGCGGCTCCTTCAATGGAGGTTACCGTGGCGGCCGCGGCGGGTTTGGTGGCCGTGGCGGTCTTGGTGGACGCGGTGGGGGTGACCGCGGCGGCTCGCTTGGCCAGCGGATGAACCGCTCGAACGCCTGGTCCGGCTCCGGCTCCGGCTCCGGCTCCGGCTCTGGTCCCGGCCCTCAGGTCGGCCTGGCCTATAGCACCGACGGCCACAGCAACGGACACCGCCACGGCAGCAGCGATGCGAGTGCCAACGACTTTGCCGTCCAGCAAAGCAGCGGCGACAGCTCCAGCATCAGCGACGGCTATGGCGACGGGGAGTTTGTCGATGCCGAGGAGTACGTCAGCGGCACCGAAACCGAACCCGACCCCGATGCCGGTGGGTACGGTGACACTGGCGCTCTTGCGCATCGCGACACGATTCGCAACGGCATGAGCGTGCTTGACGACTCGTTCTCGCTCCCGCCCCTGCCAGGGCCCCCCTCGCCCCATGTCATGCAGGGCCTGGGTTCGCGCGAGGAGGTGCGCGACGAGATGAAGCGCTTGCTCGACAGTTTCAAGCAGCACCTCAGCTTTACGAACACCTACGTGACAAGCCTTCCGGTGCGCCGAGCAGGCGTGGGCGGCGTGGGCGGCATGCTCCAAGACGCCCAGATCGACGAGTGATTCTCTGGCTCCGGTGTGTGGTATTGCATATTCGCATTCGGGGGGTGGTTTCTTTTCTTTTTCTTTTTTCCCGTCTCGCTGGGTTGTCAAGCGTGTTTTCCAGTTTGGGTGGTCACTCATTCCTTGCACAGTTTTGCCTTTTCACATTTTTATACATACTCGAGTAATTTGCGATGCATCAGTGAGATACCATAATAAAGAAAGTATTTTGAATTGTATCAGAAACATCAACTGAATTATATTTAAGTCGTTCGTGGACATGTATGTTATACTGTGCTCCTTCCATTTTAGTACCTTCCCAGTGTGTCGTCCTTAAGGCAGGAGCGCGCAAGGCTGGCTAGTGGCAGCCGAATGGCGCTGAATGGTGCTGAATGGCTCTTACACCTGCCCAAAACTGGCTCCGAAAATTCTGAATAAGCCCAGGCGCAAACAACGAAAATTCTCACCACCGAGTTATAGTCTTTGAACAACGAGCATTTTGATTTTCTTCAATATCCTTTACTACTGCTATTTCGTATCCCCCCAGTCTCCGCTCAAGACGGCGTGCTCACCTCTTTATCTGCCTGCCCGCTGGACGGCGCCGTGCCGTATCCTCTCGTTCCTTCCACTTTCGTCTTATCTGCATTTGACCTTCACGTCATCCTTCGTGCATAGCGCCTTCCCTCGGAGCGCAAACAAGACGGCGCCGCGCCTTCCTTTGCTGCCAACGCCTCAATTTAGGCACGGCTACTCTTCTTCCTCCTATTCCATAAACCACTCTTTAGGTCTGAAATACCGTCCTCCACCCTTCACAATGTACACGACACGCATCCTCCCCGTGCCGGACCCAGACTCGTTGGGCCGGTTTCGGCCTCTTCCCACATCCGCCACACCCGCCTCGTCACTGCAGCCTCCAGCGTCCTCCCTCGACCATTGGGAAGCAGCTGAATCTGCCCCTGGATTGGACGCTCTTGTCACAGCGGCAGACCATATTCGCAACACCGACATTCCCGTCGGCTTTCCGACAGAGACGGTGTACGGGCTGGGTGCCGACGCTACGCGCAGTGGCGCCGTCCGTGGCATCTACTCGGTCAAGGGCCGGCCCTCGGACAATCCGCTGATTGTGCACGTGTGCGACTTGGACATGCTGCGCGGTCTTTTGGGTCGGGATGCGAGTGGCAATGACAGGGACCTGCCCGCCGTGTACCGCCCCTTGGTCCAGCGTTACTGGCCGGGCCCGTTGACGATCCTGCTGCCGGTCCCGTCGGCGGCGGATGCGCCCAAGTGGACGCTGGCACCCGAGGTTACGACAGGCCTGCCGACGTTTGGTGCCCGGCTGCCCGCCTCGCCGCTGACGCGCACGCTCATACGGCTGGTTGACGCACCTCTCGCAGGGCCCTCGGCCAACGCCTCGACAAGGCCGTCCCCCACGACGGCACAGCACGTAGTCGATGACCTCAGCGGGCGCATCGAGGTGGTCTTGGACGGCGGGGCGTGCGGCGTCGGTGTCGAGAGCACGGTCGTCGACGGACTCTGCGACCCGCCCGTGATCCTGCGCCCGGGCGGCCTGAGCTTGGCCGAGCTGCGGTCGGTTCCCGGATGGGAGCGAGTTGAGCGGGCGTATCATGACGTGGCCGAGGGCGGGAACCATGTGGCGAGCACCGGCGCGAAGCAGCAGCAACACAGCAGACAAGAGGACGCGGCGCTGAAGCCGCGTGCACCGGGCATGAAGTACAAGCATTATAGCCCCAAGGCGCGTGTTGTATTGTACGAGGGCTGGCGGACGACCGGACGACCGGCTCGCTCGCAGGCCGACCTCATGGCGGACATCCAGAGCGCGGGGCAGCAGGCAGGCGTGGTGGGCGTCATCCGCACGAGCACGTGGCCTGCGTTGGAAGGCCTCCAGAAGCGCGCGGTGAACGGCAGTGGCAGTAAGTCCCATGGGACAAGCAGTGCCAGCAGCACCAGCAACAGCGCAGTGACCTACGACCTGGAGGAGTATACCCTGCCCACCGGGACTGCTGTTCTCGAGCTCGACCTTGGTCGCGACCTGTCGAGTATCGCGCACGGCCTTTTCTCGGCACTGCGTGACCTGGATGCACGGGGGGCCGACATCATCCTCGTCGAGGGCATCGACGACCGCGGAGACGACATGGCTGTGGCGGTCATGAACCGGCTGCGCAAGGCGGCATCGGAAGTGCGATAGACAGGCTCCACGTTACTTTTGAATTTTTCCTTTCTTTTTCACAGCGGTTTATCTTTCCATTTTACATCTGATAGACATGTAGACGACAGCCGACAGCCGACAGCCGACAATGGGCCTGGAAACTACAAGCGACTTTGTTTATTTCTGCTTCTTGCCCTTTTATAGTATCCCTAAAAACAAAGAACTCCCAGTGCAGTTGAGCGAAAACACGACCATAAAAACAGTATAGAACGACGTGATCGACGTGAACATGAAAAAATTAGGAATAAGACCCCCAAAAGACAAGTGTTCTAGGGAGAGGGGACACGGATACCCTACTCCCCTTGATTCCGGTATTCCGCGCCTGCGCCACGGTCCATCCCCTCTTCGCTCTACAGACCCTGCCGCAGCCAGTCTGAAATCTTGTTCCGGCCCATCTGTGCCAGCTGGTTAACGCCCTGCTCGCTGAAGGGGTCGATGCGGCCAATGTTGACGTCCTGTGTAGGTGCCTTGCTGACGCGCGTGACCACAATGCTGGGATCCGTCTCGAGGATGACGCCGTCGTCGATGATCTCGTCCATCGCCAGTGCCAGGATGTCGTAGCACTCCACAAGCGTGCGCTTGTCGATCGACTGCTTGAGAAGCAGGTGCAGCGAGTCGCGGATCGTCAGGACCACGTTGTAGAGCAGCACCTCGTTCTCGTCGGGGCTTCCGACCACATACATGGTCACGTCCGACTCGGCCTTGTACAGCACAATGTGGTTGTCGTACAGCAAGATGTCCGAGTTCTGCTTGGCCGTCTTCTCCAGGAGCCCCTTTTCAAACGTCTTCTGCGCCTTGACGTCCGCAAATGGGTTTGTCGTCGACCCGGGCGCCCCCGTCGCTGGCTGGTGGGGCGGCGTGTAGTACTTGGCAAAGACCCGCGAGCCGTCGTCGGCCAGGATCATGACGGCCTTGACCGAGTAAAGCGACAGCCCGGGCGCCATTGTGTGAGACAGAGAGAACGGGAGGGCGGGAAGAGGCGTGGTTGTGGTGGGACGGGTGGTGGACGGAGGTTTGGGTGGATGTGGTTGAGCGTCGATGGACGGTCGTTCAACGAAAGGGGGGCCCGGAATTGACAGCTATGCCATCTGCACCAGGTGGGAAGATGCCCGCCGCGCCGGAAAAACAATTGGGAGCAGTTAGGGGCAGTTAGGTGGTTGGATACCTTATGTAAGCATTTAAGTGGGGCATTTGTCTCTGGGCTGCAGCGAGGAGCTTGACGACAAGCAAGCGATTCCAACAGGCAGTATTTTGCCGTCTGAGATGTTATGGTACAGGACGGAAGTAAGATACAGTGAACTCATCATAACATTGTGAAAATTCAGAGTATTTCTTCGCCGCTTGAGCAGTTTCTATTTGCCAGCTCCAATCATTCACCCAGACACATTTGGAGTACGTAAGCCATTTAAACACACAAACGATGCATTTGCCGTCAAAATGTAGCCAAGGACACGTTATGTGAGAGATTCAACGTATTATGGCCTATATCATCTGGACGACATGCGTTGTATTTCGCACGTCGTCTTCACTACCAGGCCATATGTCCTCGTTCGTCACTGAATCGTTCCTTCCCTTGACGGGGAAAGTGGACCTGGCGCTCGGACCAATCCCGTTTGAGCAGCAAAACCAAAACCACTTTACGCGAAATAGCGCGTCGAGGTCCCCTCAACCCCCCTTTTGACGCGTCTCAATTAACTCGCGTTTTGCTTGCCATTTTCAGCCCATCATGCAGTCGAGGTGGGCCGCGCCTTCTGCTTTTCCTGTCCCTCCTGCCTCGTGGTGCCGCCGTCCCTTCCTCTCATTTCACAATTCTGTTTGTTTGCATTCCTCTTCGTTCCTTCTCCTCCTTCTCCTCCCTTTTCATCCTCATCCATTCTCAAGATACCCAAACATCACCAGACAATCTTCCTCTCCTCGACCTAGTCTCCCAACGAGACGACACGACAACACAAAACCAGCAAGGTCAACGCAATCGTATCACCCTCCACCACCTCACACACCCCAGACAGCATGTCCTCCCCAGCGGGCCGCCGCACCACGCGGAGCTCCCAGGCAGGCACGCCCAATGCGCGGAACACTCGCAACTCTCAGGCACGCAGCAGCCCGGCAGCAGCGGCGACTGCAGCGGCGACAGGCACACCCCGTAACCAGCGCGCGCCGTCGTCCCAGCTGCAGTCCAGCCCTATGCTGTACGAGTCGTCCCCAGCCGCCGACGTCAATATGGGCGGTGCCTCATCGCCGCTGCGACAGATGAGCGATACACAGAGCACTCAGGACGCGCTCCACAGCGCCGACCACCCCATGCGCGGCCTGGCACCGAGCTCGCCGCTTGCCCACGAGACCCAGAGCGTGTCGGCCGGTGATCGTACACCACGGGCCAACCGTGGCCTTCTTGGAGGTGAGACAGTGTGGTTGGCCGGCGCGAGACCTTGATTCAGAGAACACTGCTAACATGGCTAGAATCCTCTCCTATTCATTACGACCCCAGCTCCAGTCCCGGCCACCATCTCGGCTTCCAGTCCGATCTGCGCAGCGAGAGCAGCGCGCTCTTTGTCGACCAGCGCTCAGGATCGATCGGCCCTGGCCGCTCACGCCGTGGTGACATCAACTCGGACGCACTGCGCACGCCGCGTGCGCCGCCTCGCCGCATCATGCTCGACGATGGTGGCCATGTTCTGAGCGAGGGCATGGCACCCCGCTCGGACACGGGCTCCTTTGCCAACAACAACCCCGACACGTCCGAGGCCCAGGCCCTCGGCGGCCTGAGCCAGAGTCTGATTTGGGGCACAACCGTGTCCATTGATGACACCTTTGCCTCGTTCAAGGACTTCCTGCGCAACTTCACCAAGAAGTACCGCATGTGGCTCGACGGCATGACCGAGGCCGAGACAGAGGGCCTGCCCGATGCAGAGTCCAAGCCCTACTGGGAGACCATGCAGAACATGCTGCTGCTGGGTTCCTCGCGCCTCTACGTCGATGTGCGCGATCTCAAGGCCTACCCGCGCACCAACAAGCTGTGGTACCAGGCCCAGGCGTATCCCCAGGAGATTGTGCCCATCATGGACCAGTCCGTGCACGATCTCATGTCAGAGCTTGCTCACACAGAGGCCAACCGCCAAAAGGCCGCTGCCGCCGCCCTGTCGCAAAGCAGCGCTGGCAACAACAGCGGCCGTGCGCTGAGCGTGAGCCAGAGCTCCGACCTCAACTTCCCCAGCTCCGAGCGCAGTGAGGAGCCGCCCGCCACACCGCGTGCGTCCCAGCAGCAGGCGCTTGCAGCGACGCAGGCCGCACAGACCCTCGAGGACGACGTCAGCAAGACCGTGTACATCGTGCGGCCCTTTGGCCTGGACAAGTCGACGAACCTGCGCGAGCTCAACCCGTCCGATATGGACCGTCTCATCTCCATCAAGGGCCTTGTCATCCGCACCACGCCCGTTATCCCGGACATGAAAGATGCCTTCTTCAAATGCCAGGCGTGCAACCACTCCGTCACTGTCAGCCTCGACCGCGGCAAGATCCGCGAGCCGACGGAGTGCCCGCGGCCCACCTGCCAGACCAAAAACTCCATGCAGATTGTCCACAACCGCTGCATCTTCGAGGACAAGCAGGTCATCAAGCTGCAGGAGACGCCCGACGCTGTCCCCGCCGGTCAGACCCCTCACTCCGTGTCTGTGTGCGTCTACAACGAGCTTGTCGACTTTTGCAAGGCTGGCGACCGTGTCCTGATCACGGGCATTTTCCGTGTCAGCCCGGTTCGCGTCAACCCACGCCAGCGCACCATCAACAGCGTGCATAAGACGTATGTCGACGTCCTGCACATCCAAAAAGTCGACGCCAAGCGCCTGGGCATCGACCCGTCGACCCTGGAGCTGGATGACGACGATGTCGAAGCGGCTATCCTGGCCGAGCAAAACGAGACCAGCGGCGGTGGTACCGGCGGTAACCACATGGAGGAGACACGGACCTTCACGCCCGAGGAGGAGGCCAAGATCAAGGAGACGGGTGCCCGTGCCGACGTCTACGACCTGCTGTCGCGGTCGCTGGCTCCATCGATCTACGAGATGGACGACGTCAAGAAGGGCATCTTGCTACAGCTGTTTGGCGGCACCAATAAGTCCTTCAAGAAGGGCGGCAGTCCCCGCTACCGCGGCGACATCAATGTCCTGCTGTGTGGTGACCCGTCCACGGCCAAGTCGCAGATGCTGGGCTACATCCACAAGATTGCGCCGCGCGGTGTCTACACGAGTGGCAAGGGCTCCTCTGCCGTTGGTCTGACCGCCTACGTCGCGCGTGATCCGGAAACGCGGCAACTGGTGCTCGAATCGGGTGCTCTTGTCCTCTCTGACGGCGGCGTGTGCTGCATCGACGAGTTCGACAAGATGTCTGAGAGCACACGGTCCGTGCTGCACGAAGTCATGGAGCAGCAGACGGTGTCGGTCGCCAAAGCAGGCATCATCACCACGCTCAACGCCCGCACAAGCATCCTAGCATCGGCCAATCCCATTGGCAGTCGCTACAACCCCGAATTGCCCGTGCCGCAGAACATTGACCTGCCGCCGACGCTGTTGTCGCGGTTCGACCTGGTGTACTTGATCCTGGACCGCGCCGATGAGAAGACGGACCGCCGCATGGCCAAACACCTGCTCTCCATGTACCTGGAAGACACACCCCAGTCGGCACGCTCGGCCAACGAGATTTTGCCTGTGGAGTTCCTGACGTCGTACATTTCGTATGCACGCGCCAACATTCACCCCGTGCTGTCGACGGAGGCCGGCCAGGCGCTCGTGGAGGCGTATGTCGAGATGCGCAAGCTGGGCCAAGATGTGCGTGCCGCCGAGAAGCGCATTACGGCGACTACGCGGCAGCTCGAGTCCATGATCCGTCTCGCCGAGGCCCATGCCAAGATGCGCCTCTCCTCCGAAGTCACGGGCGACGACGTCCGCGAGGCGTACCGTCTGATCCAGTCGGCCCTTAAGACGGCCGCCACCGACGCCCAAGGCCGCATCGACATGTCGCTGCTGACCGAGGGCACCAGCGCTGCCGAGCGCAAGCGCAAGGCCGATTTGCGCGCGGCGATCCTGCGCATGCTAGACGAGGCCCTGACGGGCGGCCAGACGAGCATGCGCTACTCGGAGGTGGCGCGGCGCATGGCTGAAGCCGCGAGCGTGCCCATTGAGTCGGCTGACCTGGCGGAGTGCCTTCGAGGCCTTGAGATGGACGGGTCCGTCACGGTCACGGGTGAGGGCGCACGGCGGACAGTGCGGCGGTCAACGGGCGTGGCGTAATGTCGGGAGAAGGATGACAAGATTAACGGTTTAAATGGTTTTATGCGTCTCATGCATATGCATCTGTCATGTTTGTTGTGTCATATTGCTGATATGTTTTGGTTGCCATGCTATCCAGGGGAAAGAGGAACTGGTTTGTGGTACAGAGGGTGTTTTACGGCTTAAAACGTTTTAATGTAAAGTAAAGAGGCCCAAAGGTCCCAATGTTCTGTTATCATGTATTCACATTTTATTCCAACACGTCAAAAATTCTCCCCTTACCAGACCAGGCTTATCGAAACTGAATTCCAAAATGACTTGGTTTGGTCTATAAAACACCAAGCATACCAGCCTTGGATATGCAGGCCAAACAATAATATAGTGGTAACAATAAGTGGCAGCCCATACAATATGCAAATAGAACAAAACGCGGAGTAGCCAGAAACACAGCAAAGTGCCACAATGGCAGAAAAATGCAACAGGCCATGCAACAGCGGACAAAAAAAGAAACAAAACAAAACGGAAACGTAAAGGGCCGAAAATTACAGCGATTTTACAGATGGGCCCCCTCGCAAAGCTGCATTATCCAACTTCGAAACTCCACCACGCAACTCAACCCGGATATGTACAAGAACACTCTGCCTCTTACCACAGGCCGCGCGACCGGCCTTCAAAGGCAAAGTTGAGCGCAATGGCCACGACGAGAGCACCGCACAACACACTCGGTCCATAGCGATCGTAGAATTGGGCAGACGCGCGCCGTGTGCGGATGGCCTTGCTGCGGTAAAAGTAGATACCGACCGAATAGGCCAAGCTCAGGACGGCGAGCAGGGTGAAGACGCTGGCGACAACAAAGGAAATACTGGACGGCTTCGAGCCAAAGTTGAGCAGCGTTGCGGCGATCGTGCCGACGTAGATGGAGTACTCGAGCCAGCCCAAGAATGTCCGCTCGGCAGCAAAGTACACCTTGGGCTCGACGCGCACGGGCACGTAAATCTTCTTGCCCTTGGGCGCGCGGAACTGCTTGGTCTGGATGGCGCTGCGGCCTCCGAAGAGCAAGCGCTGCCGCTCGTTCTCGGGGATCTCGGAGCCGCGCGGGTGAGGCACCAGCGCCTGGGCAACCGAGATGACACCACGGCCAGCGGCCTTGGTGTAGGCGCCCATCAGCGCAGAGTAGTAAGGCCAGCCGCCAACACGGCGTGCTTCTTCGAGTCGTGTCCGTTCGCTGTCCTCCTCGCCGTCCTCGTCGTCCGAGTCGTAGACAGGATACGGGTCGTTGAGACCGTCGGTGGTCTGGTCCTCGGTGTCGCCCAGGCCATGGTGCGTGGCGACGCCGTGGTGCGGCAAGCGTGCAGCGATGGCGGCGGCTGTCGAGGAGCTCGGCTCGCCGAGAACAGGCCCGCCAAACGTCTGGCGGCTGCGAGTTTGCTGCACGAGGGCGTTGCTGTCAATGCCTCTCTCGTCGTCGTCGGAGTCAAAGGAGTCTTCGTCTTCGTCTTCGGACGTGGCTGTGGTGCCCGAGTGGCCAGAGCGGCGGATGCCGAAGTCGTGCGAGCGCGGCTTGCGGATGTCAACGTCCATCTGAGGCAGCCAGAAGGGGAGCAGGTTGATGCGGTCGGGGAAGAGAGTGGCGGTGCCGTGGATGAACTTGGAGAACTTGGGCACGGCCTCGACGAGGTGGCTCGAAATCAACTGGCGCACCCACTCCGGAGGCTCCTGGCCCATCTGGGTCTGCAGCTTCACCTCGAGAACGGCATAGGGGAAGCGCTCAATGTCAGCGGCCGGAAGCTGCGAGAAGGGGTAGTCGATGCCAATGTCCATGCGACGCCAGTTGTCGCCGCTGCGTTGCTTGCCGTCGAGGTTGTCCTCGCGGACCATCGTCAGCTCGGTATCCAGAGAAATACGCACGCGGGCGTCACCGGGAAGCTGGAAAGCGGTGCGGTTGTAGAAAGAACGGCACACGGGCACGTAGCCTTTGCGAAGGACGGAGTATTGAATCTCGGCAGCCAGGCGCTCGTCCTCGGCAATGGCCTGCTTGGACTTCTTGCCCTCCTTGCGGGCTTTTTCAAAAATGGCAGCGGGCAGCAGCTCGCCGCGCAGGTAGGCGTTGACATTCTTCTCCTTCATGGAGAAGCGGGCCTTAACCGACTTCTCACCCGTCCAGTCCTCGCGATGGGTCTTGCGCTCGACGAAAATGGTTTCGCTGCGCATGCCGCCGTACCAGCGAAGACGGATGGCCTCGGCGCCCTCGGTCTTTTTGAGACGGCCCTCGTACAGATCCCATTTCTCCGGGTTGTCGTAGTAGATCGAGGTGATGGCGGAGTCCTGCTGGTCGAACTCCTTGCTAGCGTTGAAGACCAGCACGGGCAGGTGCTTGAGGATAATGAGCTTGAGCTCGGTGACGTTGTCTGGGTGGACCCAGTACTTGGTGGTGTGGCGGACAAAGTTGGCCTGCCCACCGCCGGCGCTGCTGTCGCCCTTGACGGGGTTGCCGCGGGTGCGGACAATGTCGTAGAGCTTAGACAGCTTCACAACAGAGGCATCGTAGTTCTCCTTGTAGAACGGCTTCGCCTTCAGGCGAGTATCGAAGACGGGCTTGAGGTGCCAGCCGGTGGCCTTGTCGTGCTTCTTGATGATCTTGTAGAAGCCGGTGTAGTTGACCTGGACGAACTTGGCGAGGTCGTGGACGTCGGCAATGATGTCGCTGAGGTCCTCCTCGAGGAGCATGAACTCCTCCTCGCTGGGGCCGTCGCCGGTGCCGCGCTCGCGCAGGCGGTTCACAACATCGTTGACCTCGCGCTCGCTGACGGCAATCATGCGCTGGATCTCAATGGCCTTGACCTGCTGCTTCTGGTGGACCTTTTCAAGCTCGATCTCGAGGGCGGTGACAAACTCCGCCTCGTCGTCCTCGGACCACTCGCGCTGGGGATGCAGCGTATTGTTACTTGGCCGGGACGCAGCGGCGGAGGCCGCGGCGTCCTTCTTGCCGCTCTTGGTGCTCTTCTTGTTATTTGATGCGGATGCGGATGCGGCAGAAGCAGGCTCCTCGATGTGGATGACAGGGCCGCTGGCGTTGCGCAACTTGGCCTTGAGGCCGTCGTAGTCTAGGTAGGACCACTCATACTCGCGAATGACGCTGGAGCGAAGCTGGTCGCCAAACTTCATGACGACGATACCGGGTGGCGCGCGCCAATGCTGCTTGCCTCTGCCGTGAGGAGTAGTGGTGGAGGTGGTAGTGAGGGCGGCGGTGGTCGTGCCGGTGCGGATAGACTGAGAGTCCTCGGGAGAGTACGCGGCGCCGGATTGTTGGTCTCTGCTCTGGCGCCTGAGGTGGCGGAAGCTGTTGACAGTTGGAGCAATGCTGTTGCTGGGCGAGCTTCTGTGCCAGGTCTTCTTCTTGGTCTTGAGGTCTTCGATGATTAGCATTGGGGGGAGCAGGTGGAGGTCAGACCGGCGACTGCAGGCCGATGCAGGGGAGCAGTGGCGGCAGGCGACCGATGAGGGTGGGGGGGGGGGGGGGTAGGAAATGGCAGCGGGAGTGGTTAAGAGGTTTGAAGAGGAGTACGAGGTATGGAGGTGCGGAGAACACAAATGGATGGAAAGAGCAAAACGACCGTCGATGGTCTGAATTGGACGCAGCGACGGTGTCCAAGTGACGTGTTCGATCGGATCGAGAGTAAGAGTGAGAGTGAGAGTGAGAGAGATTAGGTGAAAGAAAGAAAAAAAAAGAAACGCTATAAGCTGCCAATGGTTTTACACCACCGAGGAGGGAATAGGGTATTGTTTCCGTATTCTTTCTCTGCTCTCTTCGTTCTCGGCTCAGTTTTTCACAGCTGCGTGTTTTGCAGGGAAGAGATGATTGGTATAGTACGCAGGTACTGGGGAGACGGAACGGAGCCTTGATCTAGTCAAGTGGAAAAAGAGGCGACCCAGAACTGAGACACGAGACAAGCAAAGTGACGATTATGAGGCAGCAATGGAGAGGGGAGATCTGCGGAAGGAAGAGAAAAGGAAGAATGCACGTCATGAAAAAGAGATGAAAGAGGGAAGGAAAATGAAGCAAACAACGATGCGCAGTGGAAAACAAACCTTTCTTTGGACAGGGCCTGCTGGGACAGCAGCACAGGGGACAAACCAGGCCTGGGGGAGGGGGGGGGGGGGGCAAGCGAAGCAATAAAGAAACAATAAAAATCTGCATATAATAGGCCAAGGGCGGTTGGCGAGGCACGTTTGGTGGAGCTGCAATCAAGCAAAAAAAGACGAAGGACGGCTAAAGCAAGAGAAAGCAAATGCGTCGATTGAAGCTTGCAGACGCCCGTGCGAGCTGGCCCGTTTCAATTGATGGAGTGTGCTGTGGTGGTTCACAATAGACGCAGCCCTGGGTGACGTTGGTGATCAGGGGGACAGAAGTGTGCTGGGGTCAAGGCAACCAGAATGTCGTGGTTGGTGAGACAAGTGATGCTCGGTAGAGTCGAAAGAGCAGCTGTAGCTAGGATGGTGCAGATACACGACCTCGACGTAGATTTAACTGTGGGGGGCGGTGGGGCTGACAAGCTTTGTTGGTAGCTCCTTCCATCTGCTGTGACCGTGGTCGCTGAGGCGCACTTGCCTTAACCCGGCCGCTAAAGTCTCAAAATGCAGGCACGATGGGGGCGCGATTTTGAGAGCCCACGTTCGCACCCCTGGACATGTGATTGGTCAATTGCCACAACTGCCACTGGAAGGTGCTGCAGGCCACTGTCCAGCTGCGGAAAAAGGAAATGGCTTTCGGCCACATCGTCAATGAAGCTCTTGCCTTGAGAACAACCACGTCGAACGCAAAACATGGCGGGAAGCTACGAAACGACTTTTCTTCAGAGTGACCCACTGTAAATGGACCATGTGCTATTTTGTTCTATCTTGAAGACTTTTCTGGTCGCGGTTTTCTGCTTTATTTTTTGCTCAACCCCGTTGTCGGTGGGCACGTGTGCGCGGCTTCCGACTGTGACAGGAGGTTGCACAATATTTATTCTCGTTCCACTGTCTCTCTTTCCTTGTGTGGCTGCTTTCGTTTTGGGATTGTAAAACAGGGAAGGCCAATCAATTGGGTCGGCAGGTGCCGGTGAAGCGAGGCACAGATTCACACGAAAGACGGAAGGAGTGCATGACAGACAGCCTCGTCATGGCCAAATCGACAAACCCGAGACGTTGGCCGGACACAGAAAGAGCGACTGTCGATCGACTCTCAGGGCTGCCCGCCCAGATCAACAAGCTTTGACGATGCCAGTTGAGCCAGTCCAGCAGTCACAAGGTGAAAGAGGTAAAAGCTTGTGGAGTGCTCTTTTTATTGGCACGGATTGACCGTGTAATTACGTATTCATCCAAGTACGCCTGCATTCCAGTGTTGGTCCACTGTAAATTAGGCGGTGAACGAAAGCTGTGGGGCTTTCCCAGCAATCGTCAAGGGCAGGAGCTCTAAAAGGCGGCAGAAAATAAGGCGGAGAATAAAAAAGTCAACGTCAACACCACTCAACAGCTACAAACCCCTCCATAGAACGACTGTCCAGCTCTACGCCGTACAAAACCACACAATCCCACGATGGCCGACATCGACGATTCCCTCGATGCCCGCATCTCGTCCGAGTGCCCAGTAGGCATACAGGCCATACTGCGCGCCGCCTGGCGTCACGATGTCGACGCCATTAAGCCCCTCCTCGACGCGCCAGGCAAGGCCAGCTGTCGCGACCCTGTGACGGGTGAGACGCCATTGCACGCAGCCATCCGTTCGCTGGGACCGGTCAGTGAGGACGACGTTCAAGAGGCACAGGCCGAGAAGGAGGCACAGGCGACAAAAATGGTTGAGCGGTTGTTGTTTGGCGGTGCCATCTGGAACGACGTCGACATGGACAACGAGACCCCCGGCTGCGTGGCGTGGCGGCTGAACCAGAAAAGTCTCTACGACCAGATGGTGCGGGCCGGTACGCGAGCTGAAATGCTGTTTGCCATCCTGGACGGCTACGAGGAGCTCGAGTCGGATGGTGATGAGGACGACGAGGACGACGAGGAGATGGCAGAGGCAGAGGAGGCAGACGGGACAGGCGACGGTGCCAATGGCACAAATGGCCACGAGGCTGAACCAGAGCCGGAGACCGAAACAGACGCTCCCGCTGCCGATGCCCCAGCCTCCGAAGAGACTCCCTATCTCGAGTCCCACCTCACGCTCAACGACGGCAAGCTCGTCGATGCGGCCGGTAACGGTGTCATGATGGAGTGGGAGGCCGACATTATGCGCCGCAGCGTGGACGCCATGCTTGGCGGACCTCCGGACGACGCGGCTACCAAGGGCAAGCGCGTCCTCAACATTGGCTTCGGCCTCGGCATCATCGACAGCATGATTGCCTCCCGCCAACCAGCCCGCCACCATATCATCGAGGCCCACCCGGAGGTGCTGGCACGCATTGATGCTGCGAGCAGCAACCCTTCTGCGGCAGGCGACGACCATGCGGCCGAGTTTGGCGCCGCCTGGGAGGCATCGTCGCCCGAGGGTGGCGCGTTCAAGGTCCTGCGGGGTCGCTGGCAGGACATTTGCCCCAAACTGCTGGCCGAGGGCGAGCTGTACGACGCCATCTACTTTGACACGTTTGGCGAGGACTACAGCGAGCTGCGCCGCTTCTTTACAGACTACATCCCCGGCCTGCTGGCCGACGACGGTGTTTTTGGTTTCTTCAACGGCCTCGGCGCCGACCGGCGAGTGTGCTACGACGTATACACGCGCGTGGTTGAGATGCACCTGTCCGAGGCCGGCCTGGACGTCGCATGGCAGGATGTCGACGTTCCCCTAGCCGACGACGGCCTCGACAAGGCTGGCGCAGGGGCGTGGGAAGGCATCCTGCGGCCCTACTGGACACTCGACAGTAAGTGCAGACCCAGCAATGGTACTGCTTCGCATTTGGCACCGTGCCTCATCATAGTGCAAGTTCTGCTAACACATCATAGAATACCGACTGCCAGTATGCACATTTATAGGCTAAAACACTTATTAAACCAAATACAATCAAAATATAATATACCACATGGCTTTACGACGTATCTAGTGACCGAGCGTGGTAAAATGGACGACTTTCTAGTCTCTAGTTTTTCTCCTCTCCGCCTATGCTTTTGTTTTCTTTTGGCCTCCATCATGAAATCTCATAAAAACTCCCAGTTATATATGTCTTCCGCCCTGGGAATGCGTGGGTACGCTCCCTTTACACAAAGTTCTCGGGGTGCAGGATGCCGGATAGATTGCCGGCCTGTGCGCGCTTCAGCGTCAGGGCAGCAATCAGCGCTGCGCCCACACCGCTACCGTCCTCGGCGGCCAGGATCTCAATCGGGTCCTCCTCCTTGGGGTCCTTCTTGTCAGGCCAGTCAAGAATCTCCTTGAGCGCCTGCGCACCCCGCTCCTTGAAGTGTGGGTACTTGTTGAACACGGAGCCGTCCGCGCCCACGTGGCAGGTCTTGTAGTCCTTCTTGATGCTGATAGCAGCAACACCGCAGGCCGACAGGCGGGCAGCGCGAGTACCGATCAGCTCGGCTGCGCGGCGGATCAGGCACAGCTCAGGCTCTGTCGGGGAGATGCCCAGCTTGTCGTTGAACAGGTCGAACGTTTCCTGAAGGTTCTCCCACGGGTCGCTAGAGAAGAGTGTTAGTCAAATTTTGTTTCACAAACTTCAAACAAAGCATAGAAACTTAGCCACCGGGCCAAACACATACTCCTCAATAGCGGACAGGAAAGACGAGTCCAGGGTGTAGGCACGGCGCAGCTTGGAGATGTCCTGGTTCGCAAAGATGTGTGTCTCGTGGTTGTCGTGCAAATCCACCATGATCAACCGCAGCAGCTCGCCCAGGTAGAGTCCGGCAATCATCTTCTCAAACGCCTGTTGGCCGGGGCGCGGCGAGTCCTTGTCAATGATAATGTCATACGGCGTCCGCGGAAGGACCTTGTGCTCGTTGTCGAACGCGCCCCACTCGCAGTTGATGGCCATTGGCATGTCGGCGGGGAGGTTCATGTGCGCAAGCTTGGGAATCGAGCCCGCGTTCTCCATGTATGCTGCATTGCAGCCCGTACCAAAAATGCAGCCAATCTTCATCTTGGTGTCGGTGTACGCCGACGCAATGAGCGTGCCCGTGGTATCGTTGATCAGGGCGGCCAGCTTGATGGGTGTGCCCTTGGCAGCCAGCGCCGCCTCGAACATGGGCACCACGTTCTTGCCCTCAACGCCCGCAATGTCAAAGCCCTTGGTCCAGCGCTGCAGAATGCCTTCGTCAATGTAGTTCTGCGTCGCCGGGTACGAAAAGGTGAAACCGAGCGGGAGGCTATCGAGTTTGGACAGATCCTCGTGATGCGTCTCAACGAACTGGTGCACGCAGTCGGCAATGTAGTCCCAAAGCTCCTCGGATTGACCGGTCTTCAGCTCCTCGGGCATACGGTACTTGGACTGGATGATATCGAATTCGGACTTCTGATCCGTCAGGGTAATCTCACAGACACGCAAGTTCGTGCCGCCCATGTCAAGCGCGAGGAAGGTGCCAGTCTCGTAGCCATCCGGGAAGGCCATGACCCACGTAGGGTTCATGGGCTGTATGCGTTTTAGTCTCTGGTCAGCGTGTGAATGGACGCCGGGCTATAATCACGTCACGTACAATGCTGCCACCCTCAACACTGAGGCCCTTGTCCAGCTCGGAGATAAAGTGGGTAGTGATCTCCTTGAGCTTCTTCTGGTCGACGGTGAAAAGCCGCTCGAGGTTCGCAATCTCTTGCTTCAGGTCCTTTGGAATGTCTGCAAGGGAGCCTGCTCGAGAAACAAATTAGCAAGAAATTCATAAGAACGCATATTCAAGCCTCAGGTTATGGCATAAAGGCCAACAGGCTTGCCCTTTGCAGATTCGCCGCTACTAAGGTGGAGAGCATGGAAACGCAAATGGCCCGACCGAGCGCACGGCAAACTTGTTTCTGGTGCTGCTGCCATGCTGTGCGACGTGTAAACAAGTGTGTTTGTGAGGTTTGGGAAATATCAAATGTTGTCAAAGAAACAAGGTTTTGCGGCTGCACAGTATCAACGGCATATTAAAACACATAAACGATGGGTGTAGACGAGAGAGACGACGGAGAACTGCGACTGCAGTGGAGAGCCATATTTAAGCGACGAACGAAGCGACTAAGCCTCTTTTTCATCCCTCTGGCGAAGAGAGCGCCCATTCTTGGCATGTGGTGCAGAAGAGGGAACGAGTAGCCATCTCGGATGGGCGGCTGTAGCCAGTGCCTGGCGTACAAGAACCGCGCTTCCAGGCCATCCCATAACACGTCGGTCTTCCATGTGAACAACTCAGACTCTCGATAGGTGCACAGTTGCGTGACACGAAAAATGAGATGTGAAAATAGGGTGGTAGCAGAGCCAATATTGGGAGGGGAATTCTCCCTTACCCGGCTTTCTCGTCGGGCATCGACGGGTAAGAAACACAGGCCATCAGCAGTCAAGCAACGGCACTTGGCGGGGTTCCTTTTTGAGGGAATTCGAGCAGCCACAACACCCCAGTGGGATCTGATAGGATGGTGGGCAAACTGGTTGGAAGGGTGGCATTGAGTTCCAAATAGGGCTGCCCGTGACGGTTGCGATAGGTTGAAGCACGCAGCGCGAAAAGGGCATGTGCTCGCGTGCGAGTGGGAGGACGGGAAACGTGTCAGGGACAAACAGCTGGAGCTCGTTGGGACGAAACGGCGGCTATGGGGCAAGAGGGGCCAGAGGCAGCAAAGCAAGGTTGAGATCGTGACAGACCCAGCCCTATGCTATCCAGGGCACTGCGGTTCCTCGAGCCTTGCGAGTCCAAGCCTCCAGTAACTTGCATCTCCATTCATACATATCCCATGTCTTACCTGTACCCTTGCGGGAAGGCGGCTTCTTAGGACCAAGACCGACCATGCTGCGCGATGTCAGGAAGGCTGAGAGAGGTGGGAGCTAGGACAACGGGTTCCAAAAATGCTGTGTCCAGTGCGAGGGTGTGTCGACGATTGCACAACCGGGTGCGAAGTCGCGGGAATAGACGAGTCGAAGAGGCGGGGCGGTATCGGCACAGACGAATGAGGGCCGTAAAAGCAAACGTGGGACGGTCCAGCTATAGTGAGACTATCGAGTCGAATTCGGATCGTGAATCAAGGAAAAGAGAAGCAGAAAGAAAGTTTAATAGTTCACAGGTAAATAGGTTGGGAAACTGTGAGAGTATTGTGGTCAGCTGTCCCGTGTTTTTTTTTGTCTAAAAAATTGACTATTCTCCTTTTGTAGAGGAATGCAGTTGCTATGATGTATGTTGCAACGACTCTGTCTGGGGGAAGTGGAGAGAGGCAAAAGTCAGTACTGGTTCAGTGTTCACCCAGTGAGGATCAGTTACAAGGTGCTGTCTGGCAATGGTTGGTGGGGTTCGTGTGGGCAGTGAAACAAGTGCGAGAATTTCCCCGTTTGCGGTTTTGGGCGAGGCAAAGCTGCTTGAAGCTGTTGAACCAATGCCCGGTCGTGTTTGGCGAGATCCGGAGGCGGGGATTGGGAGTGGAATGGAAGAAAAGTGAGAAAAGAAAAGAAGAGGCGAGAAAGCCAGAACAGGAGATATTAAATCAACTGGGATGTTAGGGGTAGCCAAAAACGGGGGCTTGTGAAAACAGCTGCAGGAGCGACCGGCTACCACACAGCTAACCTTGGTCTGCTGCAGGGACCCCCACAGCTTGCCAATCGGGTAGCTGCGATCGTCTTCAACTCGACACTTTGTGGGACACTCGAGAACACGAGACGGAAGGTGCGGCCCAAGGTGCGGCCCACGAGGCATCGTGCATCAAGTTAGTCAGACTATGTCGCAAGACTTTGCGGCAGATTGATAAGTATTACAAAAATAAAAGCACCGCTGTGTGCGTATTTAAGCCAAGACAGAATATGTCGCGAAATTTGTCCTTGTTGTGTGCATACTCGGCAGCCAAAGAGCCAAGACAGAATGTGCTGGGTATTACAGCATAGTTTGTCTTGACGCTAGCTGCATGCCGATTCCCCGCTTGAGAGGGGCAGGGTTTGGGGGTTAAGCTTGAAGCTCACAGAAGGAACGATGATGGCCGGGCCTTCCTTCTGCTTTGAACACTTATTTTAAATACATGTCAAGAAGGGAGTTGATGGGTATAGTATATGTACAATGTTTCAATTGATTATTTTCCACAAAAGGAGATGCGTATTTAGCTGGTCTGAAGGGATTCAAGAATCACAAGTACACCAGTTCTGCCCCGAAACAACAATGCTGGTTCAAATGGGGAAAAAGAAATGCCTTATCAGCTGTCGCTCTTATCAAACGCCCCACAAATTCCAGCCACAATTGCCAGCTAACAGGTACCCACTCTGTGGCTTTGGAAAGGTGCACGGGCCAATCAAACGGGCATTGGGGACAGCTTGTCTGCGTGCTACGCAAAGCCGCCCCTGTGGATGTGGAGCTAAGAACACGGTGTTGTGGTGAGTTTCGAGAATCGACTGGCCTTTCTCACAAATGGATCCTCACGACAATTGACCGACCCTCTCTCCCAGTTGTCGGCACCTCTCTTTGAGTGCTTCTTTTCCCTCTTGTTTTTCACTTCATCCTCTCATTTAATTTCTGTTTTCTTCTTTTCGTCGTTTTCGCGTTTGGCGGCCTTCAGCCATCAACAGAATCAGCTTCCGAGAAGCTGCCGTACTCGACATCATCCTCCCCAGTTCCGACCATCCACTATGCGATTCTCCTCGGCGGCGTTGCCAGCGCTGCTGCTGGCCCTGTCGTCGGCTGTATCGACAGCTGTCGCGTCGTTTACGCCACCTGCCGCCTTTAAAAATGCCAATCTTGTTCATGTTGTTTCGGCCGAAAAGAGCTATATTAAAGAGACGATTAACGTGCTCGTCGAGAACATTGCCAAGACGCCGCAGGATGAGTACTACTTGGCCATTCCGACAGATAAGTTTGCCCGGGTGGGTGGCTTTGAGGTGAAAGACCGCAAAGACACGGCGGCCGGAGACTTCATCGTGGAGGCTGTCGAGGCGGATCCGGCCAGCTCGACACAATATTACCGTATCCGCCTGCCCAAGGCGCTCGATGCTGGCGCCCAGCAGACTCTGGGCATCACCTACTACGTTCTTAACGCGTACCGGCCGCTGCCTGCCCTCATCGCGCAGGACGACAAGCAGTACCTCGTCTACGACTTCTCGGCGTACTGTCCCTCCGCGTACGAGACCACCAAGCAGAAGACCGAGGTCAAGTTCCCGACATCCGACGTGCCCGATTATACACAGCTGCCCAAGAAGGAGCTCTCGCAGAAGCAAGGGGCGAAGATTACGTACGGCCCCTTTGAGGCACAGCCAGCCGGGGCGCTACTGCCCGTGGAGGTGCGGTTCGAGTTCACGAAGCCCGTCAACCACGTCCAGCGGCTGGAACGCGACATCGAGGTCAGCCACTGGGGTGGCAATGTGGCTTTTGAGGAGCGGTATACGCTGGTCAACCACGGTGCCAACCTGTCGACGCTGTTCAACCGCGTCAAGTGGGCACAGTCGGCCTACTATAACCCGGCAAGCTCGGCCCTCAAAGAGATGCGGTTCCCTCTGCGGCCCGGCAGCGCCGACGCTTACTACACTGACGTTATCGGTAACGTGTCCACGTCGCGGTTCCGTGACGGCAAGCGCGAGGCCCTTCTCGAGATCAAGCCCCGGTACCCCGTGTTCGGCGGCTGGACGTTCCCGTTCACGATTGGTTGGAACGCGGACGCCGGTGCGTTCTTGCGCCATCTCACACAGGGTAGCAGCCGCTACGTACTCAACGTGCCGTTCCTCGAGGGCCCTAAGCAACACGAGGGCGTCGAGTACGAGCAGGTTCGACTACAGATTTTGCTGCCAGAAGGCGCTGAGAACGTCAAATTCGCAGCCGCAATCCCTTCCAACTCCATCACGACGTCAACGGTGACACTGCAGAAGACCTTCCTGGACACAGTGGGACGGACGGCCGTCGTAGTTGAGGCCCGCAACTTGGTCGACGAGTTCCGGGACCGCGAGGTGATTGTCACGTACGATTATTCGCTGCTGGCAAGCCTCCGCAAGCCTATTATCGTGTTCTCGAGCGTTCTGGGTTTGATTGTGGCTGCGTACGCGATTGGCAGCGTGGAGCTCAAGTTTTCGAAGAAATAGGTGGAGGACGAGAGTTGAGGTGAGGAAAGGAGCGCACGGCGCCAGCAACGAGCCGCAAGAGAGGGCCACGAGCAGGGGAAAAAAAACCATATAAAAGGGCGGAGGCGAAGGCGAGTTGACGCCCGAGCAATGAATGCATTTCTACTTTTGTTTGCCATTTCGGTTTTCTCTAGTCTATTTTCGTCGGCGTGTCAATATATGCACAAGTGTAACACCACACTGAAGAACATCCGCACAAATTACCTACGAGGCTGAAGATTGTGACCGCCCACTCTGGATGGACGACAGCTTGCCATGCCGCATGTAAGTGCGACTGTTGCTTTTTAGAAGGGATCAGACGACTGGCATAATCTACGGCCACTCCACCAAACAGTTGAGAACGGAATACACGCAAAGCACTTTTGGCAGTGCTCTGAGTACCTGCGGCAAATACTACGTTTAGGATGATGGAATGAATCGTTACTATATTCTTCGTATGTTAAGTCATCGTCAGAACAACAATGTGCATATCGGCACCATCACACGATACGGGAGGACATCCCCTACGTCAGTCCACGTATCTGTTGATAGCCGTACTCCGTATTCATATGCGGCTGGGTGCCGTCAAATTGGGTGCGATTTCGAAAGACCGGCAAGTTGACCGCCAGCAACAGGTTCAATCCCATCACAAATCCTACAGCTTTCTTGGCTTCTTTTTTTTGTTCTTTTCCCTGTTTCTCTCCTCTTGTTTAACCTCTTTTCGCATTCATTCGGGCCAGGCCCAAAAAGGAATTGAGAGCCAAGTGTTCTGACAAGAAACTGGACGCGCAACATCGAGGCTCAGTAAGGCGCCAAGCGCCGGCAGTCGCTAGTTATTTAGTCGCATGCCAGCAAGCAAGGCCAGGTCCGACGCTTTGTGAGCAGGAGTCAAGGGAGGCCACAATCTATGAACGTCTCTTGTGTGCAATACCTGGGTCCGTTTGTATTGCCTTCTTCTTCAGTCATATTGCCCATTCTTTTCTCGCTCGCATGCGTAACTTCACAGGACGCCAGTGACGCAGAGGGGCCAAGGGGGTGAGGGACAAAGGAACACAAAAGTGGTGGTGCGTGATGAGGATAGCCATCCTTTCGCCATGCATCGGTGATGGTCTAAAATAAAGGACAAGGAAAGACCGCCTCATTGTGGCTTTGCAAAACGCGGCTTTCTACTCGTTCGGGGTCCGAGGGAATAAATACTGTCCAGTATCCTGTCTCGGGTGGTCGCGTGTGCTGTTTTCTGAATTTGTCGCATGAATGCCAGAACTTAATAATTAGAAAATCGAAAGAGTACTCTTTGTCCGGAGCCAACCCACGCCTAATTTTACAGGCCTCTTTCAGCCCAAAAGCTAGTACAGCACTGCGCCAACGGCACTTACAACGACGTGCGGCAATCTTCCGGGCTCCCGGGCCTATTTACAAGGGCTCTCCCGATATACCAATTTTTCAGCCGCGACATACACTCCTCCTTCTTACACAGCTGCGAGCATGTGTTGCTTCGGGCCACCACGCGGAGCATACTATCGGCCGGACGTCGTGCCTATGGGCCCGCGCCCGGTCGTGATGGGTCCTCGTCCCATGATGATGCCACGGCCCATGATGATGCCGCGGCCCGTGGTGGTGGCACCTATGGCGATGCCGCGTCCCGTCTACGGCGGCGGAGGTAGACACCACGGCGGAGGATACGGCGGTGGCTATGGAGGTGGATTTGGCGGCGGATACGGAGGCGGATACGGAGGCCGGTACGGCGGTGGTGGACGCATGGGTGGTGGACGGAGATATTAAGCACCAGCTGTGCTGTGGGGACCTCTCTGTCGCTCTCTCTTGTAATATGGTGTATAAAATGGCCTTGTTTGGCGATCTGTTATATATTTTCCGACTTTTTTACACCGTTGATGAAGATTGTAAAGCATATAAATACACAAATCGTGAGTTCTTTGAAAACGAGGTTCATGTCCCTAAGAATCAGCAGGAATTTTGTATTATATGAAGCCGCCACAAGCTGCCAAAAACTGCAGCCTTTCAAAAACACGAAGTACATATGGACGACTGCAAAAGTACCGGCAAAAGCCAGCATAACTTTTGATGCAATTCCCACGCCTCCGAGTCATTCATAACTGCTCTCGTCCAGCTCCAAATTGCACTATACGTAGCTACTAGTACTTGGTGCTTTGCCTGCGGATCTCACATCTGCGGTACATCGGGAGGACGTGCTTGCCTCGGCCGACCATTTCCCATTTCATCTCAAAGAGGTAGTGAGCAGAGACGAGAACAAGGCGCCCGCACACAGTCCCATTTTGCAAACCTAGACCAACCCGTAACAATGCCTCAGGTGTCCTGTTCTCTGTTCTTGATCTGTTGGTGACGACGGAGAAAGAGCTACGAGATACTTTAAAAGTGGGGCAGCGTATGATGTCATCGGCCTCATGCTGGTGATCGCGCTTTCTTTCTTTGCCAGCTACAAGCTATTCTCTTTACGTAGGTGTCTCATTGCCATCTCGTTTTTCATTGTTCTAGATGGCCGAACTATGTCCCAGTTGTGGATGGATGATGTCGTATTCTAGCATGGGAAGGCCCTTATGTCCTTTTCCTTATAATGTTGTGGTTGCCCCTTGTCGCAGATAATGCAATACAATTAATTCTTTCCCACCTTTTATTTCATCCCATCGCAGTGTCCCTGCAAACATCCTAGCATACCTTCCCGTGTTGCACCCAATATAACCCAGTTCCTTCCACTTTAGGTAACTCCCTTGCTCCCCTCTGACCGACCCCTACTAGAAGCAAGACCGAGCTCTGTGTCAGCCGCACTTTCCGAACGATCCGCCTCCTTTGCATCAGCTGTGGTGGCAGGTGCAAAGCTTCGTCGCGGCCCCGACTTCCACGGCTACCACATATGGAAGGAGGTCAGGCTTAAAGAAGCAGCAGAAGCGCACATCGTAAAGGAAGTCGCGGATGTGACTACAGCTTGTTCATTTTGCTAGGTTTTACTTTCACAATATCTTGTTGACTTCCACGAGGAAAGAGCGTTGGAAACACTAACCGTGATTGCCATCTTCAACAGTATCTTTGCTCCAACAACCACCGTCAAGATGATGTGAGTTTCGAGTCTTGTACCTTGCCCCATGGTCAATCCCTCTGCCATCCTCTGCACCGTCAACCCGTTCCTGGCCCACGTCCCCCTACTGCAACTGAATTATCGTCCTCAGTCATTTTGCACACTGTACGCAGTGAAACTGCCTGCCATGGCCAACATTCTGGCCTGGCTCCCTCGAACGAGCGGCGAGCAGTACGCATTGTTTTTCGTCGCCGTTGCTTGTATTCCTTCGCTGTCTACCCACTCGGATCTATTTTGTACTAACTGCGCCGTCTCTCCATCTCTCCAGGAACAACCGTGGTCTTTCCATTCGCTCCAAGGGCAACAGCAACAAAAACCGCGGCGGCGGCTTTTCGTTCTCGTCGCTTCGCGGCACGTCTCAGCCCGAGCTCTCTAAGCGTCTCTACCGTCTCATCAAGTCCGAGAACTCCTTGATCAGCGCCCACGAGACCGCCGGCCGCGAGCGCGTGTCGATTGCCACCCAGCTGTCGGAGTGGGGCGAGCAGACGCACGATGATGCCGTGTCGGACATCAGCGACAAGGTTGGCGTCGTGCTCTCCGAGATTGGCGAGCAGGAGGACCAGTACGCACACGCCCTGGACGACAGCCGCGCCGTTCTCAAGGCCGTCCGCAACACGGAGAAGAGCGTCCAGCCCAGCCGCGATAACAAGGCCAAGATCTCCGACCAGATCGCCTTTCTCAAGACCAAGGAGCCCGACAGCCCCCGCCTGGTGGTTCTGGAGCAGGAGCTTGTCCGCGCCGAGGCCGAGAACCTGGTGGCCGAGGCCCAGCTCACCAATGTGACGCGCCAGAAGCTCAAGGAGGCCTTTGAGGCCGAGTTTGCCGCCACCATTGAGCGCGCCGAGAAGCAGATCATCCTCGCCCGCCACGGCCAGCGCCTGCTCAAGCTGCTTGACGACACCCCGGTCGTCCCGGGCGACTCCCGCGCCGCCTACCAGTACAGCGGCCAGGCCCGCCAGATCCTCAACGACGCCGAGGATGATCTGCGCGAGTGGCAGCCCGAGATCAACGACGACGAGGCCGAAACCAACGGCCACGAGGGCAACATCACCGGCAACGTCCGCCACGACGGCGCGGGCTCGATCGGTGCCGACGACACGGGTGCCGAGGGTGCCGCAGGTGCCGAAGGTGCCGACGTCGAGCGTGTAGTCGGTGAGGCTTAAACCTTTTGTCGCCCTCCATTTTGTGGCTGGGGCCTTTCTGCGACGTTTTGTTCTGCGACGTTCGAACCCGTCTTTTTGCGACCTGGAGCCCTTGACAATGATTTCTGCGAAGCAAACGGTCGACCAGCCATGACACCGTTGCATCAGGTAACTGACAATTCACAAAACAGTTGTCCCCGTCGCCGTGGCCTAGATATGTGGCCAGGCGTCGGCCGAAGTGGTTGACGTAAGTCGGGAGCGGAGACGGAAAGACCCATCCTTTTCACCCCTTCCACTTCCTGTCTCCGCCCTGTCGGTATCGAGGGTATCGGTTGCTCTGCGCTTTTTGGAGTCTTTGGTGTTTCTATTCGGTGTTCTGTAATATCCCCAACGGGCATGCTTTCATCTGGCCATCTGGCCAATGTACCCTGTTTAATTTTGCTTTTGCTCAGGCACTTCATTCATTTTGTTATTTCTTTCACAACCTTTTAATTGTGGGTGTGGTCGCCTTTGCTTTCATAATTGATGATTGTGTATTGGCTTTCACAATTGGGAGGGCCGTCATTGGCTGTGTTGGATAAAGATAGTGTTCGCACCCAAGACTGTTGTATATTATACTGCTACCAAATAAACGAATGTGAAAGCAGAAAAGCAAAGTCCCATTCAAGTAAAACATATTGTGATGCTGTGCTCGAAACATATACGACGTGATGCCTCCGATGCAGTCACCGCGAAAAAGCACTTTTGTCTTGAGGAAATAGCCCCACTTTTTGTACAGCTCCACCAAGTGCATCATCGGCTGTTTTTCCGTTCCAGCTGCAGCTCTCCCTAACACAACGTTTCTCGTCCAGCTTCCACCCTCGACGCCGCCGTCGTGCGAAAATACATCAATTGCCCTTTGCAATGCTCAGCCTCAGCACGAGCGCACGTTTTGTGTGCACCAGCTGCACGCGGCGGTTCGAACAGCGCGTCCAGCAGCAGGTCCAGCATCATCAGCGCCGTCGTTGGCAGTCGACGACATCATCACCAGCTTCGTCCCATGATATCTACGACATCGTCTGCGTTGGCGGCGGGCCAGCGGGACTGAGTCTCCTGACTGCGTTGCGTTCGTGCCTATAATTCTGCCCTTCCTCCATTTCGTGCATCTACATCTAACACGTCTAGGCGCCAACCCTGTCACGGCTGGACTCCGCCTCGCCCTCATCGAAGCCCAGGATCTCGGCCGCACGCGCTCCTACGCCCCGACGGCCGACCAGTTTGCCAACCGCTGCAGCTCATTGACGCCGGCCTCAGCCCGTTTTCTCAACAGCATCGGTGCCTGGCCGCACCTGCACCGCGACCGTGTCCAAGGCTACCAGGAAATGCAGGTCTGGGACGGCGTGACCGGCGCGCGCATTGCCTTTGACTGGCCGCCCGGCACGATCCCGAGCCAGAGCCCAGACACCGGGTCGACCATTGCCTACATGGTGGAAAACAACAACCTGACGGCGGGCCTGCTGCGGCGGCTCGACGAGCTGGGCGGGGTGGATGTCTTTGATGGTTCGCGGGTGGACAGCATTGGCTTTGGCCCAGAGGACCAGAACGGCATGGACCTGTCCCAGTGGCCTGCCGTGCAGCTGGCGGGCCAGGGAGCGGACGGAAAGAAGAGCAAGTCGCTTCTTGCCCGCCTGCTGGTCGGCGCCGACGGTGCCAACAGCCCTGTGCGAGCATTTGCCGACATTGAGGCGCGCGGCTGGGACTACGAGCGCCACGGCGTGGTGGCCACGATGCTGCTCGAGGAGGGTGCCGGCAGCCTGTCGGGCGATGCCTACAAGACGGCATACCAGCGCTTCCTGCCCACTGGGCCCGTTGCGTTGTTGCCGCTCCCGGGACGCTTTGCCACGCTCGTGTGGTCGACCACGCCTGAGCGTGCCGCCTTGCTCAAGTCGCTGGCACCAGAGGACTTTGTGGCCATGGTCAACGCCGCGTTCCGTCTGCGGCCCGTCGACCTGACATACATGCATGGGCTGACGGAAGGCGGGCAGCGTGACGAGGTGGCCTGGCGGCTGCAGACCGAGGCGACGGGGACATGGACGGCAACCGACGACGCTGAGCGCCTGCCGGCGACAATGGTCGGCGTCCAGCCCGGCAGCGTCGCCTCCTTCCCACTCAAGCTGCGCCACGCCGACACCTACATTGGCGAGCGCGTGGCGCTCGTCGGCGACGCCGCCCATACCGTGCACCCGCTCGCGGGCCAGGGCCTGAACCAGGGCCAGGGCGATGCCGAGAGCCTGGCGCGCACGATTGCCTACGCCGTCGCACACGGCCAGGACCTGGGCGTGCGCACGTCTCTCGCGCCGTACCCGTCCGAGCGCTATGCGGCCAACCACGTGCTCATGGGCGTGTGCGACAAGCTGCACAAGATCTACGCCGTCGAGTCTGGTCCGCTGGTGCCGCTGCGGTCGCTCGGCCTGCGCGCCATAGACGCCATGCGGCCACTCAAGAACTTTATCATGAGCCAGGCGGCGAGCAGCGGGCGGACCAGTGTGTAAGGCGTATACTCTGCGAGAGAGAAATGCTCTCCAGGCAAGGCAGTGGAAACGCAAATGGACCTGGATGCTCGTTTACCGAAGCGAAACATGTGTGTACATCTCTGTAAGAATAGGGTGCGTCTGAGTCGAAGGCCTTTCACAGGTGGCAATCGACAAGCAACCCGTAGTACCTAAGAAACGGTGTAATACGCAGGAGAATGTGAAGTGAAGAACCTGTGAATAGTTGCAACGGAAGCACATGCCAAGTTTGCCAGCTCACATTTTAGGAGAGTGCTTTTCGCGACAAAACAATTTTGGCGTTTCGGTAACAGAAATGCACCTCATCGATGTACTTCGACTTGGATTGCGTTTGTTTAGCCATTGTAACTCGCTGTGCAATGAATGCCCAACAAAAGCCACCGTCCATTCACGGCTATTGAAGCATTCCACTGTATTATTGAGTACGGTGAGGCCTGGCCGTGCCCCACTCTGCCGCTGCAGCCGCAGTCACCGCTGCACAACGCTCCTGCATCAGTGTTTGCCAGCCGCGCCTTCCCCACAAGGCAGCATAAAGTCTGCAGCCACTCTTTGCCAGTAGCCGCTGCCTTACTTACCTACCCTACGGACCGCCCAAAGAGGAAGGCCCTGCCAAAATCCAATCACACGCCAAAGTCAAGCCTCATCTCTTCACCTCGACCCGCGAACCTTTTGACCTTCTACAACCATCCTCCACGACGACACTCCTACCGTGACGCCCAACATACATCCCTCGGCAAGCGCTTCTATCTGTCCTATACTTTCTAGCCGCCCATCATCTGGCTCGTCGCCGCACTCGCATCACGCCTACGCGCCTCCCGGAGTCCTCTTCGGCTTCGTTTATCTTTTATATCCCATTTTATCTTCAGACCGACCTCTCTTCCTCCCGCTTCTTTCCACCAAACCTTCTCGATTATAAAGCACCGGAGCATTGCTTGCACCTGTGTATGCAAAGATCATGCTCTCCTAGCCTCACATAACACCGCCATTCGCCCCTGTCCAGACCAGCCGCGGGACTGGTTTTGGAGCAGGCAGAATGCCCATGGGCCGTGTAGGCACACTCTGTTTCTCTTTATACTTTGCCTATCAACTCCTTTGCACACGGAATGCTAACAATAACAGAGCTTTCTCAGTAGGCTGGGCGAGTTCAGTCCCGGCAATTTTCTCCGGCGGGACCGCTCTAATCGCCACCCAGACAAAGCCCAAGCATCGCCGCAAATACATCCGCCGTCCCCGAAACGGAGACGGACAGATGACGACGATGGCCACGATGACGACGATGCCTCACCACCGAAACGCAGCGCCATTCGTACGCAGAACAACCAGACGTTCCTCGACAAGCAGCGACTGCGTAACCCGACGACCCGCGGCCAGCAGCAGCGCTTGCGCAACCAGCCATCCGAGACGAGCCTTGACATTCTGATCCAATCCTCGCCCGACCGCAGTCTGTATCAGCGCTCCGACAGCGTTCTGTCTAGCGGCCAGCCCGGTAGCCGGACCAGCAACCAGATCAACCAAAACGAGCTGCGGCAGGTGGAACGCAACACAAACGGCACCCCAAACCGGCGTCGTCGGCGCAGGCAACGGGGCGGCTTCGGCGGCGAGGGAGCAGCCGTCGTCGGGCGTCCCGTAAACCTCAGGAGCCCCAGCCTGGACACTGAAGAGCACACTGAAAAGCTGTTTTTGATCGAGGACGATCTGAGCCCTGCCAAGCCTAACACCAACCTGTCCATCGACCTCTCGGGCACAAAGGGACGTTTCCGGGACCGCATGAGCAGCACACAATCATCAATGGGCCCTCCGCGGCGACAGGACGCGAAACCATCCTTCTACAATAGTACGAAGCACGACGCGGAGGTCGACGAGCTTTCACAGGAATTCTTTCCAGAGCCGGCTGCCAAGAGGCAGCAACCGGCTAGGAATCCAGTCATCTACCTGGGTAGTCCTCCGGCTCGCGCTGCTGGAGCAGCTGCCGAGAGAAGGAGACAAGTTCAGTTGCAGCAACAGCGAGAGCGGGAAGGGCAAGAGCAGCAGAAGCAGCGGAATCAGGACAGGCAGCCGACCAGGTTGCCTTCTGCCTCGCCCATGGCGTCCAGGGCGCCTGGCCAGAAATCATCTACGGACGTGCCCCTGATGGCCCAGCCCATCATAGAATCGCCACTTCGTGTCAAGGTCGCCTTTCGGCAGCCGAACACGGCCTTTGTGGCTGACCCAGATGCGGGCACAGCTCTGTTCTCTCTGACCATCAAGCCCCTGTCGCCCGACGTGCTCGTCGCTGTCGATCCGGCTCGCGCGCGGTCCGAGAACCTCTTCTGGCTCAAGGTCGACTTGTTCCGGGCTCGCGAGGTCTCTTTTAATGTCGGCTCACCGATTGTATTCTTTGCCTTTCCACAAGGCGACGGCCTAGGTGCCTTGATGGGCGTGCAGTTCAATACTGTTGAAGAGGTGCGGCGGTTGTCTGCGTGGATCACAAATTCGTCTTTGTCACAGAGTATCAAACTGGACCAGACGGCATCGCAGGAACAGCTGAAACGCAAATTCGAAAAGTGCCTAGCCGAGGTGCTGGGACACAAAGAAGCGAAAGAACAAAAAGAGTCGACGCCGGCCAAGGTCACGGCCCCGACTCGGTCTTCGCCAGTTGTGGGCAACACCAACAGCAACGGTAGCGGTAGCACCGAATACATGACTTTGCGTCGGACCCGAAGCAGCCGCAACCTCCAGGAGGCCACGGAGATGATCGATCTCGACAATGCAAACAACAAACGGGCAGGTCTCCTTGGCAGCTCACCAGCATCATCCGACGTGGCCAGCGACCGGCTGGCACGGCTGCGGAACCGAAGCGCGCGACTGCCGCCCTCTCGGCCCCTCCTGCAGGATGTGGAGGCTGAGCGGTGGACATTAAAGAACCCCGACTGGGCCCGTGATTGGCGCATCCCACTGACCTATTCGCGCACCACGGTCGACAAGGACGACGTAGCTCGCCTTGATGAGGGCGAGTTTCTCAACGACAACATTATCAACTTTTACATGCAGTTCCTGCAGGACACCCTCAAAAAGAGCGAGTCGACCATTGCAACGCGTGTCTACTTCCACAACACTTTCTTCTACGAAAAGCTGCGTCCCAGCAGGGGCCGCGAGATTGCCTTTGATGGCGTCAAACGCTGGACCGCAAAAGCGGACCTCTTTTCCTACGACTACATTGTCGTCCCTGTCAACGAGCACGCCCACTGGTGGCTCGCTATCATCTGCAACGTGCCCAAGATTCTCGAAGCAGCCCTGCCCAAGACAGATGATTCGGAGGTTGTGAAGGCGCCGGGGGTGACAGAAAATGCAGAAGAGCCCACGGCAGCGCCTGTGTACATGGATGTTTCTGTGGACGTGGACGTGGGTGCGGGTGCGGGTGCGGATGCGGATGCGGATGCGGATGCGGATGCGGACGCGGATGCGGATGCGGACGCGGACGCGGACGCAGACGATGTCAAGGAAACCGGCGAGCTCCGATTTGTGCCAATCGACGTGGACAAGCCCAAACCACAACCTCGGAGTATAGTGATCAACGACGAAGCTAGCGCTACCAACCTGCCCTCCGCATCGCCATCACGCCTCGACGGGCTAAGAAAAGACACCCCCATCAATTTGGACGGCACAGACATCAAGCCAGACGAATCGCGCAGCGAGCCTATTGTGCTCGAGTCGGTAGAAAACGACGATGACGAAGCAGTAGTTCAGGCATCAGCCAACAGCAGTCCCAGGGCCGCCAGCAAAGTTCACGAAATCAAAGACGACGAACCCAATGAAAGACAAACCCACGTTGCGGATTCTGCCGACGACGACGAGGTCGAGGAGATCAAGAGCGACCTTGTCCAGCCGACCACGCCGCAGCCAGCATCTGCCAAAAAGCCATTCCGAGGCGGCGGTGCCTTGAACAGCAAAAAGATCTTTATTCCGCCCGGCAAAAAAAAGGACCCCAAAGACCCGCGCATCTTCACGCTCGACTCGCTGGGCAGCGTGCACTCGGCGTCGGTTGACCATCTGAAGCAGTGGATGATGGCCGAGATCGCTGAGCGCAAGGCCGTGAAGCCTGCAGATCCAGGCCGCCTCGGCATGACGGCCAAAGCCATCCCACAGCAGGAGAACTTTTGCGACTGTGGCGTCTACCTGCTACTCTACCTCCAGGAATTCATCAAGGACCCCGACAGCTTTATCGAAGACATTGTCATGCGCCAAAACCGCACCTGGGACACGTCCGCGCCTGATATGCGCAAACAGCTGCGTGACCTGATCCTGCACATGCAGAAGGAGTACCAAGCGGCGGAGGAGGCCCACTGGAAGCCCAAGAGGAAGTTGGGAACGCCAGCTACGAAGCGGCCGGATCCTGCGAGTCCGCCAGTCGTTGTACCGGCAGCGACGGGCGCCAGCAAAACTTCTGACGCACAAACCACGCCTGTCCAAGTGCCGGGCTTGCCGTTGCTTCCGTTGTCATCTCCACCTGCTCCAGCTTCTGCCAGTCGTCCGACGCCCACGAGCGACGGCATTTCCAAGGACGGGGCGGACTTGCCCATCCCCAGCAGAGAGGTAGACCAGAATGGCGACCACAAGGAAAACGATAGCCAGGGCGATGACGAGGGCGACTCAGCCACCCCGTCCGCCGGTTCTGTTGAGGCCGGTTGCAGCTCTCCCTTCAAGCAAGGGTCCAAATCGCCCAACATGTTTGTGCAACACCCTTAGGTGGGGACGTTTGCAAAATCGGCGGCGACGACGATGCCGAGGGGGATGATGGAAACGAGGAAAACGACGCATTGCATCGCCTCACAAACCATGCCAACCGTACAGTACTCGGGACCGTCACCCGTGACGCCACCGCGGAGATCGGCGGCGCGCCCACGCACGCCCCATTTCCCTTCGTCAGGCTCGTTCGTAACGCCTGGACAGCGACGCCCTGTGTCCCCACCGTCTCCCTCTGAGCGCCTTCTGTTGCGCCGGCAAGCGAAGGAGTTGGCGGCAAGCCGACCGAGCCTTCAATCACTCCCAGTCGTCCCATGTGAAGGTCGTGATGCTGATGGTGCGGTTGAGGGTTCTGAGGAAGAGAGCGACGGTTTTGAAATCATAGGCAGTAATCCTGTTCGTCGATCGCCTCCTCCACCGCTACCACCGCCGCCGAAACGGCTAGTAGATCGACTACCTCGGCCTCAGCCAACTCGTGTGCAGCGGCATTATCACCAGTTTCATCCCCCGCAGCCACCGCATCCAAGGCATCAGCCGAGTCCCCTGGAACCACCACCGCCCATGCAGATGCCGCGAGTCTATCCGACTGCTACCCAAGGCACCACTTATAAGAGAGACGCAGTCTGTGAATTCAATACCTTTGGCATGCGGCCGGGGCACATGCAAATGCTAGCCTACGGCGGCATGGGCAGCTTCGCAGAGTCGGCTCCGATCCTCCCCAGGCTGCCAACTGCGCGAAACCAAAGCCAGGAGCAACCGTCTTTTACCAGCCATTCTCAGGCTGAGGTGCAGCACATGCTCGGTCTTCCCCAGGAGACGTATATTCGTACGCAATTTTCAGCCACCTCTCGTTCGCGTCCACCTAGGAATAGGAATGATGTTGGGGATGGGTATGTATGAGGCATGTCGCCATTGGATTGCACGTTTCTCTTTTCCCCTACACAACACCATCGTCAACCACGTCGTTGTCCTTTCCTAGGGCATGTCACAATGTTTTCTTTTTTCGACTTATTTGCTTGTATTTTCAAAGCGTAGCTAGTAGAATCAAAGGGTCTACGGAACTGGACTCTCAATGTATCTTGCCTTCTCTGTCCTCGTTTTGCTTTTGTTTGCTTTGATTTCACCGCGGCCACGGACGGCAAAGCATAGCATGGATTGGAGTCGTTTATTTCTTCTTCTTTTTTTTTTTTCCTTCGGGGTTTAACGTGCTTTATCAATCCAATTACATGATACTGCTTTGTTTTTAGTGAAATATTTTGTAAAGTTGTTCAGTGTCAACATTGTATGTACAGCACGTAAAACTGTGTTAATATTGATTTTGTCCTTATTGTCAACTCATTTATATTCAGCACGAGAAATAAACTTACAAGTTCTCGTATGTCAAAATTTAAACTCAGAAAACGAAATTTAAAACGCCATTCCCTATGTAAAGTAACAAATAAACCCCCAAATATTCTCTCTGTAATGAAAATGAATAAGATGGCTATGCAATTCAAGTCATGCTGTTTTAAACAAATCGGCGGAGAAATATCCGATTCAATGCCCGTCCCAAATCGTCGTCCCCTTACTGTTCCTCCTCGTCATCGGATGCCCCATTGGCATGGCCGTTCACGCCATTCACGCCGTCGGCAGTGTACTTCTCGAGCCGGCCCACCTCGAACACCACCGCACCGTTCCGCGCACCCGCCTGTCGGCCCCAGCGGCCCAGACGGTGTTCCTGGCCGACGGCGACCACGATACTCAGGCCATCGCGTCCCCGCTCGCCACGCTCAAAAGCAGCAATATCGTTGACGACACCGGGAATCGAAAAGGTAGATTTGGAAGGTGAGGAGCTGGTGGAGGTGGACAAAGCATTCGACGAATCGTTGACACCAAGAACGCCAAGCGGCTCCAGCTTGCGCTTGTCCTTGCTGAGGCACCACACGCGCACACAGCCGTCCCAGCTGCCGCTAAAGACAATGTCGGAGTAGGGAATGGTACGCAGCGCTGTGATCCAGCGCGGCTGCGGCGGCGGTGGCGGGTTGGCGGCCTGGGCAGCAGGCGTCGCCATGACGGCGTCGTACTGGTCGCGGTGCGTCTGGACGGGCTCCAGACCGTGGGCGCGCGGCACCACGTGCAGCGGCTTCTTCTTCTGTGTGCTCCACAGCGCCAGCGCACCGTTGTCGCTGCCCGTCACAAACAGCTCGTCGTCCAGCATGGCCACGCGGTCCATGCTGCCCTCGTGGGCGAGCGAGTTGGGGTCGACGGCGGTCGAGCCGTCGCCGTTCTTCGAGCCCTTGCCGCCAGTTCCGCCGCCGCGGAACACAAGCTGTGTTTCCTCGACGACCTTCCACATACGTGCCGTGCGGTCGCGGGTGCCGACACTGACGCACTTCTCCTGGGCCAGCGCGTCGATGTCGGTGATTTCGTCCTGGTGGCCGAACAGCGTCTGCACGTAGGCCAGCTCGTCGAGACTCCAGATCTTGATGGTGCGGTCCTTGGAGCATGAGTACAGCTGGTTGGTGCCGCGGCGGAACGCCAGGCCCGTGACGGCGTCGCGGTGGTGCGTGAACACGCGCAGCGGCTTGAGTGAGTGGGCATCCCACACGACCATGCGCCGGTCGGCACCGCCCGTCACGACGAACCGGCCGTCCTGCGACGCCGCCACGCACAGAATTGCGCCGACATGGCCACGGTAGTCCTTGTCCTTGCGGCGCGCTGGATTGCCCCGGCGGAACAGCACCCGCTGCGGCTGCTTGCGGGCAGGCACCTCGGCAGCCTCGTCGGGTTCGGTGTTTTTCTTCTCCTGTTTCTTCTTGTTGCTCCGCTTCCGGTTCTTGTTCTTGTTCCTCTCCTCCTCCCACTTCCGCCGCGACTCTTCGCGTTGCCGCCGCTGCTCGTCGGGGCGGTCCTGGACGCGCCACTTGATCAGGTAGACGTCGCTAGACACGGTGTAAGCATACGGTGCGCAGACAGCCACGGCATTGACGTTCTTGGCGTTCCACCGCAGCAGACAGTGGCCGGCAAGTGCAAAGCCCAATTTGCCGGCTAGTTGCCGGTATACGCGGCCCTTGGCTTCGGCCACATCCTCCTGCAGCCGCTCAGCAATCAGGTCACGGTCGACGTCCTCGGCGTCAAAGGCGTAGATGTCGCCATCCGCACCGGCCGCCCCCTTGACTTCCGTTTTGACATTCTCCAGGTAGCGCTCGGCCAGCCGTAGTCGCCGCTCGGCAGCGGTCTCGCCCTCGTCGCCGTCCGAGTCGTCGTCGTCGTCACCCGCGTCGTCCGAGTCGCGTCCTCCGCGTGGCCGGCCATTGTATTCGTCGTCGTCCGAGTCGCTACCCGACACCGACTCGTCCTCCTCTTCAGCCTCTTTCCTGCTGCGTGCCGTGGGCTTCTTGCCAGACTTTGTGGAGGCGGAGGCCGAGTCGGCGGCGTCTCGTGACCTGGCCGTCTTCTGCTTGCCAGAAGCACCGTGTGCTGTTCTCGACGCGCCCGAGGCTTTGGAGGAGGAGGTAGTCGTAGCAGCTCGCTTCTTGGGAGCTTCGGGTGCAGTCGCCCGTTTCCGTTTCTTTTGCGATCCGGGGACCGTGAAAAAAGACGACATGGTGCTTGTGCTTGCGCAAAGCAACCACGTTTGCTGAAGAGAGAGCTTTTTTTCTTCTTGTTCTTTTTCGTTTCCTATTCGACCAGATGCAGGAGTGTCATGGGTGGCCTCTCTCTGAGACGAAAGAAAGGAGCGTGGTTGGCCGTCAGTGAGGCTTTGCAAGGGGAAAGGGAAAATTTGGCTGGCAATTGCTTCAACAAACTTTCTTCGCGGTCAGTCGGTCGCTACTGCCGGTTCGAAACTTTTTTTCAAAAGTCCCCACTTTACTGAGAAGCGCCGGACTTATCGTACACCGATAAGAAAAGGAAAGTGGAGACCGAGCGATCCACTAGACCGCCTGTGGTCATTGGCTGGCCGCGTTGATGGCAGGAAAGCGAGGAAAGTTAGGCTCGGCAGGTAATACTATTGTCCGTACAAGCTCGGACCCACTTAATTTGGGACAGGCAGGCGACCGCTCTGGTAGGGAAGCGGCAGCAACTTGGAGCAAGTGCAAGCCAGGCTGTAGCTGCATGGCGCGTTCTCGCAACTGGTGCCAGTTCCCCCAGCAAGACAGCCAACGCCGCCAAATCGACACAATTCATATCGACAACAAGGCCACAAACGACGCAACGACGCAACGACGACGCGCTCCATTGCACTTCAGACACATCACCGACGACTAGTTTTTCCCCTTGCGAACCATTTGCCCAGTGCACAGTGGGCGCGAGATCTGATCCTCTCGGTTCTTTTTCCCCAACGCAAACCTCCAGGACAGCTTCCTTGGACAGCTTCTGAATAGCCACAATGTGCGTTTCGTTCGTTTCCTTCCTGGGGGTGCATCTCGGAACACTGCTAACAGCGTCAGGGATGTCCTGCTGGGCATCGCGGGCAAGGACTTTGTCCTGATTGCCGCGTCCAAGGCATCGACGCGCGGCCCCACCGTGCTCAAGGCCACCGACGACAAGACACGGCAGCTCAACAAGCACACGCTCATGGCCTTTTCTGGCGAGGCGGGCGACACGGTCAACTTCGCCGAGTATGTCCAGGCCAACGTGCAGCTCTACACAATGCGCAACGAGGCCGACCTCGCCCCCACCGCCATTGCCCACTTTGTCCGCGGCGAGCTGGCCTCCAGCCTGCGGTCACGGAAACCTTACACCGTCAACCTGCTGTTGGGCGGCGTCGATCCCATCACACACAAGCCCAGCCTCTACTGGCTCGACTACCTCGCAGCCCTGGCCCCTGTGCCCTACGCCGCCCACGGCTACGCCCAGTACTACTGCCTCTCCATCCTCGACAAGCACCACCACCCCGACATCACTCTGGGCCAGGGCATCAAGCTCATGACCTTGTGCACCGATGAGCTCAAGCGGCGGTTACCCATCGACTTCAAGGGGATGATTGTCAAGGCCGTGACCAAGGACGGCATTGTCGACGTTGAGTTTGACGACGACAAGGTTGTCAAGTGCCCGTGAGGAGCTCCGGATGATGCGCCAGCTGGAGCGGCAGCGCCCTCGCAGGCAGGGGAGAACGGACAACGATGGTGAGACCAGGGCAGGAAGCGACGCTTTGTACAATATCCCATTCTTTGGCACACCTTGACAGAACCAGAACCAAAACCAACATACATTTGCGCTACTGAGCTAAACTGCACGGCGGTGACGACGGGAGCAGTCTCTTGTCGTGAAGCCTCTGCTTCATCGTGTCCTTGATTGGTCTCTTCCTCTTTGCTGTCCCAACCTCGACCATTTTCATCCTAGATACGGAGTGAGATATCGAGTCGTGATCACGTGACTTAATTGCATGCTGGATATTGGGCATCCTTTTGGCTAGTGGACAGTGCCCTGCCTGACGTCAGTCTCGATTGAGCTTGTACGTAAAATCTGATGAAGGCGTCTCTTTTTGTGACAGGATCCTCGAGTTCCTCATTTTTGACGGTTGTCGGTCGCAATCTCTGAGGCTCACCATTCACTATGGAAATGTATGTGTGTTGCAGTGATATGCTGGAATCGTTGTGAGATCCCAAGAGCAAGTGAAGCGAACGTAATACATACTGCAGACGGAACTTCACATGATCTACGGCTCCTCAACTGCAGCCCTGCTTAGCATTGTCTGCACAGAGTCAGCGAGTCTAAGAGACGCCATACGAAGTAATTACTGCGTGGGACTTGACAAAACGAACACATGCAAATCGTCATAGTGACTAATACAGGGGTTTGTTAAGCCTAGTCAGCAACCGTGAACGCCTAATGGGCGGCAATCCACAGCCTAACCGCCCCGGAGTTGCCTACACCTCTTTTGCCACCAGAGGCAAACAGTGCGACGGCGACTGTGCGCCGCCTCCTGGGATGCTGCTGCCCCAATGCAGCTGGTAATGGCAGCCGAATTCAGGGGCACATCTGCCAGGGAATAGGGGCTGACAGCCTGGGCGGCAGGTTGGGGTGCGCTGGAGGGAGATCTTATTTCTCGCGTCTCTGTCTCAAGCCTTCTAAAAACGTTTGGTTCTTTCCTTGGCGACAGGGTCCTTCCTGCCGCGCTGCCTTGCTTTTGTCTCGCACAATGGCTTGATGGCACTTTCCCAGTCCAAGACAACAAGCAGAGTACGGCCGTTCGCCAGACTTCTTCCGCGTCGACTCATTGATCGCCCGCTTTTGCACACTTGGAGGCTGCTGCCTCGAGGCATACGTATCGCTCGCTCTTGCTTCACGGGTGGCTTTCTGTAACTTACGTTGGAACGATTAGCTGCGCCTGCCGTGTGCAGTCCGTAGAGCTGACCGCCTAACTCGTCACCGCTACGGTGCCTTCTACAAACGCAAACTCGGGCCACCGTGCGGAAGGCACGCTCCTGTCGCTAAAAATTCGAAATTTCCGGGCTAACCACTTTAAGCGCACCCTATTTTCTTTCCCTGCGGCTGCTTCGCCTGCCTTCTACGAGCGTAGCCAGCCCGACACAGGCCAAACCTAATATTTTTTTCTTCAAAACAACGCCCACTCGTTTTCTTCCTCCTTTCTCCCAAACTTTCCCCTTCTCCTTTTCCACCCTCAACAACCCCATCTATCCCACGAGGATCGAAGCAACTACTCTCCAAAAGTTATATTTCGTCTGTCCTTTCTTTTTCATTTTCCTTTAGAAGACCTTGTTTTTGTTTCTTGAGGTTCGAAAAATTTGTTTGTTTCTCGTCTCTTTTTTCTTCTTTCTCTGTCAACGAAGGGAGAAATTATCCACGGAACACCTGCGAATACACCTGAGAACAGTTTGAAGCCCGTCTTTCATTTTCTGTTCTCTCTCTGCTTTTCACATCTACTTATTTCGTCGTCCACTCTCTGACGCGCCTAATTTCCATCACTTTTCGCTTTGTTTCCAGTCTCTCTTTTGAACACCAGCGTTCATTTCGAGAGCCTTTCGAAATACTAAAGCCTCATCCGTTCTTTGTTCGACATCGATTCTTGCCGATCCCATCTCATCCGCACTTGCAATCTCGAGAAGACACGCCGTTAAAAACGACCTTTCCGAAAATCGCAATCATGGCTGACCAACTTAACATGAACGGCCTCAACCTCAATGGCGATGGCCCCCGATCCTACATTCCTCCCCATATGAGGGGGAAGGTTGCAGCGAATGGTGTCCCCCGTGGCCCTGATGCTGCCGGCCCCTTCCCCGGTCCCACCCCTGCCGGTGCGGCTGCTGGCCCCACCCCTGCCGATGCCGCCAACGGCGGCCTCAACGGCAGCGCATGGGCTGCAAAGTAAGCTTCCACCTCCACCACCGTATTCGTGTCTCGCCGACTCTTTTATGTTTCGTATCCATTCTCAGCTGCTAACATTCGCCTTCTTCAATTCAGCAACGCCCAGAACTTCAACGGCCGTGCTACCGGCGGCAACAACTGGAACAACGGTCCTCGCCAGAACTGGGATCGTCCTCAGAGCTTCAACCCCAACGCATATGGACATGGTGGCCATGGTGGTGGTCATGGCCACGGTGCCCAAGGCGGCCATGGTGGTGCTGGTGGCGGCGGCGGCTATGCTCGCGGCTCAGGCGACGGCCAGTGGCGCGACGGCAAGCACATTGCTGGCCCTGCGAACCCCCGTGTCGAGCGCGAGCTGTTCGGTACTGCCGACGACCCGTCGAAGCAGCACACGGGCATCAACTTTGAGAAGTATGACGACATCCCCGTAGAGGCTTCCGGTCACGATGTCCCTGAGCCTGTTCTTACCTTCACCAACCCTCCTCTGGACGACCACCTGATCCGCAACATCGAGCTGGCCCACTACAAGGTGCCCACCCCCGTCCAGAAGTACTCCATCCCCATTGTCATGGGTGGCCGTGACTTGATGGCTTGTGCCCAGACTGGTTCGGGCAAGACGGGTGGCTTCCTGTTCCCCATTCTGTCTCAGGCGTTCCAGACCGGCCCCTCGCCCATCCCTACCACCCAGGGCGGCGGCGGCTTTGGCCGTCAGCGCAAGGCGTACCCCACGTCGCTGATCTTGGCTCCCACTCGTGAGCTGGTGTCTCAGATCTACGACGAGGCTCGCAAGTTTGCCTACCGCTCGTGGGTCCGCCCCTGCGTCGTCTACGGCGGTGCCGACATCGGCTCCCAGCTCCGTCAGATTGAGCGCGGCTGCGATCTGCTTGTTGCCACTCCCGGACGTCTGGTCGACCTTATCGAGCGTGGCCGGATTTCGCTTTGTAACATCAAGTACCTGGTTCTCGACGAGGCCGATCGTATGCTGGACATGGGTTTCGAGCCCCAGATCCGCCGCATCGTCGAGGGAGAGGACATGCCCTCCGTCGCCAACCGCCAGACGCTGATGTTCTCGGCCACATTCCCCCGCGACATCCAGATGCTGGCCCGCGATTTCCTCAAGGACTACGTCTTCCTGTCTGTCGGCCGTGTCGGTTCGACTTCGGAGAACATCACGCAGAAGGTTGAGTACGTCGAGGACAACGACAAGCGCTCTGTGCTTCTGGACATCCTCCACACACACGGCGGTGGTCTGACGCTGATCTTCGTCGAGACCAAGCGCATGGCCGACTCGCTGTCAGACTTCCTGATCAACCAGCAGTTCCCAGCCACCTCCATTCACGGTGACCGCACCCAGCGCGAGCGTGAGCGGGCTCTGGAGATGTTCCGCAACGGCCGCTGCCCCATCCTGGTCGCTACCGCTGTTGCGGCCCGTGGTCTCGACATTCCCAACGTCACCCACGTCGTCAACTACGATCTGCCCACCGACATTGACGACTACGTTCACCGTATTGGTCGTACCGGTCGTGCCGGCAACACTGGTATTTCCACTGCCTTCTTCAACCGCGGCAACCGCGGTGTCGTCCGTGAGCTCATTGACCTGCTCAAGGAGGCCAACCAGGAGGTACCCTCGTTCCTGGAGACCATTGCTCGCGAAGGCTCTTACGGCGGCCGTGGCGGCCGTGGCGGCGGCCGCGGCGGCGGTCGTAACCAGGGTGCTAACCGTGATTTCCGCAAGTTTGGCGGTGGCGGTGGCGGTGGCGGTTTCGGTAACTCTAACGGCGGTGGCGGCGGCAGCTACGGCGGCGGTGGTTACGGCGGCGGCTACGGCGGCGCTCCCCCCAACCCCGGCTACGGCGGTGGTTACGGCGGCGGTGGCGGCGGCTACGGTGGCGGCGGCGGCTCGTACGGCAACCCTGGCGGCCCCGGCCAGTCTTGGTGGTAGACTTTTCCTCCATCCAAGACTGGGTCATAGTGCTGCTTTTCTGACGTAGGAGCGAAAGGGGCAAGTACTGATCGCTTTCACTTGCCTTTCTCCTGTTTGTTCTTCATCTGTTTCGTCTTTATTGTCCTTACTGCCGACACAGCAGCACTATTAGCATCTGAAATCTGCCCACTGCGGCAGCTTTTCATTCATGCTCCGGCCTCGCCTACCACTGTCCTGATTTATTTTTCGACGTCTATTTTGCGAACTGTATCTTTCTTCCGCCTTTACTGTTTTTTCTCATTTCAAGTTCCTTATCTCGCTTTACGCGTCGCGACATTCGCACCGATTTGCTTTTATTTTCGGAAACATGCTTCGGCGGCGAGCATGACCCCCGCAACGGATTTACGCCCACCTTTACAAACGGAGAAGGACGGGCATCGGATTCAGGGCATACTCTGGTGAAAGAAAAACGATGGACCGCATTCTGCCTTGTTTTTTTTTGTTTCTGCTTTTCGTCCCCTGGTTTTTTTATGATACCCAATAGAATCTGAAAGACGAGGGGGGCATATCTGTCTGTCCGTTATCTACAGGACATGGGACAGAAAGAAGAAAAGAAGAAACGAAAGGTGTTTACAGGGACGCCCACAGCACATGATGCACAGCATGCATCGACGGTTTTATAGGTCTGAGAGAGGGCACCTCCCTTGACCTGGTTTTACGCTTTTACGACTGTCATGAATGTGCTTAATGTCCGCGTTCCGACGGAAAAAAAGGGGCATTATTTGTTCGTTTTTTATCCACCTCGCTTATAGAAATTCATATGGAGGAAAATGGGTTCATAGCATCGCCGCAACGCGTGTTTTCGATGCCATCAAATAGACTAAAATAAATGGTTTCTCGGATTTCTCTCTTGTTCATCTGTGCTTGTCCCTTCAAGGAGTGCAACAAGTAATGGACTGCACAATGACCTCGACATCCCTACGATTCTTCGTTGATTATGTGCCTTAATTTTTACAACAAGCCCCAGGTGTGAAAAGGAAAAGCTCAACTGAACGTCTTGCTGATGTGAGCTTGTGTCTGTATGCGTTTCAGTGTGGAATTTCCTGTATTACGAGCAAGCCTTATTTACATCAAACTCGTTATGCGGTCACGAGCACCTTTTATTTTCCGTGTCACGGCCATAAAACGTAGCTGCAGATAATGTCACCCCATTGTGCGACACAAAATCCGTGAATTGTAGTATGTGAGCAGAGGCTCGACAATAACTGCCGATTACTTTTACACGATATATTTACGACGATGCCGCCAAGTGCTGCAATATTCATAACAGTAGCGTTAGCATCGATTTATATGTAGAAGGAACGATGTCGTCAAAAAGAACTCTGGACTTGTCGAGCAGGTGCCAAACAAAATGTTGGTTTTGTTATGAGGAAGGTGCAGCTCACACAATGAAGTCTCACAGAATTTTGTGTACGGGGGGACAGAGTGAGGAAGGTGCAACCAGTGCGAGTGGGGCACTGATTCCCCTCTACTGGTTCTGTGTTCCCCTCGTACCAAATGCAGGTGCGACCGCCTTGGGCCCATAAAATTTTCCCGTCGTTCCTGCCGTCTAGTGCTATTGTTGGACCCCAAGCTTTGTTTCTTACCTGCGTCCAGCATCGCCGCCTTTGAGGCTCTCAACATCCTCTGCCCTCCGTCTTCCGTCTTCTCCCCTCCGCCCTCCATTCAACTCAATTCCTCCAACAACACCACGGACCAAACGGAGACACGGGCTCTTCCAGCCGTGCGTGCTCTGTGTTGCTGTCGTCCACTCCGCATACCTGCGACTGGGCCAGCTGCTCACAAAGGTCCTCCTGACGACGACGACTTCCTCTCATCCTACGTGCCTCTTCACAGCTCGCAGGCTCTTCAATCCGGACTTGCGACTTTGACACAATCGACTATAAGCTTCTGACGCGTTCTCGCCAAGTCACCATACAAGAAACTGGAACAGGCCGCCGTCACCGACCGTAAAGGCGCAACCAACTCTTGTCGCATGTGCTGCCTCGAGAATTTGCCTGCCCCTACCTTTTTCGACCTCATCCTGAACCAAGGCGCCTCCTATTTTGTCCCAAAGTTAACCTTTCCAAGGACGCCAAGATGCCGAGTATGTTATTTAACGAGAGGAGCGGGTTGTGCTGTCTTGCATCGTGCAGCAATATACGTCTGTTGTCATTTGTCCCTCTTGCTAACCGGTCGCCTTCTTTCTCTCCAAATAGGCAGCAATTTGACCGACGACCCCTTTGTGGCCCAGCAGATGATGTGCGTGCGACACAATTCCTGGCCAGAGACCTACGGCCTTCCTTGTGCACTCTCTTCGCCACACGCTGACCGTGACTCCGTTTCTCGCAGGACCCATGATGTCTCCGTCCTCGAAGGCTCGGCCATTGCTGTTGATGCGACGTATTTTATCCAGCAGATGCTGGACCACACGCCCTCTCATGAGCCGCTCATGTGCGCCCTGGCCGGTCTTACGGGCATCCATATGCACCTGGAGAACGAATTGAACCAATGGAAGGCCCACAAGGTCACGCCTCTCTTCATCTTCGAGGGCTTGCCCGTCGCGGGCCAGGACGACGTCACCATTCAGAATGGCCTCCGCGACATCCAACGGACCAACGCCGCCTGGGATTTGTACTTTGCCGGAAGTGCTAGCGAGGCGGTCGCTGCTTTTGGTGCAACGGGCTGTACGTTCCCTGACTTTCCTTCATACCACAGCCCCGTAGGCCCTACGAGAGAGAGCTTGTGCTAACACGTCTTGCAACGACGCAGCCACCTTCCGCGCACAGTCACTCTATCCTCTGCTGCAGCGCCTTCTCAGAAAGCGCAAGCTGCATTTCCTCATCGTGCCCTACAATGCTTCTGCACAGGTTCGTCCTAAATCTTCAGATCTGCGGCAAATACGGTGCTTCTGACTTGACTGTCGACGCTGATACGCTGACACGCCTCCTCCTAGATCGCGTATTTCGACATGATCAACTCTGACCAGTGCGGTGGCATCATGGGCTCACCAGAGCTGCTGCTCTACCCCATCCACGACGGCATCATCAATGCGATAGACTGGAACCAGAAGCGCGTCCATGCGCTGTCGAAGAAACAGCTGGTCCGAAGCCTCGGCGTGAGCGAGTCCCTGTTTACTGACGCCCTCCTACTGACTGGCACATCGTCCTTGCCGACTTTCCCGCCGCTCCGCGACGTGAACATCACGCCGCGCCCACTCAGCGTGGCGGATGCCACCAACATGCTGCGCACCGCCGAAAAGAACGTGGCATCTCTCTGCGCATCGTTCAACGACCTGCTGCAAGCCCAGGACCCCCAGTGGCTCGACAAGTACCGCAAAGCACGCATGGCCGTGAGCCATTTCATCTACATTGCGGAGTCTGGCGAGATCTGCGTGAACGACTTTGACCGGTTGACTAGTGACAACCACGAGTACTTGGGCTTCCAGCTGCCTGCCGAGCTTTTCCATTACCTGAACAAGGGCTTGATCAGCCCGCGTGTGCCAAGCTGGATTGCATACTGCCGCGTCACCATCCTTCCCACCCTCGACGGCTACGTTGCCGACGAGTACAAGACCCTTGTCACCCAGCAGCTCGTGCCCTACTACGAGACCGCCCTGGCGCTCATCCTGAACCGCATCAACCGGGGTTTCAACTTCCAGGAAATGCACCTCAAGGTCTGGTACGACGCCAAGTTCTCCCTCAAGCTCAAGCACCGCGGCGAGGACAACAACGCCGTCACCCGTATTGCCGCATGGAACGCGACAGACGCGTCGCTCAACCATTTCCCCCGGAACGACAACACCCCGGCGGCTGCATCCCCGGGGAGCATCGCCTTTGAGCTGTCCGCCTTGAACAACAAGGACTTTGTGGCCGAGACTCTCAAGGCGCCCAAGACCCATGGCGTCGAGAATGCCGATACGATTGTGTCTCTTACCCTCTGGAGGCTGCTCACGCTACGTGGCTACATTGAGCCCAAGACGCTCGAGCCCACCAAGGTGGGTGTTGCCCTCGGCAAAGCGTTTGCTGCGCTGGAGCCCGTTGTCAAGAAGCACCCCGAGCTCACAGCGTCGCTGCACGCGGCAGCCCTGCTGGCCTTTGACCTGATTCGTCTGGATCTCCTCAATGCCAAGAACCAGCATGCCGAGCTTCAAGGCTATCCGGCCAACGGCCCTGTCGAGGACCGCGATGCGGCCGTCCTGATCAGCCGCGTGGCCACTCTGCTGCCGCTGCGGCAGGACACCTCAGGCTACACGGGACCCCTCAGCAAGAGTCTGCTGGCGTTTCACACGCTGACCACGACGGTGGGCGAGGCCAACCGCGCCATTATCGAGTCCCTGCTGGCTTTGACCTTTATGAGTAACCAGGCCAACCGGGACCGCGTGGACTTCTGGGACATTGGCCACCGCCTGCCGTTCATTGAGTTCCCGGACGCCGCGCTCGGCATTGCCGTCAAGACGTTCTTGGACGAGAGTTTTGAGGACAACACGCCCGAAGAGAAGGAGGCACGCAAGCAAGCCTTCCCGGCTAAGTTTGTACCGCACGCCACGCATCCTTTTGAGGACATTGAGATTGCGTTTGGTCTGGTCGAGGCCTTGCACGCTGGTGTGCAGACGCTCGGCGAGGACGAGATTAAGGGCGATGTGAAGGCCGAGTGGGAGCGGGCCAAGAAGTACCTTGACCGGAGAAAGTAGGTAGAGCGTGGGGATAAACGTTTCCAACGGGCGGCAGGCTGGAGTGAATGGGACAGGCAAAGGGAAAAAGTGAACATCGCCGACCGTTGGTTGTTTTAAGGAACCAACATCATGGATATTCTGACTTGCATGAAAACTTGTCGAAAATGACGCGCCAAAAACCAAAAAAAAAAAGAGAACTCCAATATATTAACGCCACGAGTCCTTACGGCAACCACAAAATGAGGAATACAAATGAATCGTAAGGGAGTGAAGCAAAATGGGTGCATAACACTGATATCCCTACAAGACCAAGGCATGAGAATGCGAAGCAGGCATTTGCGTCCAATGCAGTGTCTATTAGAACCTCGAGAAACGCCAAAGACTCAGAATCATCCAGACTAAACAGTTCCCTGCATCATTTCATAGTGGGATTGTGGCCGCCATCATCATTCGTTGTATGTCGGCTTATATTGTAATACGACTCAAAGCAGCGTGACTCGAGGCAGGTTAGTAGAAGAACCGCGACCGCCAACTCGTGCCCGATGTGACAGCTGTCGGCGTTACAGCTGTACTAGATGCAGTGGAGGCCGCTGCTGTCCGCTGGTTGTTCTTATCTGCCAGCGTGCGAATCTTCTCGAGTAGGTGGTCAACCGATACGTGCCCACGCGTGCCTTCCGTGATCGCCAGGTCGACGCGGCTCAGCATCTCCTTCTCGTGACTGCGCAGGTGCTCTTTGATGCGGTTGCGAGCGGCCTTTGCATTGTCGTCGTCGCCGTCGTCGTTGTCGTCTTCGTCACTGTTGTCGGACAGGTCTGGCGTGCCGGCGTCGCGGACAAAATAGATGCAGCCCGGCTGCGGGCAGGTCCACGTCCGGTTGGGCCCAGTCGGTCTGGTCGAGATCAGCAGAGGCTCGGCGCGTACGGCCAGTATGGTTTCTTTCTTCCGGCGTTCACTGTCGGAGTCTCCGGCGCTGTTGTCGTCGCTGCTACTGCTGTCGTCGTCGCTGCTGATATCAACTTGCATGGCTTGGGACGACGGATGCCGTGCAGCCCTGTCGCCGTCATGGTTGTTTTTGGCTGTCTTGCGCGGCCGTCCGACCGGCCGCGGCGTGCCGCCACGCGAGGCTGCCGATGCCGCGTCGGCACTATCACCGTTATCGGCACTGGATGGACGGCCCTCGCCAAAAGCACCTTCAAAGCGACGCTTCTTGGAGACGGTTGGCAGCCGCAACACGGCGCGCTTGCCCGAAATGCGCGGCGAGGGCAGCACCGGCGAATTTGTCTGCGGTGTTGAAGGGCCCTTTGCAGAGGAAGGGGCTGTGGACGCCGAGCTCGTCGCACTAGGGGCTTGGTGGGCACGCCGGACAAGCTGGTTGGGCACGTCGGCCAGGAACGTGGCTGACGTCGGCGTAAACTCGAGGGCCTCTTTGGACGTCAACCACGCCTCGTAGGGGCTGCCATGCCAGCTGTCGCTTAGTGACGCAAGCAGCTCACTGCTGAAGAGCGCGGAGAGATGTTTGCCCAGGTTGTAGTTACGGACCTTGAATTTGGTAAACACCCCGTAGTGCACCTTTCCGACAGAGATTTTCCTTGGATCGCCGTGCGCTGCGCCAATCGCTTCGATAATCTCGAGATACACCTTGAACACACTGTCCCGCAGCTCGCTGGGCACGGCTGACTGTACAGCGCTGGCCGGCGACCCCGACCCCGACTGTTCGCGACTCGCATACGTTGGTAACGGCACGGGTGATGCCTGGGACGATCCTCCATTTCCGTTTGCCGCCACGCCGGGCGGAGCACGGAACGGCAGTTGCTGAGACAAGCCTGGAGTGGCGGCTTGTGCTGATGGTGCAGACGGTAACTGCGGCGGCGGCACGGGGGTGGTGCCAGGTCGAAGCGCTTGCGTCTCGGCCTGAGAATGCGATGGCACCGGAGCCGCAGACTCGCTACGGCTTGAGCTCCTCGCTGACCGCTCCCTGTCCTTGAGCTCCTTGACCAGCCACTTGGCGAAGCTGGACTTGACCCAGTCCAGGTCCTTGGATCTAGCAAAGTGCGCTAGCAGCATTGGGCCCAGCTGCACGCACATATCGACGGCCTCCTCGTATGTAGTGCCGTTGCCGAGGGCCACGGCGTACTCGAACAGAATTTCCTTGATGTCGAGAGTGGCAAGTATTCTATGCTTGCTCTTCGAGTCGGCGCCCTCGCACGCCTTGATATAGACCCCGAGCAGAATGTAGTAGAGCACGGTCATGTCGCACATTGATCGGTAGATGCGCTCGTACGAAGGATGTGGGTTGATTTCGAACCAGCCGGCCGACGATGCCAGCCAGACGACACCCTGCGGGTCGTCTCCGATGGAGTAGTTCTCGATGCCTCTGGCCTCGATGTTGGCCGTCCGTACAGTCGGCTTGACGACTGTTGAGAAAAACGAGAACGGCAGTTAGACACGGACAAATGCGCACTATACAAAGGAAACGAGCATCTTTGGAGCCTCACGATATTGGATGTCCTCCTTGTCGTCGACCTCGAGTCGTCCCCGCACAATGCAAGGTCCCTCCTGCGCGACCAGGACGGCGTTGGCCAAGGTCACGCCATCCGGTCGGTATACAATGGCGTCCGAAAGCACAAAAATAGGCCAGTCGTCCTCGACTAACGTCGGGTCTTTCGGCTTGAGGATGCTCGACTCGGGTAGGTAGCGCGTCATCACGGCTGTGTGCAACGCACGCGCGTCAAGTGTTGGATGGCAAAACAGCCGGCAGAAACGCGTCCGGTCCGAGAAGGCACGAAAGACCGTTCAAAGACGCGCAAAGTGAATGAGAAAGCTGAGCAGATCCGAGAGTTCGACCAAAATAAGCAGATGCTGAATAGATGCTAAACGCGGGGAACGTATAGCAGGGACCAAAGATGGGACTAAGAATGAATGAGAAAAGGAAAAAAAGGAATGAACTGATCCCACCTCAGCTATTGTTTTCACGAGCGTAAGAGCATGGCGGTACGTGGGAAAAGTAGTTGAGTAAATGTCGTTGGTTGGCAATGCGAATAGCTTCACTATATTATTAGGCAATGCGAAGAGCAGCGGCGCGTGCGCGGAAAGTACGACACCAGCAGAGTGCAGCCCCGCGTTAAGTGAAGTGCATTGCACTTGCCGTGCTGTGGGGGGACCGGACACTCCGCCTGACCGCTTTTGGTCTCGTCCGTCGTGCTTTCCTCAGATAGTCCTCAAACTTCTGTTATCGGCAACCGCGCTAGCGATCTACGTGGTAATCTGGCAGGGACAAAGGGGCAGAAAAAAAAAGATTTCGAGGCCAGCGCCTGCCGATAAATTTCTGCCACCACGCCGTGTAGACGGAAGCGACGACTCAGCAAAGCGCTTTGCCCTGTCTCCTTTTTGAGGACTTTGCCCGTTCGTGCCTTCCTCGTATCTTGACTTGTCCCTACGTCCAACGGCCTCCTGTTTTTCTTGTGTTCATTATCGTATTCGTGTCGTCGCATCGCATCGCGGCGCTGCCTCTTCTAGCTTTGATTGCTGTCTGCGGATGCGCCTCGACAGACTCGTCAAGATGGCGCGGCAGAACGTCCTCGAAGGCGTCTTTGGTATGTATGGGACGAAATGACGAATTGCCACCGTATTGGCCCACACGTTTGCATCCAAGAGGCTCGAGGCGTTTGGTTTAATTTCTCCTCTTCTTTTACGTCGTGTTTGGTCGACTTTTATGTACTGACCACCGCCATGGCTACAGCGATCAACAAGCCCATGGGCATGAGCTCGGCCCAGGTTATTCGCGACTGCCAGACATACTTCAACCCCTCCAATTTCTTCCGCCCCCTGATCCAGCATGAGGCCGACATCCGCGCCCGCGAGTCCAATGCCGCCCACCGCCGGCGCAGCAAGGCCAAGCGTGACTCTCGCGTCAAGATGGGCCACGGCGGAACGCTCGATCCCCTGGCCACCGGTGTGCTCATCCTCGGCGTCGGCCACGGCACCAAGGAACTCAACAAGTTCCTCACATGCACAAAGACGTACGAAACTGTCGTGCTGTTCGGTGCCAGCACAGACACGTACGACCGGGTGGGCCGCATCCTGACGCGGCGGCCGTACGACGAGATCACAAAAGAAAAAGTGGAGGAGGCCCTAAACGACTTTCGGGGGACGTTTCGGCAGATGCCGCCACTGTACTCGGCCCTGAAAATGAACGGCAAGCCGCTGTACGAGTACGCCCGCGAGGGCCTCTCCATCCCGCGGGAGATTGAGACGCGCGAGGTCGAGGTCTCGGACCTAGAGCTGGTCGAGTGGTACGGGCCCGGCGAGCACGACCACCGCTGGCCGGCCGAAGAGGCAGGCATGGCTGAGCAGTCGCTGGCCGAGAGGGTCTGGCGCCAGGGCAAGGAGCAGGCAACCGGCAAGAAAATGACGCCGGAAGAAGAGAAGAGCGACATTGAGGCGCTCGCGGCACATGAGGCCTTTAAGCGGCGCGCCGAGGAGAAGCAGGACGAGCTGGTCTTTGACAAGCCAAGCAAACGGCGGCGCGGCACGGGCGGCGTTGTGCTGGACCACCACGGCAAGCGGAGGAAGTCCAGCGAAGACACCCTGATGATGTCGGGCGCGCTGGGTGAGCTGCCCTCGTCGCCGTACGACAAAACCAGCAGTGCCAACCCCTCCGAGGCCGAAGCCGAGGCGGAAGCGTCTCCCAAGCCCGTCGTTGGCACGAAATTGGACGGCGCCGCAGGCCGCGAACTCAAGATGCAGGTGCCCGGTGGCCGTGGCTCGAACCTGATTCCAACGACACCGCCTGCGCTCCACACGCCGCCTCCATGGGAGGGAAAGGGTCCGCCGGCGGCCCGGATTCGCCTGACCGTCAGCTCCGGGTTCTACGTCCGCAGCTTCTGCCACGACTTGGGCGTCAAGGTATCGTCCGCAGCCATGATGGCTGAGCTTGCGCGCACACGACAGTCGGACTTTCGAGTCGGCTCGGCTAATGTCCTAGAGTACGACGACATCTCCAAGGGTGAGACAGTTTGGGCGCCCAAGGTCGAGCGGCTTTTGCGGCTGTGGAAGGACGGTACCGTGGAGAAGGGTGCCGACGCGAGCTTTGAACAGGTTGTTGCAGGCCAAGAAAGCGCCGAGACCAAGGATGCCCCGGTGGAGATGGCACAGCCGGCGGACAAGGAGAAGCCGAAGACCGAAGACGACGGCCAGCCATCGGCTGTGTTCCCAACGCCGGCGAATGCCAACGCAGAAAAGGATGAGGAAGAGTGGAATGGCATCGAGGATGACGAGAAGGTCGAGGCATCGACGACAACATCTGTGTAGTCGCAAAATCTGTCTGCACATGTTTGCATTTTCTTTTTCTATTTATTGTCAGCATAGCATCTCGGCGTCTGGTATGAAAGAAAAATAAAGATTAGAATCAAGAAAAATCCAAATGAGAACTGAATAGAAACTGTCCCTGTTTTCAGAAATGAACTTGGTATAAAACGACACAATACGAACAAAACAAATCATAGAGGTAAATAATAAGACTACGCTGAAACAAAGATTGCTCCTCTGAACTCCCTCATATCCCAAAAGGACAACCTCCCCTTCCGTGGGTTCGCCTCGAACAACCACAGAATCTAGTTCGTGTAGTCAATCCACGAGTTCAGCAAGTCCATGTCGCCAAACATGCTCGGATCGCCCAGATCAAGAGAGCCGCCCTTACCGTCGCCGGCGCCACTGCCGCTGCCGCCCATGCCAAGGTCACCCAGGTCACCCAAATCACCCAACCCATCCAGGTTGCCAAGGTCGCCGAGGTCGCCGAGGTCGCCCAACTCACCCGCCGACCCGGCACCAGCACCACCGCCGCCATCTGCGCCTGAGGTACCAAGGCTGGCCGCACCTGCATTTCCTTCTGCACCACCAACATTGGTACCATCCAGACTCGTCAGGCCGACGCCGTCGAGCACCATGGCGTCGCCGCCAGATGCGCTCCCGGCAGCTGCTGCGGCAGCGGCGGCAGCGACCATGCTGTCCATCGTGGTGTCATCAAGTCCTGCGGCAGCAGCAGCCGCGGCAGCCACAGTCGGATCGTCTACGTCGAGACCTGTAATTTCAGTTTGCGCAGGCGGTGGCGGCGGTGGCGGCGGCGGGGGCATCATCTGAGCTTCGACCTTGCGGTACAACCGCACAACAGCCTCGGCCATGGCAACGCCAGCTGCATCGTGCGAGCTCTGGATCTTCTTCCACTCCTCGGCCTTGAACATGAGGGCCTGGCGCAGGGAAATGCGGCGCTGGACGGCGGCGGTGTTGGCCACGGTGCTTCCAGCTGTGACCGGGGCGCTGTTATTATTATTGTTGTTGTTGTTGTTGCTGTTGTTGCTGTCGTTGGAGGATGCCTGCGCCTTGGCTTCGCCGTCGACAAGCACATATAGCGAATCCGGCGACGGTTCGTTGGTGACGTCAGACGCACATATCAAGGCGCACGCGACGTCGTATGCAACGCTGCCGCTGCCGGCGTCGGTCTGTCGCTGGACTTCGTCGAGGATCAGCTGGAGTACACTCGAGGCGCCCACCAGACTCAGCCCAGCCAGAAACTGGCGATGTGTGTAGGATGTGGGCATAATGTTGACACCCGGGTGCAAGCTCCACTGCACAAAGCCTTGGACGGTTTGGCGCATGGCTGCATAGAGGCCACCGCTGGTGCCGCCCTGTCCGGAGTTGCTACGTCCGTTGTTGGCGGTGCCGTTGTTTGCATTGCTGTTAGCACTGTCGTTGGAGCCACTGCTGTTCGTGCCACTCGTACCCGCCCAGTTGAGCAACTCATTGTGCTCGGCCGCTGCTGTGCGGCGCGAACGGGGGATGTTCTGTTTGAGCGCCTTGAGCAAGGGGTCAATGTCCTGGCTGCGCGGGTCCTGGCGTTGGTAGGTCCGCAGGGCATGCTCGAGCGGTTTGGCAACGATGTTGAGCAGCGCCGAAAGCATGAGTGTAGCTTCGTCTGATATGGAGGCTGGCTGCAGGATCAGCTGAAGGATGCGGATAATGGCCTTCTGCTCGGCCGGCTTGTCGACGCGGAGCGCATCCGACAAGTACACGAGAGCGGTGGCGAGAGATGGGAGCAAGAACGTGTCCACTAGATACTCGATGCCGCCCTTAAGCACATCTTCGGGCAAGGCACCCGTGCTTAGGGCCTGAACAATCTGCTGGAACAGGGTCGGCGTGAGCATGTAAAACTGGTGCGGAGGGCAGGAAGACATAAGGTCGTCGCTAAGGCCGCCGGCATCCGTATTGAACAGGCCACGGATCCAATTTCCCAAGTTCTCGCGCTCTTGCTCGGACAGTTCCACGAGAGTGCGGCCCTGGGCACCCGTGCTGAGCACACGGGCCACAAAGGAATCGGGCGACCACTGTATGCCCAGGTCGGCGATAGACAGGTTGTAGCGGTAGACGAACGCCAGCAGCAAGAAGAGCGCAGAGCCAAACTCTTCGTAGATGGGCTGGTACTCGCCCTGGTCCTCGTCGTAGTGCCAGCCATCGAGGAGCTGGCAGAGTGGATAAAGAATAGCGGCGGGCCGCTCAAACAACAGCAGAACATCAAAGGCCAGCGGCTTCCGCACGAGCTGGTTACACAGTGTCTTGAGCGTAGCCGTTTCGCGGGTACGGCACAGATGGCCGAGCATGGCGACGAGGGCTTGGCAGACGGCACCAACGTTGCCGTCCATGTTGTCGAGCTGGCCGACCAAGGTCACCAAGTAATCGGAGTCGGCGAGGCACTGCTGTACGAGCTGCTCCTTGGTGTAGCGGCCGCCCGTTGGCAGGCTCTGATATGTGATCTCACCGAGCAGGGTCTCGATGCTAGCCTCCGGGACGAGGCCATGCAAGCAACACGCGAAGCAAAAGTCCTGGCGCACGCTGTCGGTAAAGGTGTTGGCGTTCTGGTTGTCGTCGAACATGGACGACATGGTGGGGAAGGCATTGGTGTCGACGCGACTCAGGGCCTCGGAGATGCAGTACTGCGAATCAAAGGGATACAGGGGCGAGGCGGCGAGCGACGCAAGCAGCAGTGGCACCTTGTTGATCAGGTACGACCGCAGCAGGTGCGCTGACGTCTGTCCCTCGCTACGGAACACGGCATTGGCAAGCACGTCAAAGGAAGCTAGGATGAGGTCGACGGCAGTCGCTTGCAAATCACCCTGGTAGCGGTTGTTGAGATAGCTGAAAATGGTCGCGTCGTCGACGAGCGGCCGGCCCACAAGCACGGCGTTGAGGTAGATGTACAGCCCAGCGCGGGAGTTGGAAATGGGCATTTCCGGCACAACCAAGTTCTGCAGGCCCACGGTGGAGTCGAGCAGGTCGTGGATGTCGTCGGTCGCCGTATTTTGCTCCTCTTGCTTGCCGCGCCCCTTGTTGGTCTTGCCCTTGTCGGCGGGTTCGAACTGCGCAAGCGTCACAGTACGAAAGTGCTCGAGACGTGCGGACACGGGCGCCGAACCGAGCGAGATGGTTGGGTTGAAGCTGGCGAGGCCGTTGGCCAATACTCTGCGGACGCCCTTTGCAAACGGCTGCGCGAGGGCGGCAACCACCGACTCGTTCTCGCAGACGGCCAGGAGCAGCATCGCAAACGCGGCCCGGGACGCCTCCATCTCAGCTTGCCGCTGGGCTTGTTGGGAGGCGATATCAGCCGGCCCAAGGGTCGCCGACGCGTAGGAGGATGCAGCAGTGACAAAGAGATCCATCCAAGCCGCCATACACGCCGCAATGGCGAGCGCCTTGCGCCCTCTGTGGATGGCATTCTCTTGCCGAACAGCACGACTAATGCGGTAGAACAGCGTCTCCTCGTTGTTGTACGAGTTGGCCCACAGCACAGGTCCAGCACCAGAAGCACTGCCGCCAGGGCCCTTCTTTGTGCCGCTGCGTCTAGTTGCGTTGTTTAGCATGTTTGTGTCTTCGCCAGCGCCGTCACCATTCGCACCCTTGCTGTCGCCGAGGATGTTGCCTCCATTGCCGTTGCTGCCCTGTACCCTGCCAATAGCAGCGGCCGTTGCGGCTGCCTCTTTCCGTGCTCCTTGTGATGTCGAGTAGCGATATAAGCCGCGCAGAATGGACAGCACGTCCACATAGCCGAGCTGGAGCAGGACCTGAAGGTAGGCTGGGATGCGCGGGTCAATGGGGCTGGAGCAGGTCTGGGCCGCAAGCAGCGACATTGAGAGTCCGTTTTGCCCTACGCGTGGTGCCGGTGGCCGCAAAAACAGGTCGGCAAGGACTGTGGTTGAGACGGGGTGTTTTCGTTGCTGGAGAGGCGCGTATTGAGCAAAGCGGTCGACATCGAGGCGCGTCGCGAGACAGCGGTGTATAAAGTTCGCCCACTGCTGGATGTGGTACCTGGACAAGGCTACCGGCCGGCCCTTGACGGGCTTGCTCTGAGAGCCATGGCGGCCAGGTGATCGAGGCGATTGAGGCGATTGAGGCGAGTCGACCGACAATGGTGCCGCCGAGTTGGCCGTCATCGGGAGGAGGGATCGATAGGAGCCGGACAGGGTCGGGGATAGTTTTGGAATGGAAACCAATACAGCCTGGCGCCCAATGTCGTCGGTATCGACCGTCCGACAGCGATTAAGCGTGACAGGGAAGCGACTCGCGATGGTGTGTTGAGGATGAAGTGCGAGTGTCAAAATATCCAGAATCGACCGCTCAAGAAAACCAAGAATAACAACCACAAAAAGAAGGCGCGATCAATCAAAAAGGTCCCATAATTGTGTTTTCGGTTCGGTATATCCAACTCGGCCGCAGACGGAAGGCAGAAAGGGAAAGTTGTGTGGTCCTCGGGGTGCGCTTCCTTTGTTGGGCGATAGTATGTTTGGGGTTGTCACTGGGAAGGTTCGATGCGCAAACGGAACAGCTGCACGCTGCAATCTGCGCGTAAGGAAGGCGCGCCTGGGGGTACCTTGATCTAGCGCAGCTGCCCTGTAGGTCATTCGGACTATGTGGCTTGCGCTGCTGTGGCTAGTGGCCTGGACAAGGCTGAGCAGAAAGGGGAGCCCGTCTAACATTCTGCCACAGTGCCTGCCCCATTTCTTTCGTCCACATCCCGTCGTCGATTTTCGCTTCTGCGGTCAATTGCAATTCTCTGTTGCTACTCCGTACTTATAGCTGTATTTATGCAGCCTCACTTGGTACACCAACCTCAGCAGTTCTATTCTCTAGGACGTTGATTGCTATGCAAGGGTTTCTAGTTTTCCTGTCCTTATTCAGTTGCAGCAAAGATCAAGACAAAACGATCGTTTTGCTCGCTCTGTCAAAAAAGAAAGAAAATGGCAATACGGCCGAGGAATCCCAGCTGACGGGTTGAGGATGGCTGGACTGTATTCACGGTGCTTCGAACGAGCTTGGGCGTGGTCCATGTGTGATTTTGGGTGCTCTCGTGTTGACTTTTGTTAGGGCTAGACAGCTAGCCTCAGCTCCCTAGCAACCCAGGAACACTCCCTTGTCCTGTCCCGCCAATCCCCCTCCATTTATGCCTGTACCCTCCATCTCCGGCAAATGTACAACCAGAGCGGAAATGATGGACAGCATCAAGTGCGAATGGACTATATCGTACCGACGCGAACAGTTGCGCTGCGAGATCCGTAATGGTGAAGCTTATGAGGTGTTGTTGAATCATGTTGTAGTCGACCATTTGCTCAATGCTCAATTTATCCCATCCCATTTCTCGTCGTTTTGTGCCTTTTTGAAGGTTCGTTTAACTGCGATTAGCGATCGAGTGAATAAAAGCAGATGACCAAACAATCAAAGGATGAGGGAGGTAAAAGCGACGAATTGACGGTTCTCGGATTATTTCCCGGAAAATAATTGGGGCCTCTCAGTCCTATACGGAAACTGCGTCACAGTCTATGAAAAAGGTGCAGGGGGTAGAAAGGAAAGAAATAATCCAAAATCTCGAAACAGGGTGGCTAGTAGGGGAGAAAGAATAAACAAAAGCCCAATACATTCCATGATGCCGCCAACAATCAGTCAAGAGGTGCAGCTAAACCAGTAGGGAAAAGAAGCGTCTAAAACAAGAAATAGGAAACCGAAAACAAACGCCTGCCACGCTGCTGCTTCTTGGTCGTACAGCGTGACCAGACGGGTTCCCATAAACCATGCTATAATGTTACCTTGACTCCGTATTTTTTTTTTCATCGCTGCTGTCCCGAACAGAAACCGCATGCCGGGGAGAGAAGCTCCTGCTCTCCATTTGCTATGCTGTACTCCGTATGACACCCTGTCAAACAAAAAAAAAAAAAAAAACGACAATATCGAAGCACACTGTTGACTTAAAGGGGGGTGTGTCAGTCTTCCTCCCGCTTTATATTGACACGCCGACCGCGTATGCTACCACCACTGCTACCGACATCACCGGGCGCACGTGGCCCCAGCATCCAGTCCTGCATGGCCAGCCACTCGCTCCATGTGGTCTCGGCGTTGACAATCTCGTCTTCAGACACGTTCTGCAGCGGCCGTAGAAAGGGTACGGTCTGGTTCTCGTCCATGTCGTAGTCGGCCTTGACTTTGAGCCAGTTATCGCTTTTGGCGGCAAAGAGGTAATTTCGTCTTTCGGTTTCATGGATGGGGCCGATTCCAGCCATCCAATCGTCGCCGAAAAAGCCGTGTAGCACTGCCGGAAAGTCAAAGGCGGTCGCGATGAGCCGCCGGATGTAGGGCACGAGTGTCACAAAGGCTGCCGGTTGGGCGGCCCCGCCGGCCGCTGCGGCCGACCGCGAGGCTGGACCTCCACCAGGCGCGCTGTTCCTTGGTGGAGATACGAGTATAGGGTGGACGGATCGTTGAAAGGGCAGCTGGATGTTGACAAAGGCGGCGACAGCTTGGACTGGGGCCGAGTATTGGGCGTGGTCAAGGAAGTAGCGGATGCACGACTGGTATTGCACGTGCCATTCGAAAATGTCGAATTGTGCGTCGACAAAGGGCTGGGGGAAAGAATTCGAGTTAACGTTATGCCCTTGCGTCGAGGAGGAAGAGGAAGAAGAAGGATGAGGTGACGGGTAGGTGAAAGTCTGCTGCCGGGCAGAAGCTGACGAGGTAGAGCAGGAACAAGAATAGGGAGACTGTGAAGTAGCAGACGAGGAAGAGGAATAAGTGGCAGCATGCCAGCCGTTGGTTCTATCGGGGTTGGTGGCGCGAGAGTTTGCATTTGAATAAGGAGATGAATGTGCTACCTGTTCTTGCTGGAATGAAAAACCTCCAGCGCGATTGAACGCCATGATTGCAGATGCAAATCAACGGGTAACGAAGACCCCCGATAGATGCTGTGATAAATGGGCCGAGGAAAATCCACGGAGAACGAACAATATAGGCAGGCTGTAGTCAAAGAGCTGAGGCGGCAAGAGATCGGAAGTTCGAAACTCAAAAAAGGGGGTCGTAATAAGTGCAGGCCGTCAACTGCACAATTGTATGGCTAGGCGGCTCTGTATGTTCGGGGTGGGCTCGTTTAATATGTCTTTATGAGATCTCGAGACGCCAAGGCTTCCCAGAACCACGTTCCCGGGATCGAGTACAAGAAAGTCGAGAGCTGGAGCTGGGGCAATATCCAATTCGTTACCACGGCAAGGTTGTGGGTTTGCTGAAATACCGGAGTTCTTTTCGTAATTTGAATAGCACGGATCGGACGAGGAGGACAGGGCGCTCGCTTGGCTGAGACTGGCAGCTTCGGGCGTCTACAGCGGCGTCTGCGGTGATGCACAAGTAAGTATGTGCACATGCAGGTGTGTCTGTATGTCGGGGCAATCCTAGTCATAACAGTGTACGACCAGCATGAAAGGTGCAAATGTCCAGCAAATAAGTAGACATCGCCGACGAGGTGCAATTGTAGAAAAATCAAATGAAAACGGCGACGTGGCTGGCCAAACAAGAAGGAAGTGCAGCAATAGTACGGCTCAGCAGCTCAGGAGAGCTCGTCCGATCTGGCGACAAGGCACACCAAGGGCAGGGGGACAGGACGAAACTCACAATAGATATGAATATGCAAAGACCCGACCGTGGAGGGCCGAAGGCAATGTGATTAATAGAGGAAGATTGACGAAAGTTGACAACGGATGGGGATAGCTGTGATGATATACTGCCAGCAGGCTGACAGGACGGGAGAGCAGCCGTCGATGGCAGAGGAGGGTGGTGGTCAATGTGTGTCTCTTGCCTTATATGAATTTAGTTAAGGGCAGTCGGCAGACTAACAAGAGACGGCGCCAAAATGATGAAAAGGGGGAAAGCAGAAGGCCGAAGCTAGCAAATAGAAAAACAAAAATATAACAAGACAACAATGAAAACAATAAATATATATATGATTAGTCGACGTTGAACGAGTCTTCATTCAAGCACGGACATTCATGCCACGCTCAGAAGTACATGTACGCCTAGATCTGGTCAATTCACAAGGAAATGATGGGCAGGATATAGCGGACTGGTATGTAGGGCTTAGGCTGGCCACGAACGATAGGAAGAAAGCAGAGTGGGCGGCAGAGTGGAGGCCAAGGAAGGATCGAAAGTGGATGATCGTGTAGGAAGCAGTCCCGTTTCTGAAGTGAAAAACAAAAAGTTGGCAGCAGATAGCCCGAGAGTGCCTACCGTGTACAGTGCAGCTGAACGTCTGCCGCTAGGGATGGAGCAGCTGGGCGGCACACGGGATAAGGGAAAGACTATACAGGCCAGAAACCACCGATACAGGGTGAAGAGGATCACGGGAGGGAGTGCATAGAGGCCGTCGACGATGTTGCGGACGGGCAGAATATCCAAAAGAGCGTCATCAATAGACAACATGAGGTAGGCAGTGCCAAGGAGAATGATATGAACGCACCTGGACAGCTGTTGTTAACCTTCGGTGCGTGTTTCTTTTTTTCTTTTTCTCTTGTTATATTGTCCTTTCTTTCCTTTTTCTTATATTCCGTTTTGCCTTCCGAAACACTTGCCTATTTCTGCCAGTGAAGGAAAATATAGACCTGGTTCCTGGTTTGTTAGCAGGGACCCCTAGTTTCGTCCCTGCGGTTTCTTATTTTTTTTTTTTTTTTTTTTTTTTTTTTTTTTGTTAGTCGTCTTTTAGGCCACTCCGACAAGGTTTGTACTTGTCGGGATAGTGCACCGAACGATGGGTACTCAAGATTTTTTTGAGCCGGATGCACAGTGACGAACGGTCTGTGGGGAGTAGAAACCAACGGAGGGAGTTGGAAACACAGGGCATGTTTGGTAAATCGTGGGTGTGGGAAAGGGAAGAATATGGTGGAGGGGTGGAGCGACTAACTCTGGTGGGGGGGCGTGGCAGATCCTAGCCGATGCGTCAAAGGGGCGATTGCCGCCGAAGGTGTGCGCAAGCTCTAACGACAAGATCAGCTGGAACCAAACCAGCAGAGCTCGCTAACCGTGGCATGCTGATGAGACCCTGCTAAAAAGAAAATAGATGACAAACCGATTAATGAAAATGCGAGAGAGAAGGGAACCGCGGAGACGAAAAAACACGTTCATGGTTGTCAGTCTGGTCGGTTCTCCATGGCATGCATCCCGGACAGTGTCCCGGATTGGGGTGTGCAAGAATGCAGGGCGTTCCGGAGTAGCATGGAGTTCAGCCGTCGATGTCGGCGGAAAACGTGCCTCTTTGCGTGTGTGAGAGTTTGGTAGAAGCGAAAGAAGGTGAACTGGCGATGTTGGATACCGAGTTCTGGACGAGGGCACATCCCCGTGATGGCCTAGTTGACCAAGGAACCGAAACAACTCCTTCGTCTGAATTTGCAAAGAATGACCATTTCTTTTTGCCCATACTGGCCCTGCATATCTTTTCGCCCTTCGCGTTAAAGGTTAAACTGCCATTTTTGCTGGACACGCGTTACCGGAAATTCGGCCGGCGTCTTTCGTAGGTATGAGCCAGGCTGCCTCTTTTCGTCTCGTCTTTTCTCCGTCAATGGCTCGCATTTTCTTGCCTTTTCACGCTCAACATCACCGGTGATGGGATCCACGGCGGTTGTTCGAACCTTGCTAGATGAGTTGCTAGAAGCCTGGGCCAAGTCCAGCCCGACCAGGATACGTCAAAGAAAGATGCCAGGCCAAGGGTCCCACAATACGTCGTAGTGATGCCATTAGGTTATGCAGGTCGCTAATGCCGGGGAGAGACCCATTTGGTATCCCCTGCTTTCTCTTTCTGCTATGTGTTCTCTTGTGTCATTCTGTGCTTTTCTTCGTCTCCTGTCCCGTGTCCCGGTAGACCAGAAATGGCTAGCTGGTCCGCTCATGTAGCCGGCCGGCAAAGTCGTCAAACTTGCATGCACGTTATTCTGCAAACTGTCGAAAAAGAGGAAGATAAGAAAGCGGCGAGGCGTCGCAACACACAGGGCGTCATTGATTGTCGAGAAGTGTTCGGCGAGTCCTGCTATTGGAGAGGAGCGCTGCATGGATCGTGCGGTGTGCGTCCAATCATGGCATCGTATGGTGGTGTTTGTCGACCGGATGAGGCACAATACAACTCGGTGGTTATTGTTTTGCAAAGTGCATGAAAGGAGGCAAATATCTTTGTTGCTACTCTACGACTGGCGAAACCGACAAAAAGAAAGCGCGACCGTTGTTTCCATGTCTCCTGCCTTCTTTCCTCATTGTTCTCCGTTCGCAAGGGTTCCACCGGCCAAGTGAACGCACTTTCCGCCGGATGCCGCCGACCAAGTGGGAAGCAGCAGTGAGTCTGACTACATTTTGATCGCTCTTGCCGTGCGTCTACGTCAGAGCAGCCTGGTCGTGTGTGGGTGGTCGGCACGCAAGGCTGGAGGTGTGGGTTGCAGCAGGGTTCACATTTTACAGGAAAGAACCCTGCCGCCTGTGATCCCAAAGCGCTGACCATCTGCTCTTTGGCTTATCTAGATCGCGTCGCCTTAGCAAAACCAGGGCCAGTTGTATGTTGCCAGACCATTCGCCCTCCAGTTAACGGTGAAAACTTTTCCTGCTGCGCCTGTTTGGTAACTCACCCCGGCTGGTGCCTTTGCTCCCTGGTACGTCAGCATCGCATGTACACTCCCTAACTCTTTAACACAACCCGGAAATTCTATTTGGGTCTGCAAGTAATCCAAGCCCGAGATCAATTTTTGTCAAAATCAAAATATACAGCATGGACCTGGGAGAAGGAATGTGATGCCGTCAAATCGCCAAGAAGAGAAACGCTGTAGAGAAGGCGACACAGACACTGGCGAGGCTGTCTCGGTGCATCTTCAAGAGTCAAAAGACAGAGGACCCACTGGCAGCGAGAGCGTGGAGGCGAGTGCCTAACCACGACAGCTGAAGCGTGTGGGATCGACAAGACGAGTGACTTGGGGTGTTATGTCGTGGACTTTAACGGGAAGAAGAAATAGAAACGAAAGGAGAGAGACATATCAAACCGGAGTAAGATCGCTGTCGATTTTGGGTATGAGTTACGCAATGATTACCGCTGGGCATGGTCCTTGCAAAGCCAATGTTAATGGTACCGAAACGTTCAGTGGGATCACTGCGCGCGGTCAGAATCTTTGCAGCGAATGGGGAATGGGGCGGAAGAAGGGCAGAAGGGGAAGAAAAAAAAGCACGCCACTGAAGAAATCTGGAGCAGAGCCCTTGTCAACTGATCCCTGTCTCCATTGGGTAAAGGCTCATCCTGTTTTACCTTTTATTTTTCAGCAGGAGTTGACCAGCGCTTTGCTAATTGCCTCAGTTGGCCGCGAATCTCAGCTCTGACCATCAACAAGCCGCAGGAAAATGAGAGTGAAATGCGGAAAAGTGACAGGAGAACGGCGACCCGGAACGAGTTTTTTTTTTTTTTTTTTTTTTCCGGTTCTCTCTGGCTTTTGGATTTTGTCTCGATTCAAGTGTGATTCGCTATGAAAATAAACGTCCGCAAAATCGGGTGCTCAGCCAATACCAGACTGGCGCCACTCCAGTGGGAAAGTAAATCGCAAAGAACGGATACCCAAGGAGAAATGCAGACAGTGACGTGAAATAAAACAAGCTGAATATTTATTAAAATTAAATATAATTTGACAGGTAGAACAAAATACAACCATGTCCTGGTCGATGCATTCGTCAGTTGATGTGAAGGATGAATGCGTACACCCCCCGCCGACAGATGCGAGCTGAAAGATCTGGCGATCTACAGGTTCCCAAACCCCCGGGACAGGTGTTGGGGTGGCCCATGGGCGTCGAAAAGCCAGCTGCCAGGGTAACTCGGAGAGGCAGGGCGCGCCGCACATGTGAATGGGGAGAGCAAGGTAAGAATCTTACCGAGGTCTGTGGCTGGTGGGAGCAGCTCGACTTCAGGAGAAAATATTGTCGAAGTGAGCAGTGTTCCTTTCGCAGCCTGTAAAATATGGCATACTTTGGCCCAGCAAGCCTGGACTCTTTGTGGCGTTTTTGTAGGGCGCATGTGTGGTGGGGAGTGGCGGAAAAGAGGCAACCCACACTTACACTATGGACGGCATACCAAACAGCACGGTCCTGCCAACGACCACTAACCCAGCCTTGTCTGCCCACCTTCGGGTGTTTAAGCCGTTATTGTTTGTTGTCTATGGGTCAGGGCGAGGTGGTTTCCCTTTGTGGATGTACATATAAATGCAGCCCGAAGTGTGGCGCGGCGAGGTGTGAGTTGTGGCTCTGACGACAACCTTTTGCACCGCTTTCCCACTGCGAAGCGTAGACCTCTTCTGGTCTAAAACGTATGCCGGGCAACGGTTGTTTCATCGTGTCTTTACCCTCCATGATTCATTGTGTTTAACTTCCCCACCGCCTGTGGGACATCGCTGCTTTCCATCTCTGCATCGCTGTACATCAAGAATAGAAAATATGACAAAATATGACCTGTGAAATACGCAGAGGACAAACAATGCACGAATGGACAATGAGACCAGCGCGTCAGGGACCGACCGGGCATCGCTACATGGTGAGAGGCAGCACAAGTACGACACACAAGGACCTGGACAAGGATAATGACAAGGACAAACGAACCTGAACACAATGGCGCACACAGAAACAACGCCTTGCCTGTCTTTGATTGGTGAAATCTCATTCTCTGGGATATTAAAAAAGGATGGTATAACGTGGTCTGCCTTGGGAACCGGCGAAATTGAAAGAGGTAAAATACAGCTTGAATTTGAGCCTCTGGCCTCTGGAAGCCCTAGGCTGTATGCGCAGTGTTTTTGCTTGGATTGTGTGCCGCCTACCGCCTGCACAGCACATTCTACACAGTAATTAATACACGCTCGACTCCAAGCTCGCTATTCGTAGTGCACTTTCCGGGCTGAAAAGGGCAAGACGGAGGGCAAGATTCGGAGTGTAAAGTGGACTAATAGCGGATGGGCACTGCACCTTCTTACGTTTCGACGTTGGCGTAAAGGGAGCAACTACTAGATGAGGGTAAGTCTGTTGACTTTGGGAAGGAACAATCGTGGTGGACGAATAAGATAAAGCAGGAGAAACCGAAAACGTCCCGTCCCGCCAAAAAGCAGGGAAAGAGCCACTGAGGGACGTTTCCGGCGGATTGGCTCTAGACACAACACATAAGAAGCCGTCAAGTAAAGGACCAATCCTGGCCTCGATGTGAAACTGTGGAACGGACGAGTGCTTTGTTGCGGTTGTACTCCGCACAATCGTACGAGTTTACGTGCGCCATGTGCGATGGGCGGATCATTAGACAAAACACGGAAGGAGTAACGACGGAATACGGCCAGACCAGCAAGAACAATGTATTTACTCCGTATGACAAAGACATTAGAAACGTCGAAAACAAAATATACCAAAGGAAAACAAAAGTAGACTGAACAAGCCGAATAAGTGAAACGCGAAAAACGTATAAAAAACCTGGAATTGGTAACGGCCCCACGAAAGCAACGAAGCCATGTCCATGTCGGACTTCTCCGATGCCTCGCTAGAGAGGGAACAAAGCAGTAATGCATTCACACAACCAAGAAAAAAACATGGCAATGCGCCAGCTACCGGGCAGCCAAAATTACAAGCCCTACCTCGTGGCTAGGCCCGAGATTAGCGCGGTCGTCTCTTGATTTTCCCTGCAGGGTGGCGTGGCGTTGGGACTGTGAAAATGGTCCCTGTGGTCTGGGCGCATGTGTATGGCTGCGCATGACGCACTGAATGCGGGTTAAATACTATGTAATGTTCGTAGTCGCCGTGCTCGGTTTCGATTTTGCCGGGGAAAGAAAAGTGAGCGGTAGACGCGGAAAGTGACAGGAGTCGACATGCAACCACGACAACGAAAACAGACGGACCTCAAGGCGCAAAAATAAAACCATGGCAAAATAGATGCTGGTAATGAAACGTAATAGAAAGTAAATGACAAGGAGTCGGTGTAAATCTGAGTGAAGTAATAAAACTACACCAACTGCATTTAACGACTTAGTCGAAGGACTCTTAAGGAAGAGTGTAAAACCCTATATGTAAATATTTTGAATTTCATTTACGAATGTATATGATATTGCTTAAGTCTTTGGGGACGAAATAAAAAAAAATCTCAAAAAGGAGAGGAGATTGCCAAGCTTTTTTTGTTCTTCTAGAACAATAAGGACATGGAAGGCTTCGAAATTATTCCAGTGTTTTTTGGCAATGACGAAACAATGACAGTAGTTCCTCCGGTCCAATCGAATTAGCCAATGCCGAAATGGCAGTCGTGAAAAAATGGACAATCTAGAGAGGGATAGCGCCGGAGTTGGCGTGGAGTGGAAAGCTGGACCAACCTGCACGTCTTAAAAAAAAGTTTTCTCTGTCCGTTTTATGCAAAGCAACGCACTAACCAACCCAGCGGCCGCCATTGCAATCCACTCACACCAACCCTCCACGTTGTGTCCGATCCAGCGTCGCAGTCCACGGATCTACGGACCTGGACCTCGCGTTGGTGGTCTGTGTCAAAAGTGTGGGAGGCCGCAGCGCAAGGACGGGAGCTCGAGTTAGTTTGCTGTGTCTTATTATGTAATTAGTGCTATTTGGCCTTGTTTGTGTGAATCAGAAAAATATAAGTACCCCATGTCTTGTGATGCGATTGCAATTTTTTGCTGTCATTTTTATCTGCTCCTTTCATTTGTTAGATCCACAGTGGCATTTTTGTCATTTGGTTTCATAGGCTATTTTTAATATGTTTCTGTCACACATAGCCACTATAAATCCAGTGGACCATCGTAGTCAGGGTAAAAAGGGGAAAGGGAAAAATCGAACTTTTGGCCAATGGTGTCAAGACATATCACGAAAATGGCAAACTGAACCATCTAGCTCATCTCAGCAAGTAGACGACAGCAGCCTACGGGAAAGCGGTAATTGCATGCCGTTGAGACATCTGGAATAATGCCGCCAAATAAACAATCGGCCGGCCAATTTGCAGTCGGGCGAGGCCGATTGGACGGAGACCGAGAAGCACGGAGCCTATTTCAGCAGTTACAGCCAACAAGGGGTGAATAAAATGAACAGACAGGTCTCTGTACGTTCCTTATCTTGTGTTTTCGCCACGACGACTGTTGATTTAAAATGAAAGCCCACCACGTTATTTAACTCTTGACATGTGCTTTGAGTTGAGCCGCGGCAGGTCTCCGAGAACGTGGGCTGACGCGTTCTGCAGAATTTCTATCTGTGCAGCTGGTGCAGCTGGTGCAGCTAGCATGCAAAAGCAGCCGCAAGGCAGGAAACCAGAAAAGGCAAAGTGTCAATCGGGGATCAATGTCCCGGGTAGCAACCACAACCTATCGTGTTTGTGCGTTCCGATTGGCGATTGGCGACTGTCGATTTTCAAACTTCGATTACCGACTGTCGAGGATTCAGCTGCCCAGCCTTGCTGGCAGGTGGAGTTTTCGGCGAGCTTTGGGGGACTCTAGATCTGACTTAAATATACCCTACACCTCACCTCATCGTTACATGCTGGGCGTCGCTTGACTTGCCCCTTCCCAAGTGACTATTTTGACGGGGTAGAAGGGAGGAGGAGGCAATTTTAAAATCATTCATCTCCGATCCTTGGGTCCTTTGGGTTCGGGGACCAATACATCTTGCCAACGTCGTATTGTTCCCGCCGCAAGCACAGTTGGCCGCGCGTATGGCCCCGTCAGGTCAACACAATTCTCCTTCCCTCCAATGACCTTCCATGCGGGACCTGACTTCGTGACGTCCACTCCAGCTCCCCTGACCAGGTACGCCTGTTTCACTTTACATTTTTATATTAATACGCCACAATGCGACTGCTTGTCTAGCTGACTAGCCTCACGTCAGAGAACAGATGATTCAAACAGATACAGGAAACCGACTGTCGAGTAAACGGCAATCTGAGAGGCGTGTTGTCGTTCGGCTTGTCGTTCGGCTTGTTCAGCTAGAATAGCTTGCTCCAACAATGCAAGGGCTTACCAGAAGAGCTGAGAGCTCACCGGAAGACATTTACAGTATCCTGCATTGTACGACCTTACGTTGTCTATACTGTGGACGTACAAAATAAAGAGAACTTGATGGTTTCCCAGCAGAGTCCGACATATAAGATGGAGGTCATTATCTAAAAAAGACTAGCGTGCTTTGGCCTGCTTGCCTCCTTCCCCATATTAATGTTGGAGGAATCGGAGACAAAAAGGCGGTCGCACTTTCTGCCACCGGGCAGAAAAAAAGCTAGCGGCAAAAAGCTTCCTGCCCGTTCAGCTCACACCAACGTGGGACGCAGGCGACAACACAAACAAGGGCAGCTGAACCACACAACAACACACGCAGACGCGTCATTTGCCTTCGTCTGGCCATTTTATTTACTGACTTGCAACATGGCTGTCGTGGCTTCCACTGGACAGGTGACTGTCCCCGGGCAGCACCTCGGTCTGGCCAGCCAGTACCTCCCAGGCCCTGGAACACATCTCGCGGACGGACATGTCTTTGCCTCGCTCTTGGGACACGTGCAGATTGCCAAGTCGGCAGAGGCCGTCGCAGCAGACAAGAAGAGTGCTGCGGTTCCCTCCGGCCCGGCGAAGCGGCTCACGCGCATCGAGGTCCCGACAGCGGCATCGGCAGCCGACAGCATTGATCGCAGACCGACGATTTCCGTGTCCCGCGCGGCCGTTGCGGATGGCGGCGAGGTCTTGCCGGACGTTGGAAACACGGTGCTGTGCCGTGTGACCCGCATCACGCAGAAGCAGGCGGTGGTGGCCATCCTGGTGGTGGGCGAGACGGTGCTGGACACGGAGTGGCAGGGGCTGATCCGGACGCAGGACGTGCGGGCGACGGAGAAAGACCGGGTCAAGATCTACGAGTCGTTCCGGCCTGGCGACATTGTGCGGGCGCAAGTGATTTCGCTGGGCGACCAGGCCAACTACTACCTGTCGACGGCGAGCAATGCGCTGGGCGTGGTGATGGCGACGAGCGAGACAGGGAGCCCGATGTACCCGGTCAGCTGGAAGGAGTACATCGACCCGGAGACGGGCCTGAGTGAGCTGCGCAAGGTGGCAAGACCTTTTTGAGGGAGGGACGAAGTTCGGAGGTGCACCTCGCCACTGGAACACAACACACATCTTATGAAAGCACAGCATTGTCTATTTTCCCCGGTGGCCTGCCCCGATCACGACCGGGGTTGCTTCCAAATCGACTCAATCGCGGCTCGAGAATGTCTTCGGATCTCTCTACTGACGAGTATACGACTTTACGGCTTAGCCACGGCTAGTTGTGGGTGTCATGTTGATGCACTACTCATAGCTGGCAGTTCGACGAGTGCATAAACCTTGGCTGCACATCATTCATGCGGCCGTTCATGGTAGCGACTCTGCCGCCCCCGGGCACTATTTCCTCCAATGCCGTTTATGCTTCCGGGAAACGGCCAGTTCAAAAACGGCAAGACAAGCGATGCTCCTGCGAGCGGCTTGCAAAAATAGACTCCATTGTGCTATCTTGCAAGCGGCTGCGATGGGTTTGCGGATTCGCGGATAGGCAGCGATTGGCGAGGATCCTTGGATCTCTAATGCAGCAGCCATCTGCCCGTTTCTTGCAACAAACCAGGAACGGATCTTTCCTTCCTAATGAATGGGTTGAAAGACGATGGTGAACGAGGAGCGAAATAGAGAGCGTCTTTCGGAAGAGTTAAGCTACCGTGTCCCTGGAGGCCCCTGTAACGTTACTGACGGAGTTGTCGTCACGAAACGCCGCCCATAGGGCACAGCAATAAAATAGACGAAATAAAAGTAGGACTCGAACAATGAGCAGAACAATGAAGAACAATGAAGAACAATGAAGAACAAAAGAAAACAAAAGAAAACAAAAGCACAGCGTTCCAGACATCCAAGGAATGTCACAGTCACGAACCGACGTTGAATGCGATCGGCAAAACTATAGCCCTTTTAGTGACCTGTAGACTATTGGTGTCCGCTCTGCCGCTGTCTGTTAGCAACAGTTGGCGACACCCGGTCGTGAACCCCTGGTGGAAAAACGCGCCGTTGGCTCAGGGGAGAACAAGCGCTTGACGTCACGCATTATGGCGTAAATTCGGGGGCTGCAGCGCATGGCTACAATTGAAGCATTACGGGCAATGGCAATGCCACCTTAGTTGTGGGCCGTATGGGCTTCCTTCCTCGTAATGGCGCACATGCCACAGGGGACACCCTGGACTCCTGCCCAAAATAAACCAACAAACACCCAACCATGGCACGCGGACCACAGGCACATCCTTACCAGGAGGGGAAGGCGCGGGCAACTGCAACAACGCCACCTTCCGCCTGAGACCTGAGAGGAGGCATTGTCGCTTAGGCGCCGAGAAGGCAGGTGACAAATTCTGACCTCTTGTTGACTCTCCTCCCTTTTGAAGGCTCGACAACATCTCGTCAACTGCATCGTTCGTCCGCTGGACCAGCACAACGAGATCGGGAGACACGACCTCTCGCGCGGCACGCCGCAAGCGTAATCGAAACGACACGCGACGACGTGGCGGGACAGCTAAGCCAGCGAACGGCGGCATCGACAACCACGACGATCACGACCGCGTCAACACATCTGAACAAGACGACAAAAACTGCCATTTCACGTGCTTCTTCCGTCATGGCCGCCGCTGGAGAGGCTTCGCCCTCGTCGTGCCCATGCCCACAATGTGGCTTCGCCGTCCCCCTGGCCAGCGATGCCGACGCTCTGCTGCGGCAGGCCCGCCAGCAGATCCTGGCGTTGGAATCACAGGTTGCCCTGCTCGACCAAAAGGCTGCCGCCGCCATCGACCGCTGGGCCGATTACGAAGACGAACTGACAGCCCTGCGGCGAAAGCTGTCGTCGGCGGGAGCGGGCAGTGCCGCTGCATCCACATCTACATCTACATCCACCTCCACATCCACGGACAACGCTGGTAACCCGCCTCTCACACCTGCCTCGCCAACACGCACCACTTTCTTGCCTGCCGGCGCCGCCAGCCGCTTGTCGGCCCTCTTGTCGCCCCGGCCGGCCAAATCAACGCCCAACTTGAAGGCAGCTGCGGCTGCCACTGCGGCGGCACCACCACTACCGTCGCTGCCACCGCCATCACCATCACAACCTTCACAGCAGCCTCCACCTCCACAGCCGCTGTTGCAGTCCAGCAAGCCGCAAAGTACGGCCGGCATGCCGACGCCGCCGCCATCGGCCACCACCACCCGTGACGCGTATGACTCGACAGCCACATCGCCTGCTCCGAGGACACCGTACGGCTCCTTTCCCTTCTTTGGTGGCAAGACGCCATCTGCAGCGCAGCCGCCGTCGCAACCAGAGGCAGACACTGTCCCCTCCACGAAAGAGCTGCTCGACGCTCTCACGCGCGAGCAAACATTGCGCCGCCAGGCCGAGGGCCGTCTCCAGGACACCAGTCGCGAGGTCGAGGAACTCAGCGTCTCGCTCTTTGAGCAGGCCAACGAAATGGTGGCCGAAGAGCGGCGTGCGCGCGCGCGCCTCGAAGCCCGTGTTGCCGTCCTCGAGCAGCGCGACACGGACAAGAAGCGGCGACTGGAGCGGCTGGAACAGGCCATGGACCGCATCGAGCGACTCCGAGCCATGCTGGGCGCTGTGGATGGTGGTAGCGAGCGCACAAAACCAGCACGCAGTGACGCAGCGTCGCTGCACGAGAAGCAAAAACTGTCCATGACCACGGCGATTGCATAAGACGGGGATGCGTTGCATTGCTTTGGCGTTTGCGCGTCGACACCGACGTTGCTCTGGGATGCGGGTACGGAAAAAGGAACAAACGGATTTGGCAGGATAGGGCTTCCCAGGAAAGGGACTGGGGCACATGGGAGAGGAAAACAGGCCGAAAACGAGACCGGTCTGTCTTGGGCGGGCAAAAAGGGTACGATCTACTTCATTTTACGTGGACGTCCTTGGACATGTCGGAAAGCATAAAGGACAGCTGCAACTCGGCACGGCGTTTATACCAGGCTACATAGTATTTGGAAACCAGGAATCTAGGGAGACAACATCGACCAAATTGGCACACATTATATTTACAGACGGGTATTCAACTTCTTCAACCGCACCACAGCATCGTATATCAAGTTCATTTAATTTATATATATGCATGTAGCCTTATCTGTTCAGTTCTCATATGCCTTCCAAACGCCCACGTTTTGGGAGCCGGGTATTCATGTACGAATTTCGTCACGTCACAACGCCCTCTTTACTGCGACTCGCCACCAGCCGCCCGGGCTGCCTCATCCACCACCGCAAACCGTGCGTTGGCCGCCGCCAGCTGCGCTCGTGCGCCCTCGTCTAGCAGCCGGTACCACTGCTTGAGCAGTCCGATAAACTGCGCCTCCCGATCCATGTCCTCGACAGGCGGTCCGTTGACCTGGGGCGGTGGTGACGGCGACGAAGCATCCTTCTCAGCCGCGGCGTGCATGTGCACGTCGTCGCCGCCCTCTCTTTGGCTGGCCCTCTCCCCCGCCCCTTCTGCGACGGCCTTTGCCGGAAACACAGCATAGGCGCTCTCGTCCGTTGACCGCAGACCAAAGCCCTTGTCGTGCAGCGCCACCACCTCGAATCGCCGCAGCAGCAGGCCGTCGCCCGCCCGGAACGTGGGCATCGTGTCCTTGTGCGCGCGGAACACGCTGACCTCGACAATGGCGTCAATGTCCGCACCGGCCGCAGCAGACAGCGAGACCGACACGGAGCCAGCGTCGCTGGCGTTGTCGGCGGCGTTGTTGGCACCACTGGCGGCAACGGCCGCTGGGCTTCCTCTCCGACTCCCACCGCTGGCCGCATGCAAGTTATGCAGGTGGTGCCGCGACGCCGAGACGTGCTCGACAAGGGATGGATCGGTCGCCGTCAGCGTCATGGCATACTGGCGCGTGCGTGTGCGCCGTGGCGGCGCGTCGTCTGACGACGATGTGGCGACAACGGCCACGTCCAGTCGCGTCCGGAGACGCGGCCGCAGGTTTCGCAGCGGCACGCAGTCCGGTACAGTATCGCGGCAGCGGTCGAGTGCAAGCTTCACCTCGGCCATGGAAGGAGGCGGAGGGGCCATGAACACGCTGGCCACGGTCTCCTTTTCTTTCTCTTCTTTTTCCTGTTCCTTCTCCTTGTCCTTGTCCTTGTCCTTTGCTTGGTCTTTCGCCTTCGAGGCGGGCCGCTTCTTAGAAGTCGCACCCCGGGCAACTTGGACACTTACGTCGTCGCCAGCACCGTCTACTTGGGTCGAGTCCACAGCCGCGGCCGGTGCTGTGGCAGCGGCAGACCGTGTTTTGGCGGCGGATGTCGACGCCGGTGCATGATCGACTGCGCCGGTCGCCGTCGCTCCGTCTGGAGCGGCACGCGCTCTCTTAGACCGCCGCATTGTCGCACCGCGTGCAATCTGGATGCTTCGGTCGGGTTCTTCCGCCGGTGTCGCGTCGGCCACGGCGGCCGTCATGGCAGCAGCAGACGCTTTGTTGCTGGCATCGAGGGTGGCGGTGCCGCTGGGCACGACCGGCTGCGGGCTGAGGCTCCGCCGCAGACGGCTGTTCGTCGAGCGGAGAGACATTGTATGGCGAGTTTCGGCGACAGGAGAAGAGGAAGTCGCGGCTGTGTCGTCTGTGTTAACTGGAAGACGCAGTTTGCCGTCGTTTTCTTCAGGCAACTTGGACAACGTCATTTGTTCTGGCGGCTCCTCTGTTGTCTCCTCTTTTCCGTCGTCCGTTTTGTTCTTGTGTAACGCTGTTGCTGCCTCCGCGTCCCTGGCACGTGTTTCGGCCGCCGCATCGGCTGACTGAGCAACAGCTGCATCGCTGGTGTCTCCCTTGGGTGCCGGTTCAGTGACAATAATGTCTACTTCGTCGGCGTCTTCGACGCCAATGTCTGACTGCTTCGAGACAGCGCTCTGCATGTCAACGTCCGTAGCGGCATCCACATGCATCGAGTCGCCATGGTCTTGATCGTGACCGGCTTGGCGTGGTGTTGGTGTCGACTCTCCACCCATGACATGGTCGCCGTCCACGTTGTCGTGGTCGGCCATGTCAACGTCGCCGCCGCTGGCCACACTGCGCATATCGACGTCCGCTTGCTGCTGCTCAAACTCGAAACTCATTGCCATCTCCGTCAAAATCTGGCTCTGGATCTGCCCGTCAATGTCGTCGTCTTCTGCGATCGACGTCACGTCTGTGTGTCGAAAAGACTTGAGCTGAGCCTGGTCGGCGTGATCGTGGCGTCCAAAGCTGCTGGTCCCGCCGTCTTGTGTCTGCATTGGCGTCGGCAGATGCACTTGTGCAGCGGGAACGTCAGCCTGTTCTGTGGTCTGAGTAGCAGACATGGACTGCACCTCGCCAGGCGCCGTGCCAGTGGCGCCATCCTGGGAAGAAACGTGCTGTGTTGGCGGCGGAGAGAATGGCGTTTCTGAAGTAGAGGCAGCAGCGGTGGCTTCTTGAGCCAGCCGGGCGGCTTGGCTGCGCGTCTTATGGGCTGGCTCTGGCGCTTCTGGGGCCTCTGGCAGTTCGACAACGACCTCGGTGGGGGGTTGGTCTGAGCGGTCTTCCTCAGGTATGTCGCCTTCGGCCTCAGCCATCACCACGTCTTCACTGCCGATGTCCTGCTGGTCCTGGCTTTCGAGAACGGGGCCAGTCACGCCGCTGTCGTCGTCTCTCGCTAAAGATTCAACGGCTGGCTTCACGGGCTCCCGTGCTATTGGCCGCTCCGTGGTATCTCGTGTCATTTCCCTTGTGTTTTCAGCAGCCCGGCTCTCGGCATCGTTTGCCTCCTCAATCACAACAGCCTCGACCGTCTCTTTATCAGCAGGCAGGACATCCTCGGCTTCGTTCATCCCGTCAGTCGGTTCGGTCGTTTCAGCTTTATCCGGCTCTTCGACCTTCTCGGTTTCTTTCGCGTCCGCAGCGAGTTCCGCTTCGAGTTCGGCCTCCAGCTCTTTCTCGACCTCGTCCTCCAACTCAGAGTCAGCGTCGGCAGCCGGTGCATCTTGCTCGAGTCCGTCTTCCGGTTCGTTTTCCGGTTCAACCGTTGCCGCTACTTCACCGTCAGAACGAACGGAGACAGCACCATCTCCCTCCGGCTCTCCCTCTTCTTCCGGCTCATCCTCCTCCCCCTCTTTAAGCTCTTCTTCCTCCTCTTCAAGCTCTTCTTCCTCCTCTTCCTCCTCTTCCTCCTCCTCCTCCTCCTCTTCCTCATCTTCCACTTCGTCTTCCTCGCTTTGTTCTTCGTCTTCGTCCGGAGGAGTTGAAGCTGCCGCGGGTCCTCTTGGCACGCCTGATGGCTGCCCAAATCCCGGAACAGTGGGTGGCGGAATGGGCGTCTCAGAAACAGGATGTTTCGATTCCTGTCGAGGAGGCGGCTGTGCATCGTCGTCAGAGTCCGACAGCAAATCGATCACGACTGGCTGCGCCGGTTGAGATGGTCGTGCAGGCGGCTGATACAGCCGAGGTCGCTGGAAGCCCAGCGACGGATGCTCGCCCTCTTCGTCGTCCTCAACCTCTTGCTCTTCTTCTTCTTCCTCTTCGTCTTCCTCGTCATAGTCTTCTTCCTCTCCTTCAAATCGTTCGCCGCCTTCTTCGTCTTCTTCGTCATACTCCTCACCTCCTGCTTCCTCTTCGTCGTCGTCCTGGTCGCTGTCTGCTGAGAACCTGTGTTGGGGTGCAGCAGCATAGCGGTCGTCGTCGGCCTCTGCATCGGCATCTTCGTCGTACTCTTCTTCCTCGTCTCCCGCGTCCTCCTCACCCTCTCCGTCAAACGTCGCGGCACCGCCTTGGTCGTCGACATCGATGCCGTCCCCAATGTCGTCGTCAATGTTGGCATAGTTGCGCATGTCGTAATCGTCGCCCGGCTGGTCCGTCTGCTCCACCGCACTATCCACGCCTTCGTCGCTCTCCTCGTCTTCTCCCACTGGACTGTCACCATCTTCATCGATTCTTTCGACATGCTCACCGTCGACTTCGTCGCCCTCCGCGTCGTCTTCGGCCCCTTTCCCTTCGTCGCCTTCTGCAACAAGGTGGTCCGTTGGCTCGGCCTCTTCTGGGCCGTCGGACTCCAGGTCGTCCTCTCCAGATTGTCGGCTGGAGTGCTCGTCGGCCATACCCACCATCTGCTCCTCGTCTTCATTCTGGTAGCGCCGGTCATTGTAGCCGTATGCATCCACTTCTCGCGGCAGGTCCGTCGCCGTCACAGGCGTGTCGTCTTCAAAGACGCCTTCGTTTGCGCCGCTCGCGATAAACGACGACGCGGCGTCATTGTGCCTCTCTGTTGATGCTGTAGCCTCTGCCGGCGGTATGGAGCCTTCCGCATGTCGGGCGTCCAAGGTAGGCGCACTGATCGGCCACACAAGCATATGGTCCTGGCCAGTATTCTGCGGCGGTTCATTCGATTGTGGATGTGGTGACGGAGAAGCATGTTGTGGCTTCTCGGTGGGCGCCCCGGGCACACCGAAGCCACCATGCAAGGGGTGGTCGGGCCCGCTGTCGCCATGGCCGAACGAGGAACCATGCGCTGCTGTGTGCTGGGACGGTGGTTCGGGGTAGTGGTACTGAGGCTCGCCAAAGTGCTCGTCTGTAGCAGGTGGAGGGAAAGCGGCCACCTCGGTATCTTGAGCGTGGCCCTGCTGCTGTTGCTGTTGCTGTTGCTGATGGTGATGATGGTCAAAAGAATTAGTAGGATCACCAAATGGGAACCGGACATGGTCGTTGAACAGGGCGCCGTCGGGCACAAATCCCAATGCATCGGCGCCAGAGGTCCCGAACGGCACCACAGCAGGTGCTCCAAAAGGAAGATTGCTACTTTCCGCAGGGTGTGGAGCACCAAAAGGGTTGCTAGTGCATGCGACAGGCGCGGACGCTCCAAAAGGATCATTCGTGGCCGGGAGCGACGGTGCGCCAAACGGGTTGCTGCCAACAGGCTGCGTAGACGCCCCGAAAAGAGCAGATGCGGTCCGCTCGCTGGTGGCAAAGGGATTGGGAATGCTTCCCATCTGCACTTGGCCAAAGACAGGTATAGTCGACGTAGGTCCGTTGTCTTGGCGAAGAGCGGGTGTAGGCGTGTCCAGCTGCGATGTAGGAACAGGCGGTGACGAAGGCATGTTCTCGAGGCGCGACTGGGGCTGCCCTTGTGTCCGCGGAGCCGGCGAGACGGGGGCGGCCGCAGCTTCTGTCGTGACAGTCGTCATCTCCGGTTCTGGCCGAGGCGCAGGTGCCGGTGTCGCGGCGTCCATGGTTGTCGGCGGAGATGGGCGTGTTTCCTCTGTCTCTTCCTTGTCGCGGTCATCCTCGTCTTCCGAGAGCGTGGTCTGCTTTGGCTCGGGTTCCGGGCTCACAGACTGGCTGCTGTATCGCCAGGCATTGCTCGGCCGCCCAAAGCGCGTCCGTTTCCGGCCTCTGCCACGTACGCCGCCGTCGTCCTCAAAGACGTCGAAGCCGGGCTCAAACAGCGAGCCAAATGAGATCCTTGCACGCTTGATAAACGCAGGCGACGCATATTCTTCGTCGTTCAAGGTCGGCCGCGGGAGAGGCGACATGGGCAGGCGGAATAAATCGCCGATGGGCGGTGAGGATGGTGGCGCCCGCGCATGATGGTCGAGAGAAGCGTGGCCGTTGGTGGCGTCCCGTCCGTCTCGTGATTCCGTGCCTACGTCCTCCGCCTCCTCTGGCTGGTCGACATCAATCGCATGCGCCTCCTGTGCCTCGCCTACTTTCGCCTGCAGGACAATCCGCCCACGGAACTCCAGCTGCCACTCCACGCGCGAGCCTGGCAGTTTCAGGGAGGACTCGTCTTTGGACCAGCTTGCTCCGTGCAAGCTCAGAAGCAGCTCATCGCCGCCACCGAGACCACTATCGGCCACAGCGGTCGCGCTCGCGCCGTGCAGCTGGACACGGATCTGGCCTTTTGAGCGGCGCAAGCGGACGTCGGGCTCGGCGAGCAAGAAGGCGAGCGAGCGGTTGACCGAGTTGTAGGGCCACACAATCGTGACGTCTCCACGGACGGCGCGTGAGATGCCGTCGGAGGCGGTTGTCAAGTCAGGGCCGAGCTGCGCGATTGGCGTCACGGTCGCCGCGGAAAGTATCGCGGCCACCGACGTCTCCGCACCGCCGTCACGACCGCCGCCATTCTCGACCGACATGGCGACGGCGTCTCTGGTGTTCGGCACGACAGTAAGAGGTAGATGAGAAATGTCGTAAGGTCTTAAGAAGTGTTCTCAGTGAAGCGCATCGTCGTGGGACGAGGGATGCAAAATGCGGCCCCCAGCAGTAGCGGTAGCGAAAGCCGTCGCGTCAATGAAAGGCGGACATGTGAGCGGCGGTGCGTATTTGGGTATCACAGGTTGGATCGCGTTGTCGTTGTCGTCGGTTTGCCGTGCAGCTGGGGCGACGTTGAAGCCAAAACACAGCGTGATAGTGTGGTGATGTCGTTTGACCTGACAGCGTCGAAGGAGCTCATTCACGCGCCCGTCCTGGACCCACTATTCTTCGTGAACTTGTCACAGGCAAGAGCAAGCTTGGTTGTCGCGCTCCGGCAGGTGCGACCGAAAGAAGAAGGCGGTGAGAGGGAAGTGCGACCCTTGCGGCAGAAAACAGCCCAGCGACCTGGCACTCGGCAGCTAGGGGCGTGAAATCACATCATCGACACCAACACCCTTGTCGACGATTATTCCCACCACTTCCACACAGCCCGGCGCGCCAGGCTTCCGTTCGCAACATGCAAGTGCTGTTGCGCAATCGACGCCTGGCGATGCTTGCCGAGACTACTCCAGGGCGAGGGAGGGGGCTTCCGCGAGCTGCGTGAAAGACGGGTAGAAGGCGATCGCGGTACATATTGCATTTGGGGAATGAATGGCCTATGGAATCAATTTCTGCATTGTTTTGATGCTTTGGAATACTGCGTTTCCTCCATTTTATGTTCTGGGTTAATTTTGGATTTTTTGCGGCCTGCTTTTGTTCCAAGAACGATTTTTTTCTCTTCTTTTTCTCTCCTTTTTTTATATTTATTTTCTTTGGTTTCTTTTAATGTGCATATATTCTTCCATCACTCGACAAAAGATATGACGACTCCCAGATTTGCTGTCCGTAGCGTGGCCATTATCGGCGCCGGGTCAAGCGGCCTGACAGCGGCCCGATACATCCAAGAACAAGGCGTATACGACCGTGTTGTGGTGTACGAGCAGCGGTCCGAAGTGGGCGGAATATGGAATTACAGCTCGCGGCCAACGGACCAGGAACACATCCCGCAGGAATCGCCATACTTCCGGCCCGATGCGCCTCTGCAGCCAGGGGACGGCAAGACAGGCGCACCGGAGTTTTCGACGGCCACATACGATGAGCTTTATGTGAACATCCCGCATCATTTGATGGGTTTCACGGACATGGCCATCCGCGACGTGCACGAGGCCAAGCACCCCGGCGAACCTCTTCCCATCTTCCCGCACAGGAGGACGATTGCCGAGTATCTTATCAGCTACTCCCAGGACGTACGGCATTTGATTCGGTTCAACACAAAGGTGGACAACGTGCGCCTTCTGCGGCGACCGAGAAATTGGCAGAGAATTGGGACCAACGGGGCGACCAACAGGGCGACCGACGACTCTGTAGACAGCTGGGAGATTCACTCGTCCGACACGCGCAGTGGTACTCCCACTGTTGAGACATTCGACGCCGTGCTCGTGGCGCAAGGTCACTACGATATCACGTATGTCCCGGCCATTGCTAACATCGAGGCGTTTGACGAGGCCTACCCAGGTACGCTCACGCACTCCAAGCGATACCGCAACCCGGCGCCGTTCCGCGGCAAAAAGGTCATTGTGGTCGGCAGCTCGGCGTCGGGGCTCGACATTTCGACCCAGATCAAGACTGTCACCAAAGAACTGTACATGTCCGTGAGGACGCCCGTGATCTCCGACCAGTTCAAGAAGCTCACGGGGGCCGAGGAAGTGCCTCCGATCCAGGAGTTCCTTGTGGAAGAGCGCGGCGTGCGCTTGGCCGATGGCCGTGTCCTGCGCGACATTGACGCCGTCATCTTCGGCACGGGCTACCTCTTTTCGCTGCCCTTCTTGCAGCAGGCCAAACCGACGGAGGCGGAAGCGCAGGACACGGTCAGCGGGCTGGGTGCAATGCTGTCCAATGGTCGTCGCATCCACCGGCTGTACGACGACATGTTCCACATTGACCACCCTACGCTGGCCTTTTTGTGCCTGCCAATGATGGTCGTGCCGTACTCGCTGACGCAGGCCCAGGCCGCTGTCGTGTCGCGCGTGTGGGCAAACACGCTGGACCTGCCGACCACCGAGGAGATGAACGAGTGGGAGCGCGAGGCCGGAAAGGTGCGTGGGCCGACGTTCCACAAGTGGAAGCACAACGACGACGGCGTCTACGTCAACGCATGCTACGAGCGCATCATGCACGGCCCGCAGAGTGCCACAGCGCGTGCGGGTAAAGAGCCACCGCACTGGGACGACCGCCTTGTCTGGATGCGGGCGATCACGTTGTTTGGGAAGGTCAAATTTGAAGAGGGCGGCCAAAAGGCGACGTCGTTGCAAGAGCTTGGGTACGTCTACGAGGAAGATTGGAAGGAGAAGCAAGCTGAAGCTGAAGCTGAAGCTGCAGCCGCGGCCGCGGCTGCTGCCACCAGCATTGCAAAGGACAATACACTCGTGGCAGCCGTCGCAAAGGACGTGCCGACGGCGGCAATCAACGTGACTGCACCTGTAGCCGCCGTGGCTGTGAGCGGTGCGTGAGAAGGGCAATGAAAGAGAATACAGAGCACCTGAAGCTAGATACTTAATTTTGAATTTTGAGCCAGTTCACTGTCCCCGTCCCGAAGTCTGACTTTTAAAAGACAGGATCCTCTGGATGTCGTTTGATTTTGTATCTTTTTTCTTCTTCTTTTTCTTTTAACCCTATCTCGCTTATTTACATGCCTATGGCGATTGGTGAGACTAAATGAGACATGCATTGTAAAGAGTACAGACGAGGCAAATCCGCTGCAGATCACCCAGTGTAAGTGCCCGGTCCGGCGAGTCACGTCCGCTGCACCGATACTGAGCCGATCGGCCTCGGACGCCGAAAAGACATACAAAGTGAAGCTCAGCGTGCGAAGCGGCTATTGGACGGATAGCGTTTGATAGTAACGGGCGCACCTTCCCCAGGTACGCCAGGCACAAACGGGAAGGTCGGACTCAGCTGTTGGATTCGAAAGCGTGCGGAAGGCGCCACCTCGCGCAACACTTTGCCCATTGCCCGCCAGTGTTTGCCAGCTTTCATTGGCTCCTTCCACATTTGCGTTTTCCCAGTGCATTCTGTCGTCTTTTGCGACGATGGGGTCTTGTTTTTGCAACGCGCTGTGTAAATAGCTGCCCAGCAGCAACCGTCTTACCTGGACGGTCGATTCCAGTAGTCGCAAGCGTCGCCCTAATACCACTGTAACCTGGAAATGCACCCTCCGGACAGTTTACTAAACGAACCAGACGCCAGCCCGAAATCATCAAAATAGGAAAAGGCCTGAAGAGCAATCCCCGAAGGAAAGTGCCACCAGCCGCCCCCACACAATTCCTACAGGGAAAACGGCAAGCACGAACCGCGCGGCCTCGGAGCAAAGACAGAGCCCTGACAAAGGGCGTGCCTGCGGTTTTTGACACGACCGACCCCGGGGTGGGGGCTCTTCTGGGTTGGTGTGGCTCGAAATATGCACGGTGCTCCTGCCTCGTTCACCACCGCACCTGTCCGCCGGTTCACCATAAGGAGGCAGGAGCAACCCACCTGCTTGTAATTCGTATACGTACTCCAGTACCCGTAAACTTGGCTATCTCCTTCACAGCTGTTCCACGTCCCGTCCGTTGTTTTCGAGACGGCGCTGTGGTTCGTGACGGTCGTTTGCCAAGCTTTGCTTGGTGTTGATTTATAATATAATATTAGCTCTTGTTTAGGCCTAGGTCTCTACAGACTTAGCCCGTTGACCACCGTTCCTGCCTCGCGTGCCACTTCTTATCGCCTACGCTCGCTTGCAGCCCGGACGCTCGATCGGAAGGAACAAGGGAGCGGCATCCTGCTTTCTGGGCCCTCCGTCTCCCACCTGGCCAACTACGCACACACTTGTTGGGACTCGTACCTACCTCTCAGCCTTTGGCTCCGACTTGTTACCTTTCATCATTCACAATTCACTTGTTGTTCCCTTTCGTCTCGCCATCCACCATCTCATCTCGCTCGGAGAGGCAACAGTCGCGCCTCAGCGTCGGATCGTCGACTTGCCCAGTATGGACTCTTTCCACCTTGACGCCCTGATCGGGTCTCAGACCGCAGGCTCAGCGGCTTCGCCGGACCACGCCACAGACGTATCGGACGCTGGCTCCAGCTCGGAATGCTCGTTTGACGGCGCCCCCGACGGCCGCAAGCCGCCGCCACGCGACCTGTCCCACCTGTATTCCGAAGCCACGAACCTGCGCGTAGCAAGCAAGATGAAGGAGTACTATAGGTTCTTCCAGATCCCAAACATTGCTAATCTTGCTGGCGGCAAGTCCTCCCTCCCCATTTCCCGTCCATCCGTCCATTCGTTTGGTGATTCCTCTGGTCTTCCCCGGCTGCCGCTGACTTGTGACAATCTGCTTTCTCAGGCCTGCCCAATGTCCAGTACTTTCCTTATGACACGCTCGAGGCCAAGATTGCCAAGCCGGTGCGCTGGACGCCATCGCCCAACAAACAGGGCACCGCGGACGACAACGAGGGCGACGAGGACCTTGTCCTCGTGACCGACGGCGTCGCTGCCGTCAATGTGGCTTCACAGGCATCGTCCGCCCCGTCGGACCGCGCAGCGCCTGAGCGCCTCGTCGTACCCAAGATATCACCCGGCGGCGTTTTGCCGACGGAGAAGATTGATCTTGCTACTGCACTGCAGTACGGCGGTTCCGACGGCTACCCGCCGCTTCTAAGCTGGATTCGCAACTTTGCGCGCGAGTACCTGCACCCGAATGTGCCGTACGAGGGCGGCGTGGACGTTGTGCTGACCGTCGGCTCCACGGACGGCCTGTCCAAGACGCTCGAGCTGTTTGTCGACAACTGGAACCCCGTCCGCGACGACATTAGCACGCGACCGGGTCTGCTGTGCGAGGGCTTCGTCTATGGCAACGTGCTGAGCCAGATCGCACCCAAGGGCCTGCAGGTCGTGACCGTCGAGGCAGACGCCGAGGGCATGGTCCCATACGGCCCTGGCGGCCTGGAGGATGTGCTCGCGAACTGGGACGAGACCAGGGGTCGCCGGCCGCACATCATGTACACTGTGACGTGAGTAGCCCCGTTTTTCTCGTGCTTTTGTGTTTGTATATGTGTTCACTGCAAGCCCTAACACTCGTTAGGATGGGCCACAACCCGACCGGCATTGTGCTCAGCCTGGAGCGCCGGAAGCAGCTCTATGAGATCTGCAGCCACTACGACGTCATCATTGCCGAGGACGATCCGTACTGGTACCTGCAGTATCCATCGGCGGCGGTCAACGAAGCCGCTTCGCGCAACCTGCCCACACCCAAGTCGCCCGTTGTGCCGCCCACCATCGACGAGGCGGCTGGTCAGCGTTCGACGGGTTTTGCGTTCCTCGACTCGCTTGTGCCGTCGTTTCTTGCCGTTGACGTCGACGGCCGTGTTGTGCGCCTAGACACCTTCTCCAAGACGGTTGCGCCAGGCTGCCGCCTGGGCTGGATCACGGCCCAGCCCGCTTTCATCGAACGCTTCACGCGCATTGCCGAGACGGGCACCGCGCAGCCGTCGGGCTTTGTGCAGTCACTCATCTCGGAGCTTGTCATGGGGCCGCTGCCCAGTTCGGGCGCGTCGTCCTTCTCCGCCTCCGCCTCTTCCCCTTCCTCTGCATCGCCGTCGGCGACTGAGATGGCCGTGAGAAAGAAGAGCAAAAGCGATCCGACCTTCTCTGGCTGGCAGGTGGGCGGCTGGGTCCGGTGGCTCGAGGGCTTGCGCGGCGAGTACGAGCGTCGCATGAACCGCATGTGCACGATCCTCGACGAGGGTTCGTTCCAGCTCAAGCAGGGCACACCCGTGCGGTCCTCCGACGCAGACTGGGGCGTCATCACCAAGACACAGCTGTACTCGTACGACTGGCCGCGCGGCGGCATGTTTGTGTGGATCCGCCTGCACTTTGAGGTGCACCCGCTGTGGCAGGCTCCGCGGGCCAACGGCGTCCCCGGCGACGTCATTGACGGCCCGCTGTTTTCGATGGCGCTCATGTTCTTCCTGAGTAGCAAGCCGCACCTGGTGCTCATTAGCCCGGGCACCATGTTCAGCGCCGACGACAGCGTGCGGGCCGAACGTGGCTGGGCCTACTACCGGCTGTGCTTCGCGGCCGAGAGCGACGCAAATTTGATCGAGAGCTCAAAGCGTCTTGTGACGGCCATCCACAAGTTCTGGAAGATCAAGAAGGCGCAAGACTTTGAGGACATCCTCAACAGCTCACCGGCGGCCATGGCCGATGCCGCAGAGGCTAGCGAGAATGGAGACCTGGGTAACCTGGGCGTGTGGATGGGTTGTTAGACGAAGTGTGGACAAACAACGATTTTGACGACCGGATGCTGTTTTGGATTTATGATGGTTTGATTTCGTGGCGTAGCCATCTTCTTGGATATTGTTGGTCGTTTCTCGCTTAAAATTACCCTTGCAATAGTTGCATGACTCTGACGCTTGATGTGAACCAAACTGTCGCTTCTTTGCTGCTTCCCACTGTGGAAGCCTTTTGTAAGAGGTTGAAGTCGGCGTGCCATTGACGAGGGAGCGATGTAGAGGAAAGTAGAATAAACAATAACGAAAAACGACTGGTCCACTCGTGAGGTCGATATGGCAATCCCTCGTGGCCCCCTGAACGTCTGACGGCCCACATACCTCGCACATGATTCCATATCGCCCATCTCTTCCTTGGCAACATGGTGTTGGAGTTTGTAGGCTTACGTGTGCCCCTTTTTTTTTGCTTTTGTTCCCAATAGTGTTTACGTGCCAGTGGGAAAGGACACGACAGAGTCGCTGAATCGAGAAAGCGCCACGATCTACAATACTCGGGGAGAGACAAGCTCAGTATGTAAGAACTGGGCCACTCGGAGCTTGGTTTCGACAAAGGAGACAGACACATGTGAGAAGTCACAACTGTAGCAACATGAGGGCAGAATTATCCCATGATGCGCAGTAATAGCGACCTGCTGTAGTGTGGCAGAGAATATGCAGGACGCGAGGCAGCTCAACTTTCACTTAAACAGTCTTGCCGTTCCCGGGGACGAGACACACACTTACGGTAAGAGCGATGGGTGAGAAGACACATATTAGAATTTAGAACATTAGCGAGCATCGTCAAAAGCACTCACTTTCAACATACATATCACAGCCAGCGAGTATTTGGTAGTTTCCCAAGTTTTAGTATTTTTTGGGGTGCAGTCATCTCCAACGGGGCTTTGTGTTGGTATACCTTCCGCTGTCGACCGCGCAGACTCGTTTTTTTTCGTAGTTTGCAACAAATAAAAACAAGAAACCATCACCGAATCCCGAAATACAAGTTTGATTTCCGACCGATTCAACCGGCCACCCAAAATCCTCATACTCATACTCCCCGCACTGACACACGCTTATGCCTCGTTCAGCAGAGTCTTGAACTTGCCAGGGACCGTGACGGGCTTCTCCGTGTTCAGCTTCTGCTGGCCGACCTTGTCCTTGATGAAGGTGGCGGCGTAGGGGTTCAGACGCAGCATGACCTGCTTGTTGCGCAGGGGGTTCTTCTTCAGCACGTTGCCGCGCTTGGTCTGGGCATCGCCCTTGGGGGCGCGCAGAACGCTCTGGATTTCCGAGCTGTTGATCAGGCGGGTCAGGTCGGCCTGGGCAACCAGGTTGGAGGGCAGCAAAAAGTCCTTCTTCAGGGCCGACGCCTCGGTGGTGGAGCCGTAGATCTTGTCGAGAGCAGCGAACGCGGCCGAGGTCCAGACGACGAAGCGGCCGAGGTGGCCACCGGGGGCGAGCTGGAGCAGGTTCAGGGCGAAGACAGACGAGGTCTCGACACCGGCAATGTTGCGGAAGCCCTTGGCCAGGTCCTTGCCGTCAACCTCGGGGTCGTAGATGACGAGGGGACCGCGGCGCTGGCGGTAGCGGCGGCCACGGAGCTTGCCCTTGCCGGCACGCAGCTTCTTGCTGAGCCGGACCTTCTCGACATCGGCACCGGCACCGGCAGCCTTCAGCAGGGCAACGGCATTGGCAGTCTTGGAGGTCGAGGCAAACGCCTTGGAGTCGACGACCAGGGGCACCTCGGGGACGGAGGAGATCTTGTGGCCGCGGGCGAGCAGCAGGGGGGCAACAGCCGAGGCGGCAACGGCAGAGGCAGTGGCGAAGCGCTTCTGGCCCTGGTTGACCTTGACGTGCCACTTGCGCCAGACCTTGGTGGGCGCGAACATGCGGCCGGAACGGCACATGTTACCGAAAGCAGCCTGGCCGGCACGGTGGGTACCGCCACCGGAGACACGGGGAATACGGGCAACAGCGCGACCTGGAGCATATGTTAGTGTTCTGTTGTCGTTTCATCCGTCTTGGCCAGTCGAATCTCGTCTTTTTTCGTTTGATCTCGCGTTTGTTCCCCGTCCTCTCTCTCTCTCTCTCTCTGCGGATTCACTAACCAGTGCCCCAAGATTCGGCGGAGGTCTGGTGACCGGCCTTCTCGCTGACGGAGTACGGCTGGCGCTTGTTCTTGGCCATGCCGGTGTGCACCTGCTGAACAATATCCGGACGGATCGGGCTCAGGAAGACGGCCGGGATGGGGTGGGTGGCGCTGGTGGGCTTGCCATCAGCGCCCTGGATGGTGACGGTCGGGCGGGAAGACATTGTCTCGGTATGTGGTCGTCGTCGTCGGCGGCTGTCGATGTCGTCGATGTGTCGTGATGGGGGGGAATGTCGAGGGAAGAAGAGAGGCAAGGGAAAAGCGACAGACTCAATAGTGCCAAAACGTGCAGTCCCAAAAAAATTGTAGCAATCCGCTGGCTGCTAACAAAATTTTGGAGGGGACCCACAATCTTCCGCAAATTTTGGGCAATTGGCGGCGTCCCGCACTTGCAAAAAGCCAAAGCAGCAGCCACAGGGCACGTTGTGCTGTTCGGGTGGGTTTTTCGTGCGGTGGAGCCCTAACACCGCCCATTGGGGAGGAAAGGACGCTAAGTCGAAAAAGGTCGGTAGCTGTTGCACGTGACGCAGGGTTATTCGGGTTAACCATGAGCCGGTCCGAAGTACAAAGCTGGTTCCACTTAACGGAATTGGCAAGTGCAGCTCGTGCCGCTAACCCTTCGGCTTTACTTCTCGTCTATTCTCACAGCTAAGTAAACACAACACTACGTCTTTACCAACACCGCCAGCATATCCTTCATTCTCACCCGTCGTTGCCCGTCATCTCCCAGGCTATCGGTTTCCCCTCAACTGCTGCGGCCAATTGGCCGGACACGTCTCAGTGCACGTCAACCCCGAGGTCGCCTGGTTCTTGATGTTGGAACACAGCACTTTAGCAGTGCCGCCCGCGACGGGCTTGATGTCGATGTCTTCGAAATGAAAGCCCGTGCAGGGTGCCCCTGACGAGCAGTGGATGCCGACGGCGACGTTGTATCGGCTTGTGCCGGTGACGTTCTTCCAGGTGACGTCCGAAATCGTCAGGCGAGAGCTGTCGCAGCCGTTGCCCGAGTAGATGCAGGGCGTGACATAGATGGGCTGGTCGACGTTGTCGACGACAATGTCCTTGAAGGTGACATTCCGCACATGGCCCGTGCCTGGGTACGTCTTGATCCAGGCGGCGTTGGACGAGTGGTGGCAGGTAATGTTCTCAAAGAGAACGTTCTCGACGTAGTCGGGCTGGCCGCTGTTGGACCCGATCGAGCCGATGCACGCGCAGCCGGATTCGTCTAGAGGTCAGCGGCGCCTGGCGAACGATGCAAAGCATGGGAATTCGACGTACAACAAACAACGTTGCTTACGTGCACATTGGTGCTGTTGCCCTTGACGGAGATGCAGTCCTATGCTCTGTCAGCAGTCTTTCCCGGTACGAGTCCAGAGTACAGGACGCGGGAGGAATGAAAGAATGAAAAGAACCGTGGCCACAACCTACGTCTCCGCATTTCACCGTCCAGTTCGAAATCACAACATCGCACGAATTCCAGGTGTCCGTGCCGTCCGTGTTCACCGCCGAATTCGAGTTGCTGCTGTGCGTGTCCATGTCCAGGTTCGTCATCGTCACATTCTGGCTGTGCGCCACAAACGTGTGCCAGAACTGCGACATGCGCCATGTGATGCCATCGATGAAAATGTTGGTGCCGTGCCAGATTGTCAGGCTGATGGGCCGCCCGTTCTGGTTGCTCTGCCCGTGGTTCTGGTCGATCCAGGTCTGCCCGTTGCCGTTGAAGAGCGCCTTGCCGTACCCGCGCATCGACACGTTCGTCCCGCCCAGCAACCACGCCGTCGACCGTCCCGCATAGGTCACCGAGTAGCTGTGCGTTAGCCAGTACGGGATGTTGTCGCCGCTCCACACAAACGTGCCGAGGATGTCAATGTCACAGTTGCGCAGGTCGGTCGTGTTCATGACCTGCCGGATGTTGTACGTGCCCTCGGAGAACACAATGCGCCCGTCGTGGCCGCACTGCTTGAACGCGGCCAAAATCTGCGGCGTATCGTCGGGCGCCGCGGCATCGAATGTGGCACGCTCCCCGGTGCCTTCCGTGCTCGCCAGGGTGTCTGTGTCGCGTGCATTCAGCGGACCCCGGCTGCCATGACCCGCGAAGCCTTTCGCTTTGGCCGAAGCAAGCGCCTTGGCGGCAGCCGCCGACGCCGACGCCGATGCCTGTCGTGCCGCTGCTATCGACTCGGAAACTGCCGCCGCTTTGCGGTCGTATCGACGCGCGCCGTCGCTGCCCGGCTCCGGACGCGGATACACCTCGTTGTAGATGACGGACGTGGGCGTCGGCGCATCGGTGCGGTCGGTCGGATACTGTTCATGGGCTATATTTTGCTCGGGAATATAGTCAGAGACCGGTTCTGGCTGTGGCCCCGGCGCTGCGGCTGGCTCTGGTGCGGGCGATCGCCGTTTAATTGTCGCTGCCCCTTGTGGCGTCACTGTGCAGGTGTTTCCCTCGCGGTAGATTGCAGCCAGCACAGGCGCCGTGCCCGCAAGAACTGCGAGAATTGTTGAGATTTGCATCGTACCGCGATAGGTGGTAACAAAACAACCATATGCTGTAAGTGGTCTCGTAGACGGCCGGCGATGGTGTCGTAGGTTTACGCTGCAGGCACTTCTGACAATCTCTACGTAGTTATGGTCACGGGCGGCCGTCGCAGAAACTCTTGACCTAGGGGTCCGTTGCTGTCCACTTCTATATTGTCATACTGCCGGGCCATTGGTACTCTGAGGGTGCCGGGCTGGATCCACCGGCAAATGAAGGTGGTAGCGAACATATGCTGATCATTCGTGGCAGCATCCGTGTGCCGATTCTCCAGGAGTAAAAGACGGTGCTTGTTTATTGGTGGCATAATTTTCGAGAGGCGTTCGAAACGCGGAAAATAATATAAATGCAAAAGAGAGCTGCTTGAGCGAGAGGAATAAAAGGCAAAATAAATTAAACAGAGGATTAACTCAGCTGAATAGCAATTTTGAAATGCATACAACCCCCCAGCTTGCCTTGTTCAGCTCCCGGCTGATATGCTGCGGAGGGCCTGCGTCCCCTTGCCGTCTTCATAAACGGAGCAGATGGATGGCAAAATGGCAATGTCTGGGCAATATTGGGGACGACACGTGCTGAGCTGCAAATGCTTCTATTATGTGCCCATCGGCAGTTTGGTATACAGTTGTCCGATGTGTATATTTATTTCGCCCATAAATTCTAGTCCCGGGCCCGGTTTCCAATGCCCTTCCAGGATCCCATTCTCCTTGTCCAATGCCCAATGTCCAAGGCGTCATCTATCATGGAATGCTCTATCATATGTATAGGCATGACCGCTGTCATCATACATTTGTCTCGTTGCCGGTTTACTCCCACTTCTTCCACTCCGCCATGAGCTTCATTTGTTCAACGTCGTCTGCTGAGGACGCCTTTGGGAGCCGTTGAATGCGCGCGGTGATGTCCGCCGCCACGTCGGCCCGCTCCTCTAGCTTCTTTGCAAGATACTCCTTGTCATTGTTCTGGCAAGCCCGCTTGAAAATGTCTCGCATGCGCTGCGAATAGAGGTGGCATGCCGCAATATCCAGCTCCTTGGGCTCCTTGTAAAAATCGCCCGCCACACCGCGGTACGTCGTGACCACGGGGTATACAACCTCGTCGAAGCACTCTTGGCAGACCACAAAGTCCGGCATCGTCCGCATCCAGTACCACTTGCGCTGGCGCACCGGGATGTCGCGCTTGCACTCTTCGTAGTGGGTGATGTCCAAAATCTTGTTGATAAACTCATTCACATCCACGGGTGCATTGTTCACCATGCTTGCATTGTTGGTCGACTCTAGCACATCAATGAACTTCCAAAGCCGCTTTCGCTCTGGCTCGTAGTACAGCGAGCAAACGTTGGTCGTGTCGTGAGGCGTTGGATTGTTGTCCTGCAAGAGACTCTTGAGTCGTGGGAAAAGGACCGTGATGGCTGTTGCGCACTGCTCGCAGGTCGTGAATTTGCTCACCGGGCGCCCATCTAGAGGATCCTGGACAGTGAACCAGCGGCCAGCAATGCGTCTGGGACCCGGGCATGGAAGCCGCAATTCCTCATCTCGGTTGAACATGGTCCGCAAAAGACTCAGCGTGGGCATCTGGAAGGCCCGCACGAAGAAGAAGGCAACCTGGTACCATGGCATGGCGCCGTAGATGCAGTTCGTCTTCAGCTTCGGATCAATACCAGTCACCGGCACAAACTCGTTCCGCCACTGAGTCCGTGCAAACCCAGCATCGTAGCAAGTCGGGCAGATGAGGAAATCCTTGTATGGCGTCAAAGTGCGCCAGTCGCGATACTTGGTGCTGAACTGGATTCTCGGACACTCTGGCAATCCCGCAACCCGGCCATAGTAGACATCTTCGGCATAACGCTTATAGAGAGGCACAAGCGGCTTTTCAGCTCGGTCCGCTGGCGGTCGCTCAGCGCCCTGTCTTGTTGCCGCAGGCGGCCGCTCCGGGTACCATTCCCGAGGACCACCTCCTGTCACAATTTGCACGTCGACGGCGATCTCGTCATCTGCCGCCGTGCTCGGAATATTGATAAAAAAAGCAGGCTGGCGGTACGACGGTGAGGAATTGGGACCATGCCCAAAAACACCAGATGATCTTGGTGGCAATGGATTGGAATTCAAAGAAATGCGGGAGGAGCGCAGCGAGTCAACTGGTGATCGCTCTCGTTCCTGACGAGCAGGTGCATCGTTGTCGCGAAGAGAGTCCGCACGACCCGGTGACGACACAGGGATGGGAATGGGAATAGGGATGGGCATTGGGAGGGTCGACGCTCTGGGTGTAGACTGTAGGTTCGGCATAGACGCAGTGGCAGGGTTGTGCACTACATTTGGATGCTGGGTAGCACGAGGGCGAGGACCTCTTGGCCGATCGCCGTCGTGCGGGTTCCTCGACCGGCTTTCTGGGGACGACGACGGAGATGATGAAGAGCCTGGTCTACGGTCGTCTCTCCGCCTCGGAGACACCGGTCTGGTCGCCTCAAACAATTGCTTTGGTGGAGAACCGGTCATGAATGGGAAATGGCCCCCTGATTGTTTTGGTGTAGCAAGCGGGGTCGAGTTTGCCGAGCGATAGCGGTCATTAATACCGGGGTCATTGATGGTAGACGTGCGCCGAGGATTCGGGTTGCTGGAGGCTTTGCTGACCACGGACTCATCGTCTTTGTGCAGCGGTGGCGGAGGCCGACGGCGCTCGCTGTTTTGGCGCCGTAGAGGTGTATTGGCAGAGCTCCTTTTGGATCGTTCGTCGGAGGAGAAGCCGTCACCTGGACGGATTATCGAATCTCGGCGTTTAATTGGAATCGAGTCGCGCCGCAGTGGCTTTTGGCGGTCCCGATCTTGTTCTTGAAGTCGCCGATCCCGTTCCTTTTCCCTTTCTCTGTCTTTATCTCTCTCCTTCTCCCTCTCTCGCTCCCGCTCTCGCTCTCGGTCACGTTCACGGTCACGCTCTTTGACACGATTTTTCTCCCAATCGCGTTCGCGCTCTCTGTCCCGGTCTCTCTCGCGGTCACGTTCACGTTCACGATTCCGTGATGGAGAAGACGGCCGTTTGTCAGTCCGTGGCTGCGGTGACGTAGGAGTACGGGATTTCGGTGGCGGAGAAGGCGATTTGCGTCCGGCACGAGAGTCGGCCCCTTCGTCGCGAGAGATCCGCTTGTAAGAAGGCTTCCGCGATAATCTGCCTGTCTCTGAGAATGACGTAGACCGGCGCTTTATGCTCGAATCCGAAATTGAGCTGCGCTCGTCACGGTCATGAGACCTCCAGTCACTGTGAGACGAGAGGGCGTCACCGGAACGGGCCCGCCCACTGTCAGACTCGCCGTTAGAGTTATGACCGTGGCTGCCTTGGTCAAAGTAGGCACGGTCCCGGCCGTTGGTCGTGTGCTTGATGAATGTTGGCGATAAGAAATCGTTGTCCCGGTGGCCATTTCTATCGCCCAAGCGATCGCGGCTATCACGACTATCATTGTGCCGATCTCGTGTTTTGTATTCAGACGGCGTTGGGGATCTCGGCCGACCAGAGTTTGTGCTATGGGCTCTATTGTCATGCTGCATGTCGGTGTCAATACGCGGCAAGTCGAGGCGACTCTTTCGTCTCTTGATTTCAGGCTTTGCTTTTGATGATGTCGCCGTGGTGGCCGCTGCCACCGCCGCTGCCGCTGCCGCCGCTGCCGCCGCTGCCGTAAGGCCTGCTGCGGTACTAAGAGAAGGACGACGCTGGCGTGCAGTGGCAGTCACGCCGTCTTTACCGCTTCGAATTTTAGAGGGCTCCGTTGCTGTTGAGCCAGATGAAGCCGACTCGGAATCGATGCGCGGCACGGTGAACTTGCGGCAGGTGTTTGCTTCGTATTCAGAGACCTTGTCTGGCTGCCGGCTTGAGGCGGGGGGCGTACGGATACCGCCGTACGAGCTACTGGACGGCCCAGTAGGTGTGGAAGGCGAGCCTGTTGGAGTGATTGTTGATTCTGTGGAGGTAATTGTAGAGGCCGTAGCTGTGATTGTAGACGGGGAGCCGGTTGAGTCCTGAGAGGTTTTGGAGTTTCTCGAGACGCTCGATACACTAGAAGCAACCGAGCCATGTCCCCGGCCACTGCCCTCGGCCGCCTTGGCTTCCGGTTCTACAGTCGGCGCTTTTGGAATGATAACAAAGCGGCGCTCGGGGTTGACCACTTCCATCAGTATAGGTATTTGGTCGACATCGCCGCGTTGTATCGGTTCATCGTCGCCCGCCGACAACAGGCCAGCCGACGCTGGGTTGTGCTCTCTCGCCAATGCATCGCGCTCATCTTCGACAAACGCGTTGAGTGAGTTGTGTCGTCGCCTTGTATAGGCAGAGTTTAGCGCCCGGGGAACACGGCCTTGCTCGTTTCGTGGGGGATGTTCGGATTGCGCACGCTCATGGTTGCGATCGTGAATTCGCTGGTAGCGGCCGTCGATGCTAGATGGACCGGAAGATTGTCATGTCAGATTGCCAGCCTGATCTTTGTGTGCAACGATCTCTTATAGCGGGGTAACGGGGAACGACTCACGAGTGTGAGCTGTTGGTGTGATAATTTCCCGGCCGCGGAGGATATTGCTCGTCGCCTCTAAACCGGCCGGCCATGCTGTAAATTGTCTCGGATTTCCGCACACGGTTCAAGTGGTTGTCAAAATCGACATTGTCCTTTGCGCGGCGACGCGGCGACGATGGGCGCGGTGGTGAGGGGAAGTAAACAACGGGCCTTGCTTTGGGGCTTGTTTTCCTGTTTAGTGTCCGAAAGTACTGGTAAACATGGCAAGCTCAGGTTCAACGCCCCGGGCCTCGAACTAGCGTAGCGGGATCGTGTTGGCAAGGAGGCCGGGCCTCGTCTAGTGCTGAGGCGAAAATCGCTATGCCACGATAGTCACACCCTAGAGCGAGGCTGTTTAGTACACGAAACGAACGGAATCGTAAACAGAGTTTGGGTCGGGCCAGGGGGATGTTGAGGTTGGCTATGTGTGTCTTCGTTAGAAAAAGAAAGGATGCGAAGAAAGCAGAAGAGGATTAGAGAGGAGAAGGAAGCGATGCAGTATCAATGCTGTTCCTAAGAACAAATCGGACGAAAGAAACAAGTAGGGATAAGGTGAACAAAAGGAAACAAGAAACGAAACAGAGCCTCCACTTGGTAAGCTTTGGATAAGATACACGGCCTCAAAGGCTTTGGAAATATGTCAAAAGGTAGTGATTGAAGGAAGGCCGGCGAGAGACAATGGAGGGGAAGAGGAGGTAAGAATACGGGGACAAATGAGGGCGAGCACGAACACGGCATCAGAGTGTCGCTATTCGGGGCAGACAGCAGAGGGCAGCCAGTGTCAGGCCACCACCAAGCCAGCCTTACCTGTTGTCGTTGCTGGTTTGCTGGGTGGATGCAGCCAAGGTTAGGTCTGGAGATTCGCTGCAGCCTGTTGGGCCGGCCTGGCCGCCACAACCCACTTGGCAGCTTGGGCGACGAGAAGGGCAGAGGGCGAGGAGAATGCGGCAGAAGTGTCTAGGCACGGAACAAGGGTCCCAGGGACCGGGAGGGAGCTGAATGAGGGGTTCTGCAAGTCAAGGCGAGACTGCGACGAGAGGGCGGAGTAAACAAAATAACACAATGTCCTACCCTCAAACCAAGGTAGTATGGCATGCAGCGAGCTGAACATTTGACCGCAGCTGGCTCATAATACATGCGCGGAAAGCCGTCGGTCAAGGTGAAAATGTGTTGGCCGTCTGCTGGAAAGCTGCCAGATCGGACGTCGGCTCGGTCGTGTATGTCGTACGTCGTCTTGCAGAAGTCGAGATCGAGCGCAGGCCAAGTGGAGAGCGCAAACAGCACGACAGTAGCGGACCCTCTGTGCATGCATGTGAGACCAAGATAGATGGATCCTGGCCACCGCACAGACGCAATCCACAAAGCCCAAGGTTCCGTTCAGGGGCGCTAGAGAACGCTGGTTGGGCTGTGGCAGCCAGCTTATATGCTGTAATTCCTCCGTGTTGACTTTTGGTCCCCTTGCCGACTCTTTGTATGTTTTGGTTCTTTTGTTTTTTCTCGAAACAGTTCATTGCAGTGTCCAGGTTATGCCTCCAATTGCTCCATGTCAGTCGGCATCTATCGCCTTGTTTACTTGCTTGCGAGACGTTTCGTATGCCGGATGTATCTGTCGTCCCAAGTCGGGAGATCGAGGATGTATGATAGATGGGGCGAGTGCATTTGGTATTGGACCAATTTCCTTGATCCCAACCGCCCATCTGCCCTTTTGTGTCGAAAACACCTGATGTCTGCCCAAAGCAGACGATGAGAGGGGAAGGACAAAGAGCGAAAGTCCAAAAGAAGCCAAGCGATTCAAAGGTTCCGGCGTGTGGTTGTTGTTGGCCACCCAGGTGGGGGGGGGGGGGGCTGCGTCTTGTCTTGGCTACCAAAATTGTTGTGTTTTGTTGCTTGTTGGGTTGTGCAAAACCGCTTGTCACACTTGGGCACGACGTCTCTGTTGTGGTGGCGGTGGGATCTGTTCTTGTGTCGGTCATGCCTGCCGTGCACAGCACCTGCTGTATAACCTCTATCTCGTTGCTGCCGTCGGTATCGTCGAAGTCGAGGCCTTGGTGCAGGAACGACCGACCTACACAAGTCTAAGAATATTTCCCTGATCTAGTAGGTACGACCAGCACCCTCTCGCATTCCTGCTGTCTTTGGTCTTTCTTGGTCGTTTACTTCTGCCTGACCCCTATTGAAAATTGCTTCTTGTGCAGAGGAAGGAACGTCCCTCCGGACACTGCACGTGGGAGCATCTTGTTGATAATCTGAATTCTACGTCGCCCATTCCCCCATCCAAATTGCATTTTTACGGTTCACTTAACTGCACCTGTTTCTTGGTTGCCCTATAACAATTTACAAACTCATTGCCTGTGCTGTCATACTCCCTCCATGCCCATCACAACGCCAATCTATCTGCCAAGGAACCGAACAGTTGTCTCAACGGTTGGCCCAGCACACGGGCGGCGTAAATGAACTCTACCTCTGCACTCGTGACACAGACGTTTGTTTTGTCTCCGATCCCCAAGTTTGGGCATAGGTTCTCCTTCGTGCGTGTCGCAGGAGTATTGCGCTTGCCTCAAAGACTCTGTCCCCTCATGAGAGTCGTGAGAGACATGACGCCAAAGTGTGTGCGCTTTGCCTCTCTCGTCGACACGATTATAGCGCTGCGATCTCTGGCTGACACTCTCTGGAACATGTCGGACTGTTTCTTGGGTCCGGCCGTTCCAGATGCGAGACATTCCCCCATGTCTCTGTCCGACATCAGTCACGGTCTTCTCTACGGAGCACAGGACGCTGACCGACGGCCATAAGAAATACAAGTGTCACTTGGGCTGCCGGTCACTCAACCGCCTGTTGACGAGCGCCGGCTTGTTCCCGGATATGACGGGTCTTCTTCTCGCAGGTATACAACTCTACACAAAAAAGGTACGCGAGCATAGCTACTTCGTTAGTAACTCATGCCACCATGGCTATCAGGTCAACAGCTTTGGATCTTGGCGACAAACACCAAGATGCCGAAATTACAAATGGCGGTGAGGAGCTGTGCACCGCGAGACACAACACTTGCGACATGAGCAGCAGAGACCGCCCAATGAACGGAATGGAGGAACCCAGAGAGAAAAATGTGAAAAGTGGCACTATGTAAGGTGCAAAAAACGTGAATTCTTGTGCCAGGCTAACTCGATATACTTTCACAGGTAGGTTACACTCTTACGCCGTCCAGCTGCATCGTAAGACTGTGCATGTCTGAGCATATTGGACACACCAGAATGACTCACCTGATTCCCTTTCCGGCGGTGCACGGCGGGCCTGGCGACAGGGCCATCGAGGCATTACAGGATAGCACGCGAGCCGGCTGTTGCATTCAGTCTGCCAACGGCCGTCATCGCAGCAGTCACGGATCGAACCATGTCACTAGCATGACAGGCGGCACAGTATGCTATACGTGACCTTGGACATACAGAGACGGCACACACAAGTTTTGCGGACGAAGCACCGTGTGGCCATAGCCAAGAGGACACCGGCCACCATTTCGACACCGAAGTCCATATCAAGAGAGAAAAGACGAGAGCGAGGACGAGTACGAGAGCGAAAAGTACCAGGTGGTGTCGACTGGGGCAACACCAGCTGGCCGAACAAGGGAGATACACTGTCGACCGAAGATGATGATGTGCTTGTAGAGCGCAGCAGTCCCCTCCACGCCCCTGGCGAGTCCGATGTCGCAGAACATCACCGAACACAATCTTTGCGTACCAGGCTATTGATGGTCAGACGAGATTGAAGAGCGACGGTCGAGTGCATGGGGTGATGAGGCTCTTCCAAGGTGGCATAGATGGGAAAGGCTGGGTCAAATTGACAGCCTGTCAGCCTGCCTAGGCTTTGCTGTTGTTGAGCTGTCGAGGTTCATCCTAGTCGGCAGTGCCTTGATAGTCAAAGAAGGCCCACAGCCCTGCAGAGCCTCATAAGTCGTGGATCGCCATTTGTTGCCTTGTTAATATATCCGTGTGGCTTAGACCCGTACTTGTCGTGCAGCTTCACAGCCGCGTTTTCGGTGAAGTACACCGCCTGGGCGCCTGCACTAGCGGCCACGCACGACGAACAAATGACATGCATAGCATTCGGCACGCACACCAGCGTTCCGTATCGCTTTGCGTTGGCGACATCAAAGAAAATTGCAAAAAACCTCTGCATAAAAAACGTGGTCCATTATTAGTCTAATCCTGATAGTATGCCGCTGCCCCAAAAAAACGCCAGATGCAATGCTGCCAGCTACCAGTTCCTTGCTCATATCTGCGGACATCGATGTCCATCGTCCGACTCGCTCGACGTCTAGTCCTCTAGGAACTCTTCAATGTCCTTATCCTCTTCGTCGGCCTGCGCGTCTGCCAGCTGTTGCTCGTGCGCCTCCAGCATGTTGCGAAGCATCCGCCGTTGCCGCTTGCGCGCGTTCTTGCCCCAGTCTGTGCCAGACGCCGCAGCACCCGTGACGGCACCCTCGGTGTCGCTGTCGTCTTCGTCGTCGCTGCCCAGGATGGCAGCCGCAGCCTTGGAGTTCTTGGGAGCCCCGCCGCGTAGGTCGTTGGCCGACAGGGCGGGCTTCTCTCCGTTAGCGATCGCGACGGCCTCGGCCAGCGACGCCTTCTCGTCGGCCTCGTGCTGCTTCATCTGAACACGGCCGCCGAGCTTGACGATATAGGGCCGCAGCAGCATGTAGGCGCCAGCGATGACAACGAGGCGGATCCATTGGTGGATGGTGAGGCTACCAAAAGAGCCGGCGAGGTTGTTGGCGAGGCGGCTGCTCACGAGAGACAAGACATCGCCGAGGCCAGCCATTTTGTTGCTGTGTAAAATAGGAGGGAGAAGCAAGGAAGAGGAGGTGAATATTGGCTCGAAGTGACGATCAATCCTATCGCAAAAGAAAGTCGTATGGAAAAGGCCGCTGAAAAGTTGACGTTGCTGGGTCGCAAAAACGTCGTGGATCCAGAAAACGAATGGAAGAAGACCAGAAAGAGAGCACCAAAGAAAAAGCAACGAAAGAACCAGGTAATATCGTCGGGGAGAGTCGTATTCGCGTGCCGGGAATGTCGCGATGGAAGCCCGGAGAAGGAAATTTCGTGGGTTGGTGGAAAAGCAAAAAAAAAAAAAAATTATATGTAATTGCTAATGCGCGATTGCCTCTCCAGAGAACTTTTATCGCGCGCCGTAATTACTGTGGTTGGCTGATGGTAGGTACTTTGCGCTTCAGTTACAGGGCTTGGATTGGGCTTTCGGGTCGTCCGGACGGGCTGGGATCGCCACTAGAGCGCTAAAAGCCGCAAAAGTAGCAAGCGGCCACGGCGACGAGAAAACTACCTGGCCGTTGCCGCATTGGGCAAGCGGGTCCTCCTAGCCTACTGACGTACAACATGCTAATTACAGTGCCGACAGCCGTGTGACATTGCTGCATACATACTGGCAAGGCTGCCGCGTCTTCCCCACCCAAAAGCGCGTTAACCTCGACATCGTCGTCACCAGACACAGCGAAAGGCTAGAGCAACGACAACATGGCCAACCAAGACGAGCAGGAGGTAATTTTGTGCTTTTATCGCTCCTCGTACTGTGATTGTCTGTATTTGTCTGCCCACTAACCCAACGGCAGCTCAAGTCCGCCCTCTGGTCTGCCGTCAGTGACCTCGTCGACCAGGAGTCCATCAAGCAGAACCGTAACGCCACGCCCCAGTTCATCGGCGCCCTCGCCGATATGGTGTGGACGCAGATTGAGTCGGTGGCCGCTGATCTCGAGAGCTTCAGCCGCCACGCGGGGCGATCGACCATAACAACCGACGACGTGCTGCTGCTGGCGCGGCGCAACGAGGATCTGCACGACATTCTCAAAGAGCAGGTGGACGAACGGAAAGCGGCACGCGCAACGACAGGAAATAAGAGCAAGAAGGGAAAGCAGAGGGCATCGCGGGAGTGAATCGAGGTGCGGTGGTGTTGCCACAGCCGTCGGAGTCTGTAACATACGATGCCGCTGTGTCCAAAGAAATGGACAGCGTAATGTGACCATGACCCTATTTCTTATCTTTCCTTTTTTTTGTTTCACCAGATGTCAATACATGACGAGATCGGGGTATGACGTGCACAAGCTCGAGTACAATAATACTACTATGGACAATACCCGTCAAGCGCATACGAAAGAGCACACTGTCCTTGCGCCTTTTCAAATCCCTCCAACGCCCATAATATGAATGACCATATACAGTGTTTGCAGCCCAAGCCCTACGTGTTTGACCCGCTCGACACGTCTAACTAAACGACGTCAATAGGATCGCTTTCGCGCTTCTGTGCACCATACAATTTCAGCTTCTCCCGCACCACACGCATGAAGCTCCAGCCTTGCTGGCTACCCCTATAGAGCCACGAGATGCCCAGTGCAGCCAGGACTCCGACAGACTTGACAGCGGCCTCCAGTACGATAGCCATGGCGTAGTGGTTTGCCGCGCTCAGCGAGAACGTCCCGCCCGGCACAAAGGGAAACGGCACAGTGCCGAGGTCGTACAGGTCGTCCACCGGTTGGCCGTGCTGCAAGCGGTAGCCACGGGCCATGAGGCGCACGACGGCTGCCTCACAGTCGACAAGCAGCAGCTTGGCGGCAAGTGACGCAGCGTTATCGGACAAGATGGCGGCCGGGAGCCTCGACAACATCGTATCCGAATTGAACGGCGCGTTAACGCCTGGGTAGTAGACACCCCGGAGGTAGGTGCCGAGTGAAGGGCTGCCACCGAAGGGGCCATAGCCGTCGCCCTCGTAACCTATGCTCACCGTGGCGCTCTGGCGGAGCTCGGCGGACCACGCATTGGGTGGTGCGTCGCCCGCCGACCCAGCCTCCACATCGAAACTGACCAATGTCGCGCTCAGCTCAAACTCCTCCTCTTCGCTAATGTAACCATCACCGCCCCCGCCACTGGACACGGTATCCCGCCGACGAGGTGCGTTTGTCGGCGAGCCTGGCGGAGGCGTCGTCGAGGTGCGGTGCTGCTGTTGGGTCGGAGTCGTTTCAGACGAACCCGACGCCTCGCCGGCTCTCTCGTTTGCACGTTCATCAACAGCCACCGCATCCTGGCCACCATCAATGGCGTTCCGTCGGTTGCTGTCGTTATGTTCCCCTTCACTCAAGAGACGCTGGCTGTCGGCCGGCGGCGGCGGGACAGCAGGTCGTGTCCGGGTTTGCGTTTGCTGTTGTGGCGGTGGAGGTGGAGGCACGGGTGGCCGTGGAGGCAGCACCTCGACATTAGGAAGCCCTGCCAACCGGCGCTCGCCGGTATACGGGTTAAATTCGGACACGGCCCGCTGCAGGGGCGGGTTGGAAGGCGTATTCAGGGTGTCATAGATAGCGTAGTTGAGGTGGTGTGAGAGTTGCTCCCGGAGTTCTGTGTAGCCGTAAAACGCGGCAATGGGTGCAACGCAGAGCAGAACCTGTCCCACCCACTCCGCCACGCCGCCGAAAGAGTACGACGTCGGAAGCATCGGCGGACGGACAATGGGCGAAGCACTGGAGAAGGGAACGAAATAGAGCGGTCCCGGAAGCCAAGGGAATGCAGGTATGATGGCGAGTCGCTGGAGACACGAGAAGAGCTGAAGGTGCACACGCACATATTTGGTGGCGATGCGAAGCCTAGGAAGTGTTAGTCGGATTGAAAACGGCAGGACGGCAAGACGGCAATACGAAAAGACAGCAAACAAAACACGGTGAAAACAAGTTTTCAGAATCAGGGTTTGCGCAAAATCCAAACGCAGGCACCCGGGCGCACTGACCAGAGGTTCTCGCGGATGCTTTTGCGCTCTAGGGAGGCATGCCGCAGGAAACGATCCACGACGCTAGCCAGGACGCCGCTGGATAGAACATCGAAGAGGGGGTGAAGACCGTAGTCCTGCCGGAAGTGCCTCCAGGGCGGGTAAGTGGAAAATTGGGTATAGAGCTGCATCGTCAGCGATGACAAGGTTTGGACATCAAAACAGCACAACACCAGATACACCTACCAACGCCCGCTGCCGCAGCGGCTCGGCACCCCAAACACCCAGGGCGCCGATCACCCGAGCCGGGTCCCAGAGCTTGCGGCCCAGCATGTCCTCAAGGTGCTGCTGGATCAGCTGGTTGTCCGATTCGGACTCGGCCGTGATAAGGCTGTCCGGCTCGGCAACGCCGATCACATGCATGACCTCATTGTGTGACCGGACAATGTTGCGGTTGATACGCTTCGTCTCTGCATTGACAGGCCGGCCACGCTCATCGTAGTCTTGCGGCGGTTCGCGCGGGTTGGCCTCGCCATCGCCCAGCACGAGGATGTCGTAAGGGGAGCGGCCCTGAGGAGCAGCGGTTAGTGAGAAGCGAAATGAAGTGACCGTGAGGCAGGGCGAGACACGACCACCAACAAGAAGCAAGGCTCATACTTACCAGCGCCTGCGACGTCAACGGACCGAGCCTCGTCATTCTCGAAAAGGCGTGCACTGTTCACATGCCGTGCGCGACATGAGAGAACGTGGTTCGGGACGATGAAGCGAGAAGTGAGGCGAAAAGCGAAGGCAGTTTCACCTATGAACCCCCGTTGTTATGTACTCCGTCCTAGCTCGCTATGGGGCAGGTGCTACAGGGGAGCTGCTACTCACTGCTCTAGGCAAGAACACACTTTGAGCGGCAGGCGCAATCGACACTGCGCTGCACCGTGCGGGAAAGGACGCCACTGTGGCTCAGCACAGTCCACAGTTTCCCTCAGCTTCGCGCTAAGATAACTTTATTTCTTATCGTTAAAAAAAGTTTGGAAAGTGCCACTGCAAACTGCAAAACTGCAAAACGCAGAAGGAGCAGAGGGACAAGAAAATAGTCCACTAGGAAAATCTTCACAGCGAGCGAAATCAACAACAAACCGAGCTTCGTGACACAATCCCAACCACACAGCACCCTTCGGCGCTCCCCACAACCACTCGCCAACCATGGCGACGAAGCTCGCGTACAAGACGACCTTTGAGGTCGACCAGGTCATCCGGCCAATCTATACAGGTGGCTCAGTGGCTCTCGACAGCGGCTCGCGCATTCTGGCGACGACGCTCGGCGAGGATGCTGTCCTCACGGACCTGGCGACAGGCAGGCTGTTTGCACGAATTGAAGGAGTACGTCGGCTGCAATTGGTAGGAGTCGGTATGCGGGACAACTGCTAACGTTGGTGCTCTAGGATGGCGAACCGATCTCGACATTAATATGTTCGTATTATGGCCCTCTCTCCGTCCCTCATCTTCTTTGTTTTGTTGCACTTTTGCTCCATCCAACTCGTCACGCTGACCTCTCTTCTCAGTAACGCCCTCCGCATCCCACCTCGTCGTCTGCTCGCGGTCCCTGGCCATGCGCATCTATGCCCTACAGGTGTCCCAGGACCTGGACGCCGTCGAGCCAACTCTTCTACGCACGCTCAAGCCGCACGCCACGCCGGCCGTCGTTCTCGCCGTGGACCGCACAAGCACACTCCTGGCCACGGGCGCCGCCGACGGCAACATCAAGGTGTGGGATATCCGGGGCGGCTTTGTGACGCACACGTTCCGCGGGCCCAGCGTGCTCGTCTCGGCGCTGCACTTTTTCGAGGTCGCAGCAACCGCTGGCGGCGCTGCTGCTGAGGTGGCCGCACGGGACGGCAAGAAAAAGAAGAACAAGAAGGGCACCCAGCAGCAGAGCTTGCCCGCGTCCACAGCACAGGCTGTGGACACGGCAGCTCGCTTCCGGCTTGCGTCGGGCAGCCAGGACGGCAAGGTGCGCGTGTGGGACCTGCACAAGCGAGCTGTTGTGGCCAATCTAGATGCGCACGTGTCGGACGTGCAGGCCCTTGACTACTCGCCGGTGCAAAATGTCTTTGTCACGGCCGGCCGCGACAAGACCATCATCTGGTGGGACGCCAAAACGTGGACACAGCGGCGCGTGGTGCCGACGTTTGAGCTGATTGAGGCAGCTGGCTTTGTGTCTGATGCCGACGGTGCCGACGGTGCCGATGCAGAGGCTGACAGCGGCGCCGTGACCTACTCTGCCGGTGCCAACGGCTGTATCCGGCTATGGGAGACACGTACAGGCCGTGAGATCACAGCCGAGCAGCCAGCACGATCGGACGAGGAGCTGATTGTTGCAGCGCTGTTCCGGCCCGCGCAGTCGACGCTTTTGTGTGTGCAGATGGACCAGACTCTCGCTCTCTACCCTGTGCCGTCATCGCGGGATCTGCTGAGCACATTTGCCAGCAATGCCAAGGCTGGCGGTGACAACAGCGGCCTCGCACCCCTCGAGCCGGCGCGGCGCATCTCGGGCACGCACGACGACGTCATCGACCTAGCCTTCTTGCTGCCCGACCAGTCGCTGCTGGCGCTGGGCACCAACTCGGAGGACGTGCGCATTGTCTCCGTGGCGGAACCGGCGGCTTCATCGACTCCCAGCAGTGCTGCCTACTTTGGCCAGGATGTAGCCTTGCTCAAGGGCCACACTGATATTGTGGTGTCGCTTGACGTCGACTGGTCGGGCCACTGGGTGGCCACGGGTGCCAAGGACAACACCGCGCGGCTTTGGCGCATCGATCAATCGGCGACGGCCGCCGGCGGCAACAAAGTGTACAGCTGCTATGCCGTCTTTGCAGGCCATGCGGAGTCTGTCGGTGCCGTCGCGCTGCCCAAGGCCGTGCCCGAGGCAGGCACGCCTGCGTTTGAGGATGCCCTCAACCACCCGCCGGCGTTCCTCGTCACGGGCTCGCAGGATCTGACGGTCAAGCGTTGGGACATCCCGCGGCAGGCACCAACTGCATCGTCGGCGCAGCAGCGCGCCCTGTTCACCCGCAAGGCGCACGACAAGGACATCAATGCGCTGGACGTGGATGCGGCCGGGCAGCTGTTTGCGTCGTCGTCGCAGGACCGCACGGTCAAGATCTTTTCGGTGCGCGAGGGCGAGGTGCAGGGCATTCTACGGGGCCACCGCCGCGGTGTGTGGTCGGTCAAGTTTGCACCGCTGCACACCCCCTCGCTGACGAGCGACACGGGCACCGTGGCCGGCGGCAGCCGTGGTTTTGTCCTGACGGGCAGCGGTGACAAGACGGTCAAGCTGTGGAGCCTGGCGGACTACACATGCCTGCGGACGTTTGAGGGCCACACGAACAGCGTTCTCAAGGTGGCGTGGCTGGGCAGTGGCGGCGACGGCGCCGAGGACGACGGGAACGACAACGACGGCGGCGGCGAAGCGGATGACGAATACATGGATCTCGACGACGACGAAGAACGCCCGTCGCGCCGCAGCGCGTCTTCCTTCCGCGGCCCTGCTCCCGTGCTCTTTGCCAGTGCCGGTGGCGACGGTCTTGTGAAGGTCTGGGATGCCGCGTCGGGCGAGGCCGCGTGCACCCTCGACAACCACGAAGACCGTGTGTGGGCCCTGGCTGTGCGCAACCCGGCCCCGGCCCCGACCACGTCTACGCGTACTACGACTACGACTACGACCGCTACGTCGTCCAAGAAGAGGCGCACACGCATGTTTGTGTCCGGCGGCGGCGACGCCACGATCTCGTTCTGGCGCGACACGACTGCGTCGACAGTGGCTGCCGCGGCCGAAGCCGCCAAGGAGCGCGTCGAGCAGGAACAGCTGCTGGCCAACCACATGCGCCGCGGCGCGTACCGCGAGGCCCTCACGCTGGCGCTGCAGCTCAACCAGCCGGGCCGTCTGCTGTCCGTCCTGTCGCAGGTTGGCGAGTATGGCGCGAACCCAGGCGTCGACGCCGCACTGGCCTCGCTGACGGACGACCAGCTCTACCTGTTGCTGCTGCGCGTGCGTGACTGGAACACCAACGGACGCACCGCGACGGTGGCGCAGCGCGTGCTTGCCTCAATTGTGCGCAGCTACCCGGCGACGCGGCTGGCCGGGCTTGCCCGGCGCCGGCACTCCAAGGCTGCTGTCGAGGGCGGCGAGCCGGTGGTGGACGACATGAGCGCTGGCGGCGTCAGCAGCAGCATCCGCGGCGCCAACATCAAGGACGTCCTCGATGCGCTGCTGGCCTACACGGAGCGCCACTACCGGCGCATGGCCGAGCTGCTGGACGAGAGCTACCTGGTGGACTACACGCTGCAGGAGATGGACGCTCTGCAAATGCCAGGCGGGCCCGTCGCCGGCGAGATTGAAGACGTGGCTATGGCGGGCGCGGAGTAGGGTAGGGCCTATTGCATACGTTGGCCACAGCACAAAAAGCAAAAGCCACTGTATAAACACGGCGTGTTGGGTCATTGGAGTCACGGTTTGGCTTTTTCTGTCCGCGTATATTTTGCTGCATTGCCATCACATGTTGGGTATATTTCCATCGCATATGCGGATAATCCATTGGTTATTTTGATTCTGATTTTACACATACTTTCGGTCTACTACAAGTATTCCCGTACAAAATCCATGGACATTCTCCTGCTTTTCCCTCGTGAACATCAAACATGATCACGAGATCCTTTGCGAACGGATCACCATCGGGCACAAGCTGTCGGATCCGATTCGCAGAGAGACATGCCGAAGAGAACCGGCCAACTCGGGCTGTGTCGATCGCCAACCATCTGTCTAACCCGCCCAACAGCCGTGATATTTTCCAAGATGATGCTCGTGTCGCAAAACTGATGTCTCATATTGTTTTCATTTTGCCGTGTCGTTGCAGCGACATCTGACATCCTCACCGGTGTTTATTTTTACTCCTTTTCCCGATGCTTCATGCCCATGCTAATGTTGCTTTCTATAATCCAGAATAGCAGCCCAGAAGCAGCAGAGCTTTTGACAGAGGAGCACGCCGCTTTGACAGCTCCAGAGACAGACGACATGAACCACTGGATCCCACGGTTGACATCCAGATTATCGCAGAAGCTGGTCCGCAGCTCTCGCTGATGAAGCATCGAGCCCTTGACCCAGGCCCAGACTAGGTTCAGACCGAAGCTCTCGTACGGAACCTGCCGGTGGCTAGGCCGCAGTAGCCGTGGACCAGTGCAGCCAGTGCACCCTGGACATATAAGAGAAAAACAGACAATATAGGGGGCTGGACGACTGAGACTGGGTGTTGTTCCAGGCCAGCAGCACCGGTCCCAGGGCCCTCCATGCCTTCGGTCCCGACAGAAACTCCGACCCAGCGTTGCTGTGGACGATCAGAGACAACCAAACGTCGCAGCACAGCGGTATGGGGGAGGGCACGGGTTGCAACGGGAGGGGACGCAGAGCAAGGAGAAGAGCGAAGGATGTCAGGATGTCAGGATGGCAGGATCAATGTGAGAGTGTGATGTCTGTTGGTTTGCGAGGCCGTGTTCTTGCTGCTCCTTGATTTTCCGTTGCAACTAAGTTGTGTATCAAGGTGTGTTGCGTCCGGATAGATGGATATGCACGACAAGTTGGAGAAGACGAACAAAACAAGGCGCGTGCCAGCCCTTGGTGGCAAGGATGGCGATGCTTTGCCGTTTGTGTTTGTGCAGCCAACATGAACGCGTCAACAAATCCGGCTGCACTTGTCTCGGATTACGCAATACCCAGTGCCCAGGACATGCCGGAATGGCTGGTTGCCAAGCACAAAATTGTGTCGTTGCGGCCGAAGGATGCTGTTTTTGTTTTTGTTGCGACTTTTCTCTTGCTTCACGAAATACAACGTGACCTGTAAAATAATGAAAAGAAAAAAAAAGGCCAGAAAAGCACCTCTTTTGGTTATCACTTTATTTGTTGTTTTGATTTTTTAAGCAGAATACTCTGTCATTTTATGAAACAGAAACTGCTGTGGAGTAGCACTACCGTTCAACGCTCTTGATATACTCGGCGATTTAAGTTCCTATGTATGGTTCTTTCTCTCGCATTGCAGCTTTCCTCATGTTTCCATCCTCTTCCCCTTTCTTCGTGCCGTTCATCGATCACAGCCTCTTTGCCGGGGAGATTACTTTATTTCCAACCCCCCTGATCCCTGGCCGTACCGGAACGCTGAGCCGCCAGCCTTTTGTTAATAATGCTCATTGTATGGCGCGGGGAGGGGAGACGGGATAGAAGTTTGGGACACATGTGGAGGAAGCAATAGTACAAAGGGGATAAGGAAAAAAAGCGAGACTTGCAAAGCTTTCAGATATCGTTGCCTCAAAACGCAGCATAATAATTCACTATTTTTTGGTCCGGCTACATGTACCTTGTCCTATTATTCTGTACTAATTTACTTTTGCATTTCTATAGCTGCCTTTCGTTACTCCTACACTCTGCCGGGACGCATGTCCTTGCTTGGACTGCATATATTTGCTTTTTGCAGTAAAATCCGGAATGAATCTCAATATCTCCAGGGACAAATAAAGTATATTGCACTCCTTCCAGCCCCCAGGAGCAATCTGTATTTCCAGGTAAAAGCAAAATAATCAAAATAAATGTGTGAATCACAAGGGACGCAGTATTGCATTGCCATACTATGTACACACGTATCGTGTATGGTGAACTACAGTGAGACGGGAAAGGAGGCACGTGGCGCTCTACACTGCCATTCCTCTATACCTTTTTTTATGTGTGTTTATTTATTTTTTATTTTTTTGTGCCTTTTCTTTGCAGATCTGCCTGTCCTTGCCGCGTCAACCACGAGACGTCTGTCCGACAACCGTTCGATACACCGTCAACCGCACTTGCATGGCCAGCCCGACGAATTTCGCTTGCCATTTAGCCAGCGGTATTTGGTGTTGGACACACAAGGTTAAACAGGAGCAAATAACGAGCAATATACCTCCAATGCGAACTGCTGTTATAAAACCGTCGATCACAGCGTTTGAAGAGGCCAGCATGCATACGGAGGACTTGCACGGAATATAGAAACGCTACTCGGTAATAGCAACAATCATCTGAACACGGACCTCGTATTTGGTACGAGGAGCACTGAGCAGACATTGTTTGCGGATTGACGCATGGGCAGGACTTTTCCTTGGGTCCTGCATTTTCTTTGCATTTTGCGTCTGTCCTTGCACGGGGCGGCAAAGTTGACAGGATCGCCTGGAAGATCGGCCGGCATTGCGTTGCAGGCCCCTTTAATTTTAAGAAGAGAAACGGGCGTCAAGTTCGATGTGCTTGTGTGTTGCGTATATCTGTGCATGATCTTTTTATTTATTTATTTTATTTTATGTATTTTGGTTCCACGTTCTCTCATTCTCGTACTTGTCGTTGCGAAACTGCCCTCGACGTCTCATTTCCTTTCAATCACAGCCGGTATCCTTTGACGCAAAGGCAGTGTGCCGTGCCGCTTTTCTCCTTCTTATTTCATCACTCCCTTAATTCCATGCTTAATACTTGAAAGCCCTACCACGCATTCGCCTTAACGCACCAGCCACACATCGTAGTTGGCCCTATTATGTTACCAAACGACTGCTATTATAGCACACATTGATGTCCACATGGAACGCATTAACTGGGTCGGCGGTGCGTCTGTATTTTCTTTTTGCATCGGTTGTGCAATATGGGCGCTTCCATCTGATATAGTCCTCGATGGACGTCGTCGTTGGGACGTGAACGTTGATGAATATAGGAAGTTCAACGCACAAAGCATTCCATTCTCGGTCGGTCGATCACGCCCGTGCTGCTTTTTTAAGCAAAATGCAAGAAAACACAGGAGAATACATGTTGAAAAAATACGGAAAATAAAAGAAACGCTGTACTACTTTCAGTCACAATAATAGTCTATTATCAAATCCCATGGGCCATCCAAGCCAAAAGGGAGTGAATACAAACAAAGACCTCATGATATGAAACTACATAAAATAAAATGAGCGCGCAGCAAGTGTTTGGCATATAGAAAAAGCAAGGCAAAGAGCCTGGGAGAATAACGCGGAATATGAACATGACAACAGAGCTCGGTCTGGCATAAATCACCGTCTGCGTCGACGCCAGCACCCGGCGGCAACGTACCAGAATGTCAAAGTCAGACGGCTGCAACGCTGGCTGGTTTCTATTTCCATTCTTTTTTTTGGGCGGGCCATCTCCACGGTGCACGGCTGACGGTCAACAATACATGCATACGGAGGTACGGAGTACGTGTATGTATGCACTGAGTACGGCATAGCGTCGGATGGACGGACGGGCTGTTCCCTACGTCGTGCGAGAGACAATGGGTTGCACGCGACAGAAATAAGCAGCACGCGGGCTCGCTCTGCTCGGACGACGTCGCGCAACCCCGAAATCAAAGACAAAACGACGTGCCGGGGATTTCTCGAGCCAAGGCGCTGCGCAACCAGAGTTGGGCGAACCACAGTTGCCCATTGTCTTGTCCACCCGGAGGAAGAGGCGGGGGGAGAACATCGCGTCGTATTTCGGTGTGCAACGTAATACTGCAGTCCCAGTGTTGCGTGTTGGAAGGGGGATGGCTCCTGCAATTTTGCACAAATGGCAATGCGCACCGGCAGTCGACAGACGCAGGGCGAAGGAGCCGGCCTGGAGGTTGGAGTTGGCCGCAAAGTCGGGCCTCTGTGCGAGATCGAAACGGCTGTCCATGTCAAGGTCCTGCAGAGTAACCTTGGCGAGAACAGGGACAAGTGACGAGGCATACTACAAACACTGGGAGAAACACAAAATAAATGGGCGCCGGTGTTGGTGGCAATGCGCATGTGGTGAGAGAGGACAATAATTTTTATCATGAAGTTTATTTATTTTTTCTTTTTCTTTTTTTATTTTCTTCTTCTTTTTTCTTCTTTTTTCTTGGAGTTATCCTTTCCACACCCGAGTGACCCTCCTTCAAATAAAAATGATCGATAGCACAGAGTAAAATGTAGATAGAACAACACAAGACACGAAAGGAACCCACGAGAGTCTTGTCTCTCCTCATCACTCTTTTTCATTTTTATATTTCATTTCGTAGTTTTTTCCTCGTCACCTATCCACATCCACCCCACTTGTCGGCGCGACGTGCCGGCTCCCTTTCGTCGTATTACTCACAGACCAACTCCCAGCAGGGCTCTATTCCGTACTTTCTTCTCCGTAGGCTCCAACACCTGTTCCTACCCGAATGATACGCTTTCAGTGTGACTCGTGGCGGGCAACCTCTACCTTGCCGCTCGGGAGTTTTTTGTTATGCCATTTTCGCATTCATGACACCAATTGAATGTCCCTTGTCATAGGAACCCCAGCCTAGTCCAACTGCCACTCGACTCGACGTTGGCCGTTTTCTTACCGTGACAAGGAGGGAGTGAGATGCTCCAGTTTTGCCGAGTAAGACTTATCATTCGTGTATTGAGTATTATTCGAGTGCCACCAAATCTCATCATCAGCGACAGACGACCATGCTCTCCGACGGCAGCGCAATGCAAACAGTCTAGGCTCTGACGGTTCGCAGAGAGGAGGGTAGGGGTAGGTAAGAAAGTGACACAGACGGAGAGGGATGTGCTGAGTTCGTACCCCGTAATTCGTAATACCCCATACATTTTCCTCTGTCGAAAAGCACATGCCATTCGGTAATTCGATACCATCGTTTATTTTCAACTGCCTTCCGCTTTCGTCACGACAAGACCTTGTGTGTTCGTACTGTTCGTACTGCTCGTACTGCTCTTTGGTTGGTCTTTCCGGCCTCGGCTTCTCCTTCTCAGTTTCTACCATTTGAACAGCAGAAGGAGACTCAGTGCAATGTCGAACGTCGTTCTCTTTGGCCCTCCCTACTCTCCGCCAAGACAAGGAACGAAGCGGAAGGGAACCGTTGCACTGAAGCTCTGCCCACTCGATTGATTACTCGGTGTCTTCAGCGGGCCTTGACACGCTGGACCAGAGTCGTATCCCAAGTAGCTTTTTGGCATGGCATTGGGGTTGTATCCTTAGTGTCCTCTTTGAGTTGCAGTTCAAAGTGGCCTTCAAGTTCACTGAGGTGGTACGTCGTATGGAAGGCTTGTCTTTTCTTTTTATCCAAGTGCCACTTGTATGGCTCGCCAAGGCATCCGTGTCCATTTACTCTGTTGTCTGAGGTAGCACTCGGTAGATTGGGTGCTAACGAGTTGCCTGCAATTCTGCAGCAGTGCGCGCCCGTTTCTCGCAAATGGGGAGACGGAAGACAAAAGGAAGCGAGGGGACGTCGTACATGGACATGTCTTGCTGCATAGCACCCGTTGGCATAGGTTG